CGCTGAGAACAATATTCGATCGCCACGCGCTCTCTCCTTCGCTGTCTGCGGATTGCTTTTAACGAGGAAAATTTAATTATAACTTCGAAGGCGAGATCTCGGCGCGGCTTGTTAAAATGAACAAAGTACCCTTCCCCCTCTCGCGCACTATCGTGTCCACACACCCCTCTGGTATACATGGTCGTTCTATGAAGTGTAATTTTGCAAAATTGGAAATCCCAGCGGGGACACACATAATCTCTTTAAACAACGCGAGTTACAACGGCGCTGTATACGCCGCGTCACAGCCGTATGGTCCGCGAAAAAACATGTCCCGTCCATTCCGCGCGCGGTCCGCTACGGGGAAAAAGTATTTATTACCGATGCGCGCGTCGCGGCTTAAGAGAACCGCGCGTGAGGCTTTCGCGTCAGCCCTTTGAAATTTATTTCATCAGTCACAAATTGACTATAAGGCTTACAAGAGCTGCGCGAGAGTGTGCGTGTATTTTTTGCAATGCTACGATATGAGATAAAATATTAAATTGAGATGGGGAAATTTTAATTATAAATGGAATATAGCTTTACAGCTGATACGACGACCTAACTCTTTTACGCATATAATATGTAACAAATTAGAATGTAACAATGTAGAAAATCAGGGAACAATAATAATAATAATAAGATATATATATATATATATATATAATGTTAATAAAGTAAAAGTAATAACGATGGAAAAATAATAAAAAAGTGAATATGATAAAATTATATCGCTTATAATTTATTTATAGTTGACAGAATATCACAAGAGCCACATCATAGTTTTATCGAACAAATTTATTTCGATTTCGCGAGCTTCGGCGCGCGGGAGAACCGTCGAGAGCCCTACTGAGAAGCACCCGGAAGACGCACGAAAAAGCCTCATGGTACCAAAAATGAAAAAAAAAAAAGAGAGAAAAAGCAGGAGAACCTTCGTAAAATTTCTCAGGTCCGCTTGAACGAATAAACCCACACCGTCTCGTTTCCGGTAAAATTTTCCGTCACCTTTCTCCTCTTTTATTTTTCTGCGGAAACAAATCACCGGATTAGTGGTCTCTGCAGCTTGGCGGCGTGGGGGCACGCTTAAAGCGCCCTTAAAAGCGTGCTGCCATGAAGGCGGATAAAGTTAGTCGGTCAAAGGGCGTAACAGCGTGCGAGGGCGCAGCACGCGGTCGCGGACATATACAGGTTGCCGCGAGATTTCATCTGCAATCTGTTTTACGAGTGTCTCCTAAATGTGTTTGTGTCCGTTTCCGGTTTCCGATTTGTCCTGCATTTCTCGCGCAGCGCGCCACCATTCACCGAAGGCTGAATCACACGGCAGGTCTCTGAAATTGTCCCATCAATTTAACGAGGAGAGAGAAAGAGAGAGAGAGAGAGAGAGAGGGAGGGAGGGAGAAAAAGAAAGTCGTTGCACATTTTCTCAGTAATTTCCAGCCGAGTATTGCTAAATACAAAAACCAAAAGAAAAAACATCCCCACAAGCTTCAGCCGGAGGATTCGCGCAGCGATCCGGCTCCGATCGGATAATTTTATTATTCAACTCTCCCTACTTTTTCCCGACCCTCTCTCTCTCTCTCTCTCTCTCTCTCTGTCTCGCTCACACACACACCTTCTCTCTGCTCCTTCTTCACCTCCTGTTCCCGCTATCACTCGTATCAATGCTAAACGCGGCGTCGCTAAATGATGAGTTGGCGATAACGTCGTTAATAGCGTCGCGAGAAAACGTAAAAGCTTTGCGTCATAAATATTTTTTTTCTGCCCGCTGAATATTGACATTTTCGGATGCTGTGTATATTTTACGCCTCGGTAATATTTTGTCTGCACCGGGATACCGCGTGTCTCCATATTCAATAATAATAATAATAACGGCGCAGCGGCGCTGGCGGTAACAGCAGCAACAATAAACAATCCTCATTAAAATGCCGGTTCCGGCGATACGACTGTTTATCTGCGCGCTTTTCGGCTCGCCGCCGATAGAAAATTCGCGCGGTGGGGCGCGCATGTAAAATTACGCGGCCCCGATAACTCGGCCGCCGGTGGGCCTTTCGTCTTCTGCTTATCAGCGTGTCAGGCACCACCGATCCATTTTTCTCCTCTCAGGCCTTTTACGTAATGATGCTGAAAGTGTTCGATCGATCGCGGGTCGCCGCCTGCGTCTGACAACGTCACGAGCGGCACATAACACGCGCGATCGATTGGTCGCGAGCGCATCCAATCGAGGATCAACGAGAGGGACCTCGAGTATTATAATTTCAATTAGCTCACTTTACACATTAACCCACTTCCCAGCGGCGCGACTGCGATTGAATCCGCCGGCCGATAATATTTTCAATTCACAGCGCGGGAATTATATGGTAAATCGCCGTTCCTCCCCCTCCCTGGAGATTTGCTACGCGAAAAGTATGCTGCATTTTTCATCCCTTGATGAACCTCTCCCTCTCTTCTTCGTCTCATGCGCCTCCTCCTCCGCGCGTTCTCTCTTCCCCCCTCGTCCGCTCTCCCTCTTTCGCGAAAACGTCCGGAATTATCTGCGTTTTGCCGCAGTGCGATCGCAATCGCGATGTAATCGTCGCGACCGCCGTCGCTCGCCCCGGCCGGCAATCAAAGAGACACTTCCCGACGAGCGTGCCAATGTTCATAAAAACGTTCGCGATGTCTCCGAAACTTTAAATCGCCGTCTATTATTCCGAGGAGCGAGGAGCCGACGCGAGCCGACGCGAGCCGACATGAAAGTTCCTCGATAAATCATCGCGGGACGGGATATAAGAAAAAACGAAACACCAAGTCGCGAAGGCAATAAATATTAATAGCGAATAGTTACTGCATAATCGATCAGAACTTTTCCCGGTCATTCCGCCGGTCGGGATAAAGTCGCCGGATACGTGCAGGTACACCGGATGTCCCGGATTTGCCGGTAGCGTCCTTTGGTACGCGCGGGATTCTCTTACGAGCGACTTACGTGCTCGCGTTTTCTTCTGTCGCGGAAACGTCGAGATGCCGGATATCTTTGAATTATGCGCGCTTTAAAAATTCGCGAGAGCTCTCGCAAAAGTCGCGTCCTATCAACTTTCAATCCTACGTGCACGCGCGACTACGATCCTCGAGAGGGGTCTTTATCGAAGCTCCATGTTTTCCGTACACAATGGAATTTGGATTCGGGAGCGAGCGAGTCGCAGACGCGTGTTTAACAAGGCGCGATTCCAAACGAATCGCGAGGGAAGGCGATCGAGTTTGATGCGTTCGCTACCGACAACATCGCGCAACCGATCTCTCGCTGGAGGACAATGTCGCGCCTGTGTGATGCATTGTGTGAAATCGGCACGTTCCGTGGCTCTTATGGTGCAAACATGCTAAGTACAATGCTGCAAATGTGACTTCGGCCACGATGAACGACTGTCAATTCCAGCGCGATGGCGAACGTGTCAACACCGAAAGCACCAAAGCGGCCAAAAGTGTGCGATCTCTCCGGAAAATAAGGGAAGAAATCCACAACGGTGCATCTCACACATTCCTCATTGACGAGGCTGAGAGAAGGAAAGAAGCATTTCCCTCCTTGCATTTCTTCTCAAAATCCCGTCGTGCGTCGAGCGCTCCGATGGAGGTAGATCGTTCATCGCCCGCGAGTTCTAGTTCTAGACGGAGACCGAACTGTTGCAGAAGTACGTCGAAGAGAGGTCGTCGGCGTTCGACGCTGATGAAATTTCACGAATTGCGCAAGCAAAATAAAGCAGACGATCTGAAATAATCTGTACACGGCCAAGCAAAGAAGTGAGTTATAGCGGGGGAAAGCTTTTCAAGTCGGCCTTTGTTCATTTTGTGCCGCAGGGAAGAAACAATTACCGGACTTTTTAAACACTCCGGTCTAACACGATCCCAGGTCATTGCTCGTACTTGAAGAAACGTAATTATCAGGGGAGAGGTGCAAGAAGCTCCTCGTTTTGCCGGTCGGCTAAAAACAATGGCTTTGTACGGCTGCAGCCATGCGTACGCGGTAAAGTAATTGCTCTCGCGCGCATTAGCCTCCTCTCACCCCCCCTGCCCCTCACCCCACGTCGGGCCGGTGTATTCTACTGCAAGCGATTAGCTGCGTAGCGAGTCGGGAGTGTCGCGTTAGCGATAATTGTTATTATCGTTATCAGCGGCGCTTATGCTTCCTGTGTTAAGAACTTAAGCGGCCTATCTCGTTTGACGCGACCGCGGCGTGTCGCGCGTTCTTTCACCAGAGGGGATAGGGGTGTTCTCTCTCTCTCTCTCTCTCTCTGTCTCTCTCAAAGCGCATTATCTAAAGCCCGTCTGCGATGTAACGCGCGACGCCGAGAAGCAAAGATGTCAAATTGCTACAATCGCGGTGAGAGAAAAGCAGCAGCGACTTCGCCACGACGAAGCTCGGAGGGCGTTCTGTGTCCGATAGAAAAATGGATCCCCCTCCCCCGGGGTCTGCTAAGAGTCAGATTCCTCGTCTCCTTGGACGCGTCGCGGGACTCGTCGAGGCGGGAGCATCGCAAGCTTTGTTTCGCCGAATGCACGGCAACGTCCTCGAAATCATGTCCGCGACCTTTCACCGACTCGCATCGAGAGCGAGCGGTCGCCTTTCATGTTCCGGCTCGTTTAATATTTCTATCAGATGATTCGTTTCTCATTACGCATGCATGTGCGGACGAGCGAGCGCGCGCGCGCGCGCCATGTTATTTTCATATATTTGTACATCCGCGATTTGCTCCGATAAATTGCCGCTCATGTATCAGTAAATTCACGCGAGCGCGCGTGCACGCCGGCGTTATCGTCCGTGATATGTGCCGTTGCGTTGAGTCCCGGTATCATTGGTACTATTAATACCGAACCGTCTGGCTCCACGATGACGTGGTAAATACGTATACAAGCGTAATAATGTATAATTCGATGTACAAACTAATGAGTTGCCGGAGCATAATGCACCGCGCGGCGCTGCACGGCGCGATATTAGCGCGGAATCGTCGCGTTTAGTCGTAATATATACCGAACACGCAGCACCACGCGTGCACGTGATCGCTCTCCAATACGTGACAGGAGTAATTATCGCGCTCCACGTCCCAGAGACACTGGAAGGCCGCGCAGATACTTTGCCGGCAGCGTTGAACGATGCTCACCTGCACCGCCAGCTTGCATCTGCAGGCAGAGAGAGAGAGAAAAATCGCACGAGTCATACGAAGCGTAGGAACGGGCTGAAGACGACGGGCTGTTCGGTCTTCGAGGCGATAGCCGTCTGGTATCGCTCCCGAGGCCGCGGTGAGCGAACGCTCGCGGGATACGATATTTTTTACGCCACCCGGGGGGGATCAGCGACGCGAGAGGCGCGCGAGGGGAGCACAAACGAGACGCTCGTGGCGAAACTCGAACCGAAATGGATTTCCTTGATTCTTCACTACCTGTCGTAATCCTTCTTCACGACGGTCTTCAGCACATCCGCGGCAATCTCCAAACACAATTTTGACGCCTGATCCGGCTCGTAGGACGTAATCGCCGATAATTTCCTTTCCATCACGCCGCGAACGATCTTGTCGACCGTCAACGCGTGAAAGGCTTTAAACGGCAGTAGGCGGAAGGTATTCTGGTATCTCGGTATCTGGCCGAGTGACGGAGAAGCGACGCGTTAGTGCGAGTATCGTCGAGTCGGCCGAGTCTGTCAAATTGGACGGAATTGTAAAGGGTGTCCCAAAATTCACGCGAGAAGTAAGTTTTGATAGAAAACTCAGGTTTATAATTAAAAATTGTAAATTTTTTATTGACTCATAAAGTATACAGTATAGGGTGATGTATGGAATAGCATATCGGGTAAATGGCCTCTACGGCTTTGCTGGCACATATGCACTCTTTTGTTGAAATTTTCCATGACCGTTTTGCATAAATGTGGCTGAATTTCGTTGATACAGCGCTCAGTTTCCTCCTTCAAGGCGTGGGTGTTGTCGTGGGCTTGTTGGCATAAACCTTAGACTTCAAAAAACCCCAAAGAAAAAAGTCCAACGGCGTTAAATCGCATGATCTGGGCGGCCTGATCTGATCATCAAAATGGGAAATTAGGCGACCAGGAAATGACTCATGCAGTAATTGAATTGTTTCTCGGGCTGTACGGCACGTGGCACCGTCTTGTTGAATGTCCACATGTCGTCCACATCCATATCTTGCAATTTAGGCACAAAAAACTGGATTATCATGTCGCGATAGCGAACACCATTAACTGTTATTGCCTGACCAGCCGCATTTTCTTCGGAAGAATGGTCCGATGATGCCTCCAGCCGCCAAAATCCGCACCAAACAGTGACACGTTGCGGATGCATTTGTTTCTCAACAATCACTCGTGGATCTTCTGAACCCCAAATGCGACAATTTTGTCGATCAACCAAGCCATCAAGATGAAAATGAGCCTCATCGCTGAAGATGATTTTGTTCGAAGAATCAGCATCCACTTGTTGTTGTTCCATAATCCATTCAACGAACTCTCTTCGCTGTGCGTGGTCAGTTTAAAAGCCCTAAACTGTCAGCTGTCACGCTGTCTTTTTTTTTTCGTTGGCAACACTTTACCGCACAAATGGCGCAAAATTCAAATCTTGCGTGAATTTTGGGACACCCTTTACGTTTATCCTTTACGTTTATCCCTGATAAACGGGATTATGTGGATATCAACCGTTCGTTGACGAATTATTTTTTAATCTACTCCGTGACAATATATACACATCTGCGCGCATAGTTTGCATTTATCTAAATATTTCAGTATCTCGCCAAAATATCAATACGTTTACGGTGTATATGTATATGTATATGTATTGATTCATTTATTCGCGCTGAGTGTATTATTAATGGATAAAATATTTGGTTGTAGAACACCAGAACGAGAACGAAACGCGATGTGTCGAGGTATAACGAAACTCGAGGACAGGACCGCGGGGGATTATAATGACAGCGGCGATAATGCGTGTCGCAGTCGTTACGAGCAAGTTACGAACGGCCGAGAGATCGCGCGAGTAACGGGCGCATAACGAGGTCGGATGAAAAAAAAATGAAAAGAGACGCAAATGGTTAATAGGACCCGTGAAACTTTAGCGCAACGCGAAGTCCCACGGCGAAATGTCTCGGCGCGCGACTCGTCCCGCGCTGTCTCTCGCGTTAACCTGGACGTCGCGTCACGTCGCGTCGCGTCGAGCACGGGTACATCTCTCGGAAATTATGACGCGGAACTTTTTTCACCCACTCCTCTAATTTTTCCCGGAAATCTCATTCCAAGAGTGAGCGAAACAATTCTCCGGGGCGCATCGAGATTCGCCGGTATTAAAACTTGTTCATTTCGCGCTCGCGCGCACAATTTATTTGCGTCCGTCCAATTTGTTCCGCGCCGCGCCGACAGCCAGAACGTACCTTGAGTCGATCCCCGCGCCTGTGGAAGAGCATGGTGAGGCCGCCATTGATACCAATCATCGAGAACTTCGACAGCGTTTTTCTCTTCTGGGTATGTCCGGAAATAAGAAACGCGTCTCATTTTCGATTCCCCCCGGAATATCTCCTGACGCTCGATATGACGTCTAGCGGGGAGAGGAGAGGAAAAAAGGAGGAGAGAGAGAGAGAGAGAGAGAGAGAGAGAGAGAGAGAGAGAGAGAGAGAGAGAGAGAGAGAGAGGGTGAGGATGAGGAGAGAGAACGAGGAAGATGAAACGAACGAGCTTCCCCAGCGTAAATTTTTTAACCCTTCCGATTGATTTAGATATATACTACGTGAATCACCATACGTTAAAATATTAAAGATTAAAATAACAGAGATCGAAGGATAAAAAGAGGAGAAAAAAGGGAGAGGAAAAAGACAGATATGCGCGAAGGGTAAAGCGAACACATGCCGGCAAAGATTATTTGCAAAACGTACGTTTGACTATTAATTAGAAGAGAAGGAGAGAAAGAAAAAGAGAAGGAGAGAAAGAGAAGGATTAATCATCTTCCTCGGCGCATTTATACGCACACACAGGACCTTTGCATCCTTCTCTTAAAACGGTTAACCTAACGTTGCGTCTTTCTTTTTTGGACGTGCACTTTTCGGGCGTTTACCTGCGTGTTATTTGGCTGAAACTTGCTGGTCAGCCTTGTCGACGGAGCGGCCGAAAACCTGCTCTTTGATGTCGGCTCCGAATCGTCTTGTTTACCCTGGGGTTTACTCATTTCAAGTAGCCTCCAGTGACAAGTGACGTGAATGAATTACTCCCTCACGCGGCCGAAGGTGAAAATTTGAGAATGGCCGAGCGGACGAACAAGCGAACGGGAGTGGAGAAGCCGCCGCGTACGGCGGCGCGGAACAAAGGACGCTCATCAAAAGAATTTCAGGCGTCGCTGAAAGGAGGAAATTATTGCAATCTCTGTCCGAAGTTCGCGAGCAATTTGGGCAAATAATTACGCGCGCGCTGCGGTAAACCGTTTTCCCGTTTTCCCCGCGGAAACGTCCCGCCGACCGAATGGAAGAGCGCGGTGAAAATTTCTTTGAGCGCTTTCTTCCGCGCGGAATTATATTTTGGTTTGTCCCTCCTTTTTTCCTGTTCCCGAGTATTTAATTTTCCGGTATATACAGCAGCATCACCGAGCATCAGAGAGAGGGGAATATTAAATCCGAGTCGTCGGTGAGCGATCGCCAGATTGTCTCCGATGACTGACAGCTTTGATTTATAGAATTTATAGGAGTATACGGTGACAATGAGATAATAAAAATAATAATAATAATAATAATAATAATAATAATAATAATGATAATACAGTGCAAATTTATGTAACGATAATGATTTATTATTTTATTTGTTATTATTGTTAATTATTACTACATGAATATTATGATACGGTAATGGTTATTGCTTGAACGATTGATGGAGCGTTTATTAACCATTCCAGAGTAAGCTCTCTAGAAACGTACGTATAATTTAAAAGCGAAAAGTTAACAATTCCAACAGACATTTCGCAGTGATGATAAAGAACGGCAGAAGGATAATCGGGAATTATTTTAACGGCAAATGTGTGGGTGTGCAAATTGATGTTGAATTTTTCGAGGCTTGCCGATTCACGTCGTGGGAGCCCGTTCTCCATAAATTACCCCTCGAGTACTGAATAAAAAGCGTTCGGTGCAAAACGTAAAGGTCGAAAAATCAATCTTTTCAAGGTTATAAACGCAATTTTGATAACGCAAGTTATTCTCACCAGAGTGCCTCCAATGGTCACGCGCGGAAAATAAACGAGACCGAGTTACAAAATGACAATTACCGTTATCGTTGTCGCACCGTAATAATGACGACGACGACAATAACAACCGATAGTATATTCCCGTATCCCGTAAGGAACGAGGAGCTCGGAAAGACGGAAAGGAAACATCGTGCCGCTTCACGCGCCACGATAAGAGTAAACGTAGACTCGTAGGCGCGCGCAGTCGTCGTTTCCTCGCATACGTATCCCTCGTAAGTCTTGCTTGTCGAGTATCTCCGAGTCAAGCAGCACGTAACCATCAAGTATCGGATCGAAATCGACATCGGGCAAGTTTGGGTATCCCGGGAATTGACAAGGTTTGTCAATTGCAGATGATCCTGCGCCACAAACGAGCCGCGCTCATCCCGCGTTGCTGTTGCAAACACCACGATCGATATAAGGCAAGTTACACCCTCGGGCATCGGGCTGAGCTTTGAACGATAGAACGTTAAGTATTTCCTTTGGCAAACTGAAGGAAATTTGCCCGTCTCTCTCGGCTCGGCTGTGCCGAAAACAGCCGGCTGTGAACCTGAACGGCGCGATCGCTGTAATAATAACTGTCGCGAAATTACAATCGGCAATGCCAGCACGCACCCGCTCGAACGACGATACATCAACAAGTCCGATATATTGAAAACGGCAAAAAGAGGTAAATAATTCCGCGTATGCGCGCGCTTCTCTCGGAATGTCGCAATAATGGAAACAGCATGTGAGGATTTGCCTCACATCCGACGTCTTCGCGTGTCCTGAATACAGAAAGACGTCCTCCAATCTCTTCCCGCGGCGTCGCCGCGTTTGTTGTCGACGATGCTGGGATAACAAAGCGATTGTGAGTCATCGCCGCTGCGATGATCATGACGCAATTATCATGATCGTACGGTGCCGTAAAACGAAGCTATAATACTACGGCGGTATAACGACCGCGTCGTATAGTATACCGTAACGTCGTCATTATTACTTCACGTCGTGCTTTACTTTACCGCCGCAATCATTACAGTTAACTGTAATTTTCTCCCGCTTTCCTTCCTCCCATAGATAATCCCGTTATCCGCGCGCATATATATGCATATGTACGGAGAACGGGTGATAAAGGCGAGCTTGATAAAAGCTCGCGAGGAAAAAGAAGGAAAAAGACGGGGGAAAAAGGGAGGGAGCATAAAAAAAATGTCGAAAAAGAAGTCGCGTGTCCCCATTTTTTTCGTGACCGTGAGTCCAATAAAAGCGAAGAGTCGATTGGGTAAACAATCGACAGAATTTCCCGAACGATCAGCTGTTACGACGGCTAACTTTCGCGAACGTGTCGCGGCAACTCGTCGGCTAACTTGATAAAACTCCCAGTGCCGCGCTACAGGCGTCTAATGCGCCGGCGCGAGAGATTCTTGGACTCGCTAGAGCCTCGAGAAACTTTCGTCCCGCTCGTATTTGACTTAGGCTGATATAATGGGATCATCTCGTTCGGCTCGTCTCCCGAAAAGGCGTCGCTAGAGCGCCGATAGAGAGAACTATGCGGGCGGCGTGACGCCCTGGGCATCACCAGGGGGTTTATCCTCCCCGGGACATCAGACCGTTTAGACGTGTTATGTACGTAGTATCGCAAAGTGATACGGGATAAAATATCCCAAAAGCGCGTCGTAGGAAAATACACTTGGCGAGTAACCCGCGCCTCTCGACGAGATCATCGCTGACACTTGGACCTTCGGCGACTCGACCCGCCGCTTTTCTCTCTCAAATCGATCGCGCGAAGATTAGTCTGGTCCTCGAAGTATTTGCTTCCTCTTTGGAAGTACCTCGAGGTCGAGGTCCAGAGAATCGGAGAATCGATTTGTCTCGGTGACGCGCGAGCGGCAATTTAATTGGAAACAATTTGACATTTTTAGCGGCGAGTCTCATGGATCCGCACGTCGCGGAACGTCGTTTCCCCCGGCGGATTCTCCAAAATAATCCATTATCTCGCAATGACAACGGCTTGGGACAACTGTCACGCGAAGAAATGCGGATAAATTGCGAATCGGACGGGCCGGGCGGCGCGAGGACGGCTTGGATTTTCCCTTTTTGCAGACATGTCTCAACGCCCACGTATTTTGCGCCGCATTCTTTCGTATTGCTGTGCGAATTCTACGGATACACAAGTACGTTTGTCCTTCCACTTATAAAAGTGTACGCGCGTACGCTCCGCGTAGAGAGAGAGAGAGAGAGAGAGAGAGAGAGAGAAAGCCTTTTTTGACAGAGGCCGCATTTGCGTACATAGTGCATTCCGCGAATAATTCGACCTGGTCGCGCGATTCACATCCTTATCACGGGCTGAATCCAGCGCGACCGATGTCAAACGATATTGCTGTTGATTAAACCCTCGCTTAGGTCGTGCCTGAGGGAGAGAGAGAGAAAGAGAAAGACAAAGAGAGAATGCGAAAAAATCTCCGTCGCGTCGGAGAGTTCAGAATTTTTAAAGAGCAAAGATAGAGATGGAAGAGAGAGAGAGAGAGAGAGAGAGAGAGAGAGAGGGGGGACTCTAATCTATGCATTGTCACAGCATAATAAAGCAGATCGCTTATTAATATTGTAAATATTATCGGCGGTCCGAAGCTGGATGCGATGAACAGGATGCCGCAGGCACGCGGGACAGGGGCGGGGGTGAGTTTTCGGCGTGGCTTTTCGGTGCTGTCGCACGCCGGGATTTTCGCGTTGGATATTCGGCGAAATTGCTCTGCGTTCAAAAGCTTTACGTGATTACGGCGTAAACTCGTTCATTACGGCGATACTCGCTCGAGCGACAACGTGAGCACGCCGAAAAATTTGATCAGAGCCGACCGAGCTTTCGTGGCCGCGCGCAACCCCTGTCGGAACTCTCAAGGCGCATCCCATCCCTCTGCTCCTTCGGTGTGTGAAAGAAGAGAGAGAGAGAGAGAGAGAGAGAGAGAGGGCAAACGAGAAGAAAACTGCTGGTGATAGCAATGAGTCGTATCGCGGCGAAAATATCGGCGAGTAAATCTGACGAATGGCTCCGCCGGGAAACTCCTTCGAGATATTTCGCGCGTACACCGCGAGATCGGATTGCTGCTCGTCGCGGATATCCTCCCGACGAGAGCAACAATTTATACCTTCGAGAGAGCTTCCCGACGTTGTTGATGAAAATTATTCGCGCTTATCGCGAATCTGCCGTGATACCGTTTTTTACATCCACGGGACGGTAGGCGGGGTAACACAAAGACCACAGGGCGTCGGAAGGGGAGGTACTTTCGCGAACGTTCCCCTTGAGTGACGTTAATCAAGCCTTCTCGAAGCTTGTATCCTTCGTGCATCAACTTACGTCCTTGACGCGTCCTCGACGCGTCTCGCTGCATCCTCCCGTGCGCTCCTTCGTAACTGCGAGCCGGGGCTCTGTTATTTTTCACCCCTAATTTCGCAAGAGCGCGTAGTATTTTCGGGCAGCCTCGTAACGCCCTGTCTGTGCTCTTTCTCTCTCCTGTTCTCCCTTTCTCTCTCTCTCTCTCTCTCTCTCCATCCAGCTTTTTTATCTTATGCCTTTTTCATCACGCTTTTTTTTCACTTTGCGCGTCGAGTTTCCCGACGAGAAAGAGTATCGCGACAGCAGGAGGGACACTGGCGCGCCATGGAGATTCTTCGACGACGAGGACGACGACGATTACGACGACGACGACGACGACGACGACGACGACGACGACGACGACGACGGAATTCGCGCTCGGCATGAATTTGCATCGGCGGCGACACGGGACGCTCCGCTCGGCTTCACTCCGCCGTGAGATCGCCTAACAGATGCTCCTGCGCGATTTGCATAAAATGAGACCGGACAGGATCCACAACTCCCGCAGGACTTGCGCTCGCCCGTACGTCAGAACCGCCGTTCCATTATCGGGCCGGGCAGGTGGACGGTAACGGCGGCGATTCCGGCCGCGATTCTCCCTGGCCGCTTCGGTGCAGACCAGGTAGACCGCGTTCTCTATGAGCTGCCCTGACCTTTCGAGGCCACTCTTGGGGACGCGCAACGGACGCATCGGGAAGGCACGTCACGCGCGCGCTCTCTCAAGGATTATTTTCTGTCGATCCTTAACTGCACTTAACGCCGTCACGTTAACGCTGTCCGACGGCGCCCGGGTCTCTCTCCCTTTCTCTCCCCCTCCCCCCGCTCCTCTCTTTCTTTCTCTCTTCTTCCTCTGTGTGTATCAGTGATGTATCGGCGGCGTCGTCGGTTCGTACGTATCGCGCGGGCGCCGGCCAAGTATCGCGAAGTACCCTGTACTTTGTACTTGTACAGCGCGCAATTTATTGCAGCGCGCGAAAAGCTGGCTCCGAAGATTACGTGCTCCGCTCTCGCACGACGCTCTCGGCGAGCAGTGAATCCGCGAGTGACTGCGCACGTGTAGCCGTGTGGCCAGCCGCTAATTTGATCAGAGCGCAATAGCGGAGAATTCCGAGCACGGAAGCGAAGGGACCAGCCGATCCCTTCGCGAAGCTCGTCGAGAGTACGTCACGGCCGCCCTTGCTCGCGTGATTTCCTAACGCGCGAAGACGTTCGTGCTCGGCTTGCGAGATCGAGCTTTAAATAAACGGAGCTCGGTGTCTTGCAGGCGTAAACCTCGACTCCCACGTTCGCAACGTGCACGTGGCCCGCGCACGAAGACGTTGGTGGCTCCGGAGGAGCATCGATCTCTAGGCTCGCGTTGGTCCTGGAAATCCATGCGCGAGTCGAGTGGGGTTCAGCTGCTGGAGGACGAGGCTTTTTGTCGCCCGAGTACTTACCGCTCCGAGCGTTACCGAAGATGTGTACAGAGCTGTAATCCCGGCAGGAATCGCTGCTCGATCCCGAGCCCAACGACGTGCCGCAATCGCGATGTTCCTCAGCTGTGCGCGACTTCGTGATTGCCGCACGGCGACAAGATTATCGCGGAGACCTGCTTGAAAAAAAAAACCATAGCTTTCGCACGATTGATCGGTTGAACGATCGTGAAGAGAAAGGACGAGAAAGGAGCAGAGGAACAGCGAGAGGATATTTTGGTCTCAGTGAGGACATGGGCATGGTCGGAGGGGGGAGAGAGTGATCGATAGAAACCCAGAGGCATAGATGGTAACTCCAAAAGGTTTATTACATTACATACATGTTACATCCGTACTGTGCGACATCTCGAACAGGGGTATCGTGTAGTTGAGCGGCTTATTCGAGAGGTATCCGAGTAATCCAGACAAGTAAATGCGACTGGGGCGAGGGAGGGCGAAGGAGGAGGGGGTTAATCCGTTGATCGCGGCGGGCGAGTTGGGGTTCGATCAAGACGACGTTGCGATTCGCGAGCGTACGTTGCGTCTAGTTCCGGTGGTTCTAAAATTAGCGTTAACACATAGTGTACCTCCGGCCAGTCTCGTGGAGGCCAGACGAGGACGGGAACGGCGAGGTACGCTTCCTCCCTGGCGGTGGGAGTCGCGCGCACTATGTACAGTCCCGTCGGTTTCTTTCGCCGCCGAGGAGTTCTTCGCGCGCCAGCGTCCCTCCGGAACGCAAATTCAGAGGAACAGAGGCCTTGAGGCCTCCCGCACACGGGAGGAAGAGAGATCGCCGGAAGGGGCCAAGTGCGCTACGGCGACGGCGTTCACCGGAACATCGTATCGACGAGGAAAATCAGGACGAGCAGAATGAGTCTCCTGTTTGCGTCGCCGGTGCCGCCGTGTTGCATCGCTGCAGGATGTTCGCCTGGAAAGAAAATTACAGCGGACGGCTGAAACTCGTCGCTGTCCTGCGTCGCCTCTTGTTCTTCTCTCCCTCCCCCTTTCCCTGTCTCTCTCTCTCTCTCTCTCTCTTTCTCTCTCTGTCTCTCTCTCTATCTCTCTCTCTCGCTCTGCCTCTGGATCATTAGCGGGAGACAGAGCCTCTCGTCGATCTTTCTCGGATGCTCGCTAACGAACGTTAAATTTATTAACGACTCATCGAAAGTGGAGGCGCGAGACAGAACGAGAGCGGGCGAGATGATACGGGGAAACGGGGGAGGGAGGAAAAGGCAGGCGACCACCCTTGCGATGATGATCGGCCTGGGACTCGCAGGAATGTCACTGCCGGGATGACTCGACTGTGTCGACACAATTGATCACGATCAACCGGCCAATGCGTTATCGAACTCGCATGATATATCGAAGTAATATATACGTCATTAAAGCGACTGCAAACATGGCGTCGCTAGAAATTGTTATTAAACGACGCGTTTACATTCCATTATCGCGGCTAAATAACGCATGTCACAACGGCGCGCGCTGCTTCACTGTCCGATATACAAACACAATGGCAACAGCGAGTATTACTATTGAACGTCAAATAGTTTCCCTCAATCTCTTTCCCCCATCCTCCCCCCCATCTCTCTCTCTCTCTCTCTCTCTCTCTTTCTCTCTCTCTCTCTCTCTCTCTCTCTCTCTCTCTCTTTCTGTCTCTCTATATCGCTTTCCTATTCCTCTGTCGCGTTAAACAGTTATCACAAAGGCAATTAATATTTGAACGATCAGCCGCATTATTTACGTCAAATACATTAGTGTAATGAAGCACGAACTAAAATCTGGAAAGCGCCGATCGTGCAGGACTCTACTCGGTACGTCACGTTGCGTCGCGTTGCGTCGCGTCGCGACGCGCGTGGCTCGAAATTAAAACAAATATTCCCTTATCACAAAGTGCCGCGGGGATAATCTCGTAACGTTACGCTCGCTCGCTCACTCGGCCGCTCGACGGAGAATTTCCAAATTAACTATCGCTTCCACACGCCACACACACACCTACACACACATACCTACACACACACACATACACACACACATGTACATACATGCACACACGCGCCCCGGTATTTTGCTCACCATTTAGCACGTGCACCATGACGCTCGCAGGAGTGACTTTGCTCGACGCGCATGTATAATTACCGCTATCGTTAAGGAGGGCGCGCGTTATTAGAAGCTTGCTGGTGGTGCCCCGCTTACCCTTCTCCGTCTCCAGCGATACGCCGCCCCTGCCGAACGTATAAAAGCATTAGCTGACTTGCGAAAGTTCCTGCCAAAATCCACGGGGGCGTGCTTTATCGCGTGTTTACGTATTCCCCTCGGCGCGCCGCCGTATACGCCGCGGACCCGCATACCCGCGTTTTACCGTCAGTCCGCCGCCAACGATTCACCGCCCTCCGATCGCAATGAACTCGCTATCCACGCGAGCTATCTTCCGTCGTATAAATAATAGAAACATAGATAGCGCGCGCGCACGCGGACGTTTCATAGCGACCGGTAAACACGCTAGGGTTTCGGCTAATTGAACTCGCTAAAACAAGCAGAGGTTCAGTCGTAATCACGTTATAAATGCGAAACAGAAGCACTGCCATAATCGTATCGTAAACGCACAAGCAGAAATGATATCGTATCATAACTGCGAAATAGAAGCAACGTTATAGTCATATTGTAAACACGAGGTAAAAAGCATATCATTATCATATATTGTTACGAAATAGGAATTGTCATAATCGCGTAATATAAACACGAAATAGAATCTACGGGCATCTTGTCAATTAATTCATCGCAGGGAAATTTTCATTCATGAGCATTCTGTGAATCGACGTGAGAAGAGAGTATCGCGGCGAGAAAATTGCTTTTTGTTTCGCGTCTCTACGTTTATTCGTTCTCACGTTACGGCTCTTTAAAGTTTACGCTGCACGCGCTCGGCTCTAGCGAACTCCGACGCGCCACACGTGCTCGCTCGGTCGCTTTAAAGTCGCAGTGCGCACGCGCGAGCGCGGTCAACGACCGCGTGGCCCGGCGGCAGCCAGCTGACGGACGCGCCGTGGGGTGGGGGTAAGACCCGCGTCCCGTGACGTGGGAACTTACAGGACGCGTTTCCGCGCTGTTATGCTTTCTCAAGGTCGTAGTGACTCAACCTTATCGATCCTGTTGCGTGTATTCCGCGCGCAAAAACAGAATTGATCGAATCAACGTGACAACGAATGAACTCAACGGAATGTCTGCGCTGAAGAGAAGAAATGCATAACTTCGCCAAAACTATAGGCGTCGATTATATCTTCTTGTGACTCTAATAAGAAAAAATGTTGGCGATATATGCGTGCAAGATTATTTTATTACTGTGACGCTATAGTAATACCTGTTAGAAAAACAATTCTCCTGACTATTCTCCCACACTTTCGTTTCCCGTTTATTGCCACCTTAATTCGACCAGTTTTTTCCCGCTTCCAGTGAATTAAAAAAATTATTTTCTACGGACATATTGTTGAGGTCACTTTTCCACGTATAACAACATGCGCACACCTGAAAATCTTCAGGAAAGCAAACGAGACACCGAAATGGTCGAGAAGAAGAAGCCGAGACATCGGCGGTCGGAGTCTTTTGAAATGAGTTAATTGGTCCGCATTAAATTACCGCGATGAGAAATATCGATTGTCGTGGTGGCGAATTGGTCGGAAGCTGCAAGATCTTACTTCGATAAAACGCCGTGAAAAACGACAATTCGCTCTGTCGTTAATATAAAGCGTAATTATAAAAGAGGAGACAGAGACGATAACAAGAGAGCTTCCTTCCGCTTTATATATCCCCGGAGATGAATTTAACTTTCGTCGCGAGATTACAAGGTAGAGGGAAGACGACGTCACCCCGGTCGCGAAATTATCCTCCGCGAACGCGGAGATGTTCTATTAATCGCACAAACGTGGGCTTCTTAATCGGCCGATCCTCCGAGGAATGAGGTCATTGATCGCGCGCGTGCGCGGCGCGGTCGTTCGGTCGCGCCGCGAAGAACATCGCGCGTGGGAATAACGTCGGGGCCCGAAGGGTCGTTCTAATTCAATCTCTAATTGGCTGATTTGCCCGGCGCGTGTTTACGCGTGATCGTCCGCAATAATACCGCTGAACAATGATTCCATTGCACGGCTAATTGTGCGCCGCGAAGCTTAATCGCTGCCCGACTCGTACCTTGGCCCGTCGAAATCGATCACCGCGCCGGCATGGTACCAGGTCACGTTGCTCGGGGGTAGATCCTGCAGCTCGATGATGCAGGTCAGGCTGATTGTGCTGCCTTTCCTAATGTATAGCTCCTGGGGGCCTGTGATCCGCGCCTGTATGTCTGATAAGGACAAGAACAACAACGCCGAGAGGAGAGAAACGTGTGTGAGAGGCAACATCGGCTGCATCGCGCGCGCACGCGCTCGCATTGGCTTCGTTGCTCTACGAGGAGCGGCTACGTCGTGACAATATCGGGTCGTTATCGGCGAGTCGATTCTACTTTGCTTCACTTTGCCCCGCTTACTTCCGCCGCTACTTCCTCCGAAACGGATCGGCGAGTCGTGCCCGCTCGCGGCAGACAAACGCGTGATCGCCGGAAGGCGGGAGTTAAAGCGATCGGTTTTGCGACCGCGAAGGATGTCCGTGCGGGGTCTTTAAGACGCGATTTATGGGGCGGAGGGGCTACCTCGCGGAAACTCACCCAAAACCTTCAGCGCCACGGCTCTATATATCTTCGGCTCTGTATTAACCTGACACTCGTAAATGCCGGCATCCCGCGGTTGCACGTAATCTATTCGCAGATTCCAGTCGTCGGTCTCCGGATTGCCGACTACCGTAAATCTCTCGTCGCTCGTGTAAGTCGCCAACATGGACGTTAAGATGTGTAGGTCCCTTTTTCGGATCCAAGACACCTGGGGTTACATACGGGAGTCCCGAGTGAGCTACAAGTAACTGCAATACCGCTTTTAACCCTTTCGCCGCCGCCGGCCCTTTCAAGGCCTGTCCGCCTGTCTCTCGCTCGTTTCTCAACGTGTTTTGCGTTTATAACGAGGAGGAGTCTCCCGAAGATCTCGCCGGGAATCCGCGAATTTGGAGATAAGTTACATCGGAGCCCGGGCGCCGAGATTCGCCAAGTACTCGTTCGGTAGTCGCCGAGAGCGAACTCGAAGTGCGGAAGGCCGAGAATCGGGAAACACGAGCGACTCTTCGCCGCGAAGTTTCGCACAATCGCAATCACTGCGGCGAGGCGATATCTCGTCGTCGAAAATTACAATGGACCAAATATTATCGTGCAAATTAGCTGAGGAAAATCTCTCTCTCTCTCTCTCTCTCTCTCTCTCTCGAAAATAAATCCTTCAAAAAAAGATTCTCTTTTACAGATTCTTCAAACGCTTCTCGGAAGAAATCGCGAATTTCTAAAAGAACTTTTTAGAGATTTTTCGGAAGCTCTTCCCAGGAGGGGAAATTTGAAATCTCTCTGGGAGAATTCTGCAGAGATTTTACAAATTTTACGAATTACTAATTGCAGATTGCAAATTTCGCAAGACGCGGATCTTACGAAATTCCGTGCGGAGATGCTCGCTTGCGAAGAATCTGTCGACAAAGTCGGCGCGTGTTCGCGTCTCGCGAACGGCGAAAGGGTTAACGCAAGTATCTGATGTATCTCAGGCGCGTCTCAGACCACCGTCGCGCGATCGATGAAATCGGCGCGAATCTCGGGGTGGAAAGTTCGCAGGACTCACAGTTCTGTTTCCTAAATTCTTAACCCGACACAGCAGCACAGCGGCCTGTCCTATGGCCACCGTCAGCTTTTGCGGCGTATCCTTGAAAAAATATGTCCTCTTTGTGCCACGCTGCGACTTCTCTCCCTTGCCAAACGCGTCGTCGTTGAGGTGCAGGAACGCTGAAATGGAGATAAATCGTGCTGAGAAAGATGTTGGCCGGGTCGAGTCATAAATACGCGTAACTTCCGCGTGCTCGCGCGCGCAACACGCAGGTGGCAAATATTTATATCCCTCGGAGAATCTCGCCGCGGAAGGAATCAATAAGCCGGGCCGATCGAGTTGACGAATTGGACGAAAAATAATGCTCCGCGCGGAGGCCGATTCGCAGACGGGAAAATCCCAATGCGATCGTTTCTGGCTCCGCCCGATATATTATTATCCTTGAAAATGTTCCCGGCGGAGGGATTGCACGTCCTGTCGGAGAATAATGCGGAATTTCGCATTCCTAATAAAATTCCTTGCCGCATTTTGCCCCTCGCAACAGAATACATGTATTAAATTGCACGTTACACGTTATATATGCGGGCGCGTATGTACAGAATGAAAGAGAGAAAGAGAGAGAAAGACAAAAAGAGAGATGATAATTATTCATGGAGTCGTACAGGGAGACAAATTAATAACGATACCTCAAATGTCACTTGTGATTTCGTTATTGCATGTTCGACAATTTGTTCGATAATACAATCGCGTTTACTGTGGAAAGAGAGAGAGAGAGAGAGAGAGGGAGGGAGAGAGAGGGAGAGATTTCGTTGTTGCATGTTCAACAATTTGTTCGATAATATAATCGTGTTTACTGTGGAAAGAGAGAGAGAGAGAGAGAGAGAGAGAGAGAGGGAGGGAGAGGGAGAGAGAAAGAAAAAAATACATTCCACAAAAATATATTATTTTAATGGAAAAGAATATTTTAATTGTGCATTTTCCCCTTGCTCGAGGCATTTATATGGAAATAGGAATGCCGAAAATATTTTTGCAAAACGAAAGAAAATTAATAATACACAACTATTCTGATTCGAATTCTACCCTTTTCCTCTCTCTCTCTCTCTCTCTCTCTCTCTCTCTCTCTCTCTTTCTCTCTCTCTCTCTCTCTCTCTCTCTCTTTCTCTCTCTCTCTCTCTCTCTCTCTCTCTTTCTCTCTCTCTTTCTCTCTTTTCCTCTCTCTTTCTCTCTTTCTCAAAAGGATGTTTGAAAATATTGTATTTCCTATGGGGTTTGAAAACTCTGAGTGTAAAATATATATAACTCTAACTCTATCTCTAACTCTCTTTCTTCTCTCTGTCATGATAATGACGATATTTCTGGAACAGAAATTGCGAAGATTGCACGTGTGGATTGTAATCTTCGTTCTTTTAATCAGGGACCTCTTTGTGCCGCTTTCATCTCATATAAGACATTTACTAGTGCTGCTTTCCACCTTCCGCGCATTATTTCCGCCCGTAATGAACATATACTCCTTGACCGTTTTGTTATTTAATTTCGCGTCCGTAGTACCGGAAGATACACGGACCGCCGGGAACGAGAGTATAATGGCCGATTTTATATCAATTAACGCTAACCCCAGCTTAATTAATTCCCTATCTCTGTCCGCGCTAAATTACAGTTGAAATTATCGAGTCACCATCGGATTTTAAATATCCCTCGTGGCGAGTAAAAACAGAGGAAAATCAGAGAGAAACGAATGAATTTCACGGATCATCGGGAGTAACGAATGAAAATCGGTGGCCGGCCGACGAGTCACGTCCGATCTGAATTATGAGAATCGGAATCTCTCCGCGGGAGAGGTACCGTCGAAAATTTCACGTGTGTACACTCCTCTTTCACTTACGATCGCCTCCGAATTCCCCGCGGATACGCTCGTCCGCCCGATCACCGATCGATCTTCTCCCGTTCTATTCCGCGAAGACGGAAAAGAAGCAAAAGGCGAGATGAAGGAAGGAGCACGGGAAAAAAACCAGCGAGCAGGGAGAGGAAGGATTACTCGCGCGAACTCGCACCGTCCGGCGGCACTCGCGCGACTGCGAGAGAGAGAGACAGACACTCGCTTGCGTAATAGACGACCGGCCCGTATCCGGCGGACGCCGTTAAAAGCGTCGCGGGACGGAAGTGCGGGGGGACATTTACCGGTGCCGCGTACGCCGTAGAACGGTTCCGCGTGTAACAGGTATCCGATTCCCAGAAGCAGGAGGGCCATGCCGTGGAACGGTGCCATTTTTCACGCACTCATCTCTCAATCCGATTCATGCGCGCCGCTCCGCGCCCAAGAGTTGCCGTCTGCCCACCGTCCGACGCGAACGCTCACTCACCATCGTCGGCCCTTCGAAAAGTAACCGCGGGATCGCGCCGCGACTCGCCGGCATAACGGACAACACGCTCCCGCTCGCTCCGCTCGCGTCCACCGTCGGCGAGGAGGAGAGAGCAAGGGAGAGAAAGCGGGAGAGACGGGGAGAGACGAGAGCGTTCGCCGCGTCAAAGAAAAACTTTGACGCTCCCGCCGGCCGCACGCGCGCACGCGAACAGCGCGCGTCTCGTTACATAATTAATAATCTCCCTTGCCCGTCGCGCACTTCCTTCTCTCCTCTTTCGAAATCACTCCGGCGCGCGAACGAGCGGCGAACGTGCGATTCCCCCGATATCCCGATTTCCGAGCACGCGCTCTCCGAGGACGCTCGCAATTGGGACGATTAATCACGATTAATCGCGACAACGCCGACAATCGCGCCCGACGATACACAATACTTCGAATCCCCCTCGCGCGATTCCGCCGGCTTCGTCGCGCAGCGCCGGTCAAAGCTCGCTACGGGGCGGTGCGATACGGTTGCGGGCCAAGCACTGAATTTTGCTCCTCGCGGAGGACACGAAAAAGCTCTGAAATCCTGGCACCGGTGGCGCCGTGCCCATTCCACGAGTAGGTGCGATTGCGCCGAAAGGTCGGCATCAGATATGATTTCCCTTAACCGACGAGACATGTTTATCCCGGCGAGCCGGGGAGTCTCGCAAGAGTCGTACGTTATCGCGATTTACCGATGCAATCGGCGTATATACACACACACATATGCACGTACAAACACTCACACTCGCTTTACCTAGCGCGAATGGGCCGGGAGAGAGAGAGAGAGAGAGAAAGAGAGAGAGAGAGAGAGAGAGAAAGAGGGAAAGAGGGGGGAGGGGGAGAGAGAGAGAGCGAGTTTTCTTCGCCTCTTTTATTCGCGCGAAAGTGTCCACGCGTATAAAGTGGTTTACGGACAAACTCGCCTATTTCCAAGACAATTTCCCGCTATGTATAAATAAGGAAATAGAGGAGAGCGCGAGGGAGCAGACGGAGACGGGCGCGAAGATAAGGGGACTCCTTTATGCATATTAAATGATATATATTGCGATAAAATCTCTCCAAACACAACGCTTTAACAAGTACGACGTAGGTCGTTCCGTAACTTACAATGTACATGAGAAAAGGTAAAGTTTAGGCAAGACGCGATTGCTGCGGGAGAGGCAAGGCCGTTTTTGTCCGCTCTCCGCTCGCGCGTGTTTACGCTCGCGACGATGCTGAGCCGCTTGTTGAAACGCGATTCGGAAAATCCTGCCTTGCAGATGCATCGTCGTGTCACGCGTGTTTTACACGTTGCCGCACTGTCTGTTGCTTCGCGAGACTTACATAGTAAGACGCACGTTAATACAATTTTATCGCATGTTTCTATTATTTCATATGTGACAATGAAGTTTTCCGAATAATTTCAGTTTGTTCGAGTATTTGTTCGAGTGCTCAAGTATATTGTTCACTCACAAAATGTCAAATCGATCAATGACACGCATGGAAGTCGAAGGTGTAAGCACTTCGGTCGATTATTTACAACGAATTTCTCTCTTACTCTAAGGTCATTGTTTCCAGCACCTCTTTTATTTAGATCTCTTTTCGCGCCATGCACCATATCACAACAGAATCCTGTTCGAACAGTTCGAACAGGTGCAAAGCGGTGCAGTATCGGAATGGACAAGTTTCCCCTAAGTAGATTCTCTCCGTTCATCTTTGCACTGGTCAGGTATCATGTAAAAATGTAAAAACAGATACAAAGATACTATGCGTAGCGGAGACGCCCGATAAGCGTCGTCGATCTTAAATACAAATTAGTAATTATGCAAAGCTTGCGTAGTTCTCCCATATAGCAGAAAAATTAAGAAAAACATATATTTGTTAAATATATATATATATATATATATACACAAATATAACGATAATATATATGTATAATTATACCTTCATCGCATCTTCCCTCACCATTTGTGACAAATATATAACGTGTGTATAAAATCTTACATAGAATATATATGTACGTATATAAAACGACTATCCGTACACACACGTGTCAAGATAGTATAACAATAACACGGAGATAAAATAAACTAAACAACGGAATATCCTCCTAAATTCCTTGACGTTCTTAGACCCTTTTGTACTAAATCCTATCGCATCACATCGTCCGCGGAGAACATAAAAGACCAGCGGATCTCTCGCGTTATCAACGACGAATGTCAAAAGTTTTATCGTTTTTTCGCCTTATCTACTCCGAAGTTGCCCTTCGTACCACCCGTCTTCGATAGCAGTTCGATACCGTGGATCTTCATCGTGCCAGGGGCGGCTGCATTCTTGCACATATCGTAGATCGTGAGCGCCGCTACGCTCACGGCAGTCAAGGCTTCCATCTCGACGCCGGTCTTACCATCGCATCTCACTTCCGACGTGATCTCCACCCGATGCTCGTCCTCAGCCAACCTCGCTCTCACCTTGACGTAAGTCAAGGAGAGAGGATGACACAACGGTATGAGGTCTGGGGTACGCTTAGCGGCCATGGTGCCGGCCAGCTCAGCTACCGACAATACATCACCCTTCTTCACGTTGTTCTCCGCAATCAGACGACTGAGAACGGGACCAACCTCCACGAATCCCACCGCGACCGCTGCACGCTTGCTGTCGCTCTTCTGCCCGACGTCCACCATGTTGGCCTTACCGGTCTCGTCTATGTGCGATAACGACGAATACATTCTAACATTCGCATTACTTTGAAGCCACGTGAACACGTGCGACGGATATATGTGCCACGCGTTCCCAGCCGGCGTGACATTACGTGATTTCTGCGCTAATTTCGTCTTACGACTCACTGCAATGCAAACATTACGTTAGTTAACTTTAGTTTTATATAAAGTTGCTTCCGTGCGGTCGTTGTGTTCTCTTTCTCTTTTTGTCTTTACACTGAGAGGGTCATAAACACAAAACTCTCGGAATTTAGAACACGTCTGTGCGCGTCTCGACAAAGCCGAACACTTTGACACAGTCGACTAATTATCGCAACGATTACCAATTTAACCCCCGATCAAGATCATCGGCCTATTTTCCATCTGAGTAAGATTGATCATGCCTGAAATGTAAATGTCTCGGTTTATCGGTTTGTCGACACTGCAGCAGTTGACGTAAAATTAATCAGAAATGAGAAGGAATGCGAAAAAGAAACGAAATGGAGGAAACAACAGAAAGGAGATTCCTCTCTGCAGATGGTTGAAGATATTCTTGATGATACTTCGTTACATCAAGTGTAATGTTCTGTCAAGTCCAATCTCGATATGTATCGCGTACCTGCATGTTGCTTTTTCTTTCGCGACACCGCTCCTCTTATCAGATTTTTAAGTGCATCTGTTGACGCGCCGCTTCGCAAAGCGTCTCTAAGCGAGACCTCGCCTTTTCCCTCGAACAAACACACCTTCAAATTCCCATCCGCTGTTATTCTCAAGCGGTTGCACGAATCGCAGAAATGTTGGCTCATGGACGTGATAAATCCAACTTGTCCTACGAATCCTGGCACCTGGTAAGCCTGCAAGAGAACACGACAATGTATCGTACATTCTTAAATAATTGGGCTAAATTATCAACAAGAATTGGACCTTGGACGTGTCGTTAGGCTGATTCGGTAAAGCCTGGAAATCCGGATATTTATCTCGGATTATTTTTTTCATCTCGTCGAACGGCACCATCTTATTTTCCTTCCACTCGTTCCCTTGGAATGGCATATATTCTATAAAGCGTACATCGATAGGGCGATCCCTCGTGAAATCGATGAAATCAATTATTTCATCATCATTCTTCCCTCTCATTATGACACAGTTGACCTGATTATTAAATTATAAATATACTTAGTCATAGTCTTAGTCACTTAGTTGTGATACCAAATTTCTTTTTATATTACCTTTACAGGATTGTAGCCAAGCTGAACTGCAAGATCTATGCCAGCCATAACTCTTGACCAGCCCTGCCTGCGTGTGAACATTTCAAAGCGCTTCTCCTGAAGAGTATCCAAGGATATATTCAATGCATCTAATCCTGCTCTTTGAAGAGCTGGCAACTGACGAGTCAAGGTCAATCCATTTGTAGTGATTGCAATCTGCTCCAAGTTCCTCAACTGCCTGAGTTGTGCTGATGGATGAAATTGTGAATAGATACTTTGAAAACTCATATTATTTCTTGTAGTATTACCATGAAATTAATAGTAGTCATATTGACAGAAGATATTACCAACAATGTCCACGATATCCTTACGGACTGTAGGTTCACCACCAGTTAGACGTATCTTACGTACTCCTTCCTTGACAAATAGATCAGCTATCTGTATTATTTCATCTGTCTGCAAGATACCATCTTTCTTTGTGAGCTTGACACCTTCTGCTGGCATGCAATATGTGCCTGCAATTATATGACAACTCATATGATGCTGCAAGCAGGCAATTTTGAAGAAAACTCACAACGAAGGTTGCAACGCTCAGTAACTGATATTCTGAGATATGTGTGTTTGCGTCCAAATATATCAATGAGTATTCCATCTTGTTTGTCCTTTTGTAATCTTGTTCTGAACTGCTGCAACTGTGACAGTCATCTTAATTAACTACTAGTTTGGAATTAACTTAAGCTTATGGTAATATACAGACATTAAAAACTAAAAAGATGCATCTGATAATACATATGAGATAACGCTTACTCGAGTTGACGTATTTGCTACCACAGCAGCTTCCGTGGACGCATTCACAGCACCACAAAGATGCCTGACAAAACCGCACTTACGAAACATTTATACGAGATACACTGTAGATAATAAGGCGAAAAAAAAATAAAAAAAATAACGTCTCCCGTGCGATTATGTACCACGTGTCGTTCTTTGTCTTACAAAGTAGACATAATTACATAATCAGCAATTTTTTCGTGCTGTCACAGCGTTTTCTTCATTCTTATCTACTTGTCATTTCCACCACTGAGTTTACCTGAATAAACGATAACAAAGATTGTCTTTTATAGTCTCAGATTAGACACGAATTTGCTCATCAATAGATACACAAATAAAAATCCGTCTTACATGTTATCAATTGTGTTATCGAAAATAGAAAAAGTTCAATCTGACCTATACCGTTAAGTCGTTTTTTTTTTATTCATTGGTTGGTTGGTTCTATTTTTGACTCCGGACTGTTCCGAAACAATGTCCACACGCCATTTTCTAGTTAAAGGTCTACAGGAGCCATACTAGAGACCTATCGCGGAGACCCGCGAACTAGGCAAAATTATATTGCAAATTATGAACAAAGTACGAAGAGAATCACCTTATATGTATGATATTTGCAATCAGGAGAAACGTCCGCAGGATCGTACAGAGCGCTTTTTTGGAAAAAAAGTCGAAATAAAAATCGATTAAATAATTTGAATGAACGTTCATCCCGCGGCATGAACCTATATTTTCATTTATTACAAATTTTCAAGAACCTAAATGCAAAATCGGGCTCTGTACGACCCTAGATATTAATATAAGGAAGATGTCCATGTATGTCTGATAAGAAAATATGATGTATGCGTGGCAAAATTTGTAAGTGTAGATAACACGGAAAGTGTAGCCCAGTTGCACTATAGTGCAGTCTGTATGACCTAACCTTCCTGCCTTGCGTTCGCGCGAGCAATGCATTAGTATTAGCGTATATATGAGCAGTGCATAAGTATTGCCGTGTGTATGTGTATGAATACCTTCCAGCCTCCACTTTAAAACAAAAGATATTTTGCCACATTGACGATATATGTAACCATTAAATTGATATGGAATATTTCTTGAACTATTATCGAGGTCCCTACAGAGTCAGATTTCGCAATCCAGCCGTCCATAATTTATGAAAAAGAAATGAAACGTCCGCCGTACCAAGCATCGCTGCGAGTCACTCGAAATATCATTTTACGAGATGCAATATTTCGTCTCTTTGACGATACGTATTATTAACAAATTGTTGCAGCATCTTCTTCGTACTATTTCCGATATCGGTACAAAGCTGGATTTTGCAATCTGGTCGTCAAAAGTTTATAATATATAAATAAAGCCATCCGTCGTACCAGGCGTTAAAGCGAATCAGTTGAGAAATGATTGTAGGAGATGCAAAATTTCACCTCGTTGATATATTTAACCGCCAAATTGTTATAGCATCTTCTTTGAACTAACCCCGAGAAACCTACAGAGCCAGATTTTGCAGTCAGGCCGTGAAAAATGTATCATAAATAAATAAAGATGTATGACGCGTCGGAGCGGATCACGTACAATACTATTTTACAAGAAGAGATCTGCCTCGTTGGCGATATATGTAACCGCCAAATTTATATATATGAAATATTCCTTGAACTATTATCGAAGTCCCTACAGAGCCAGATTTTGCAATTCAGCCGTCAAAAATTTATAATATTTTAATAAAGCGAGCGTCATACGAAACATCGCAGCGAGTCCCGCGAAATACCATGTTACAAGAAAAGATATTTTGCCTCGTTGCACTCATATATTACCACCAAATTGTTACAACATATTTCTCGATCTATTTCCGAGGTCTTTACAAAGCCAGATTTCGCAATCAGGCCGTCTAACTTTTATCACAAATAAATAAAGATGCACCAAGCGTCAAGGCGGTTCACGCGAATACAATTTCACAAGAAGAGATATTCCGCCTCGTTGACGATATATGTAACCGCCAAATTGATATGGAATATTCCGTGAACTATTATCGAGGTCCCTACAGGGCCAGATTTTGCAATCTAGCCGTCCAAAGTTTATGAAAAATAAATGAGTCCGCCGTACCAAGCATCGCTGCGAATCACTCCAAAAATTATTTTACGAGATGCAAAATTTCGCCTCGTTAACGATACGTATAATTGCTAAACTGTTATAGCATCTTCCTTGAATTATCCCTGAGGACCTTACACAGTCAGATTATGCAATCGGGCCGTCCAAAATTTATAATATATATATATATATATAAAGCATCAGCCGTACCAGGAGTTGCAGCGAGTCAGGTGGAATACCATTTTACAAGAAGCTCTCAGGTTTCTCTCTGATTTAATGAATCTTGGGTCTGTTCTTTATAGCTGCACTGCTGAACTAGTGCAATAAGTTAGAATGAGAAAAAATAGTTGAATGCTTACGATAACGAGAGTGGAGCGAGTGAGATCTCGATCTGCGTACCTATAGGTCATTCTACAATACGTGTCGTAAGTTGTAAGCCGTAAGAACTGACCAATTATAGCCGATTATTTTTGTAATAATCGACTGTGATTCGCTAATTCTTACGACTTACAACTTACGACACGTATTGTAGAATGACCTTTAAGAACAGACCCAAGATTCATTAAACTCTCCCAAGTACGCTGTTATGGTTGTAGCACGGACATAAACCGCCTGAAAGTGGATGTAGCACCACATGCAGGTTTTACCGCCGAGACCTGAAATTGGATGTAGCATCGTAGTTCTCTTCTCAAAATGGATGCAGATGGCGCCCTTTCCAGTGCGAAAAGTTGGTGCAGTCGGTGTCGCCGAAAACGCCGTGTTGGCTGCTTTCAGGTTCTTCTCTGAATCTAGTAAAAAATACTCTGTGTGCCATAACTGTTAAGCCAGCGGCACACGGTGCTGGTTTTCGTGCTGGATTGCTTGCTGGATGAAAATACTGCGTTTTGATTGGCGCATTTCCATCCATCTTCGAAAATGTACCAATCAGAACGCAGTATTTTCATCCAGCAAGCAATCCAACACGAAAACGAGCACCGTGTGCCGCTGGCTTTACTCTCATAATCTGTTTGTTTGCGAAGTGAAGAGATATGCAAGTAAATCATGTCTCTTTTTCCAGCTTATTCATACAATACACCTGAATCGTCAAATAATGAAAAGTCTGGTAATTATTTCATTTTGGTTTTATTAATCCTTACATGAATTATATAAAGGTTGAAGATAAATATTTCTTTAATTTTCCTATAAATATAAATATATTATAATATGTATATGATCATTTTTTAAATTTCTTTCATTCTTTTCAGATAATGCTTCTGTTGAATGGTTATCAAATTCAAGCTTTCAAACACCAGTGGTAACTAAAAAAGAATTTGATGTATCTCTATATTCTTCATCCGACGAATCTTTACAAGATACTGAAGAACAAATACAATGTGAAACCACTTCTTTAGATGCAAAGAGATATGCAAGAAGCAAAGAATTGAAAACTGATAAAGTACAAAAAACAAACAGAAGAAAAAAGCACAAACATGTTGGCAAAGAACATAAGCCAGGATATGAACACAATGTTGAAAACATCTGTTTTGAAGATAAACATAGAGATAAAGGAAATAATAACATTGATACATTTTGCTCTAGAGTCAGACCAATGTATGATATCAGTGAGAAATATATTGGTTCTTTTGTAAAAAATAAACGACCAAAGAAAGACAAATTTCATAGATATTATATTAAAAATATTGATTCTGTTGAGGCATTAAAGAAGAAAGATACAGTTATTAAAAAGACAAATATCAAAGAAAGTTCAAAGCATGATGAAAAGGCAGAAGAAAGTTTACCTTCTTGGTGTAAGCATTTGGAAGAGGAACAGAAGTCTAAAACTAAAGAATATAACGAGCAACTGACAGAAAATCCATATAATGTTGAACTTTGGATACAATATATCAAATTTCAGGTATTAAACATTGTTCTTTGTTACATTTCGGTTCTTCATAACATTGTATTTTCATACATTGTACTCTGTAGAAAACTAAACTTGTAATAGTTCAGTGTTAATTTCACAGGATACTCTAACTAATTATCAAAGACACCAATTGTCAAAAGATACATATCGATCTACTATATTAAAAAAGTTATCTATTGCTGAAAAGGCGCTTGAAAAGAATGGGAATTCCAATGAATTATTGAAATTGAAATTACGTTTTATGAGTGAATTAACACCCTCTGATGAATTCTCAAATCAGTTGGAAATATTAGTCAATAAAGATTCAGGAAATATTGTGTTATGGCAACATTTTATTATGGCCACACAAGGTTCAGTGGCAATGTGTACAGTACCAAAAGTCTTGGATTTATACTCAAGGTGCTTCAGCATCTTAAGACAACGGTCGAGAACAAACCCTTCTCTCTACGATGCACAATTACTACGTATTGTCATACATATTTCTCTCTGATATTTGGATTCTTGTCATATTTGTTTCATACAGACTAATCCTTCACATTTGTGTTTTATCTAGAAATGCTCCATCAGTGTTTAACATTTCTGAGACATACAGGATTATGGGAACAGATGTGGGAAACGATACGTTTAAATCTAAACTTGAACCTAAACTTAGATAAAACCAGTTTGTTTTTTCAAGGTTCCATAGATGAAAAGAAATTAAGTATGTAATATAGTACTTATTTGATAGACTCCTATTAGGGCCTTCCAAAAATTATAAAAAAAAATAAAATTTTTAGAAATGTTCGTGACAGATTATTATAAGATAATGTATAAAAAAGTGTCGAAGTCATTAACTTTTTCCAGCAGGCAATTGTAATGAAAAATGCCATGCTTGTCAGTGAAAGTAAGTATATCTAAATAATTTTTTAAGAAGAACTTAATAGGAGCCTCCTGTGATATAATAATATCCCATTAATGTCACTAATTTTTTTTGTAATGTTTATTTCTAGTTGGGATGGAAGAAATGGTACTGATGTCGCGATTACCACTTAATCAGCTATGGCAAAGGACAGAATCATTGAGAGAGAATTATCACTGGATCAGCGTTAATAGAGACGAGTTGGAGTTAGTTGGAGATTCACGTAGATTCGTCTTGCCGGAAGACGTGGCAGACTTTGTACATCCGATTCTCTCGCGTAATTCAAATTTCCAAATGGCCATTTATTCTCTTTTGTGTCTAAAAGTACCACTTCTACCTTGTCGAGATTATTACTTAAAGGTAAATTATTGCCTCGTTTTAAGAAAAAAAACTTTAGTATATAGTTTCATATTTGAAGTATAAAATTATGACGATTATTGAAAAAAATATCGGGGAAATTAAGAAAAATAGAGAATATATAAATAAAAAAGTTGTTTCATACTTTTTTTACAGGAATTATCATTAAAAGATTTTCACTGGGAAGTGGAATCCTTGGAAGCGTTGCTTCCCTTTATGTATCCTATGGTAGGTGAAATGGCTGGTCATGATCAGAGGAAGGATTTACTGAAGGATATTCTCGAAGGACGTTTAACGTCGGGCCCTCAATATGTCAAATTCCATCCAGCGCAAGAACCGTATTTAGACTTCGTACGTAAAGTCTTTCACACGATCGCGGAAAGCTTACCTTCGCTGCAACGCACGAGTATATACGTCTGGTGGTTGCGATTGGAAAGGTTGCTCGTCTCTCTCGGCAAAGACGAACCCTTGAAACACGACAGCAAGTAAGATTGTTGGCACACACACCTGTTAATCAGGATGAGATCTAACCAGTTTAATTAAATGGACAACCAATCACATACTTCATTTTTACAGAGGAAAGAAACTAAGAACAACGTTGAAGGAGTTCTTAAAAAAGGATGAAAACCGGAATAACTTATATTTTTATAAAGAGTATGCTTTGATAGAATTGGAGATGGGCAGGTTCAGTAATTGTGTCAATATACTCGAAACCGCCATTCAGTCTCAAGGAGCATGCCCTTCCGCGATCGCCAACGTGTGCGAGAGGGCAGCGCTTTTCAGTGTGTATAGAACGTTCATCGAGACCTTGCTTGATGCTAGAACGTACGTCGATTCGCACAGGCAATGGATACTGAAAGTCTTTGGTCGGATGATACCTGGGGAAAATGCGGATCAAGACTCGCTGGTTGAAAGATACTTACATGAACACGTACATGACTTCTTACAGAACGTGCCCGATGAGAATGGAAAAGACACCTTTTTCTTGTCGAATCTGGAATGCGACGCGATTGTGTGCTACGCGTATTTTCTGTATATCAGGAATGACGGTATCCAAAGTGCTATTGAAATATTGGGCAGCTGCATCGATCATTCCAAGGATCGTCCTTATTTACAGGTGTCAATTTAACTTTGTTAACATTATTGAGCGAATTAAAATGATTAATATATAAACTGACTGAAAATGATTGTAGGAAATGTTGTATGAAAGCCAAATTGCAATCTTACAATTGCATTACGAACAGAAGCATAGTTTGCAGAATACTTTGAAAGAAACACTGAGCAGAACTTTGAGTGTATACCCGGACAACTTTTATGCCTTATCGGTATTTGCTATCATAGAGGTAAAACACTTATTAATGTTATGTAATTAATTAGAACTGTTATTAACAATTGTCATGCTCAAAGGAAGCAAGTAATTTCATTATATTAGGTAATTAAATTGTAAAAGAATTATGATTACAGAGCGAATTACCAACATGGAGATTCAACAGCAGAAGCATTGAAATTGAATTGTGGAGAGCTGTAGCAATGTGTTTAGCTGCTCGTAGACGTATTGGTCTCTTGATGAAATATGACCATTCTGATGCAGTGACAGCTACACTGAATAAGCTGTTATCCTTTCATATGACGCTTTCTAAGTATGACATAAATAGATCACTTTAAAATTTAATAAAAAATCTTAAATTTAATTCTCACAAATATACAGGATGTTGAAATTTGCTGTACTTTGAGATATACATGTTATGTAATACTGACACAATTGTGTTTTCAGGATATCATGTATCAAATGCTGCCCATTGTTATGGAGACTATATATGTTGCTCCTACGGGAGCATAATTTGTGCGAGAAAAAGGGAGAAGAGATTTATCACGAGAGTGTCATGCAGTGCCCGTGGACACGAAGTATTTACATAGATGCAGCTGAAGTAGCTCCTCAACTTCTTACACAAATTCAAGATGTGATACGCGAGAAGGAATTAAGGATGCATGTCACACCTGAAGAATTAGATATTCTGCGTGGATAATTATATGATCCTCAAATGAAAAGATATAAAAATATATATATATTGTTCCCTACTTGTAAATTTTCTGCCTTAAGTAAGACCTTAAGTAAGACGTTATTCAGTTTATAATTTTTAGTGATCATGATATTTAATTATTGTTTTAAATATAAAAAATGTTCATATCACATATTGATTCTTATATTAACTACCCCATTTATATATTAAATTTAAATATTGTAAATATATTACATCTGATCACACACGATAACGAAAACTGCAAAGAACGCTCAGATCTAGAAATGTTTGGTTAGACCACTGATATGGTGAAGAAAATTATATAAGCATTTTTTCTCGAACAAGTTAACAAAATTTAAAAGGTAAACAAACACATTGTCCTAAGTTATACGTATTGTTTTCTCATTAAAGAAAATAATAATAATTTTTTGTACATATGTATATTTCTCAATAACAAAGCTAACCTCAAAAATTGACAGGGTATTAAATGTTATGTGTATTTCAATAACAATGACAAAACAAATGAAATGGTTTTATAAAAGTACGCTCAGTTAAAAATCATGTTGAATAATAATTATTTGTAATATCTCGACATTCTAAGTAAATTTGTTATATATTTTGGTTAATATTACAGATATTTTGTAACCAGCATCACATATCCCTCAAAAGATGGATTTAAAAGCTGTAGTAATTTCTGGAGAAGCTCCAGAATCTGATGATGATACCTCCAATATTGCCACTGTATGTTATTGTATTCAGTTTTATATATTATGAACTTAGTATAATTAGAAAAAGATATATTTGCAAATTCTGTTACACATGAAGGGTTTAGGATTTCCTGCTGTACGAACATCAAACTATTGTGGCACAATCATCTCTGGTGAAGCACCAGAATCTGATGATGGTAAATTTATCAATATATATATCTGTATTTGAATAGGAACCTGATATAATATAGTTATTTTTACTTACAGATCTAACTAGCTTGAGCAGCATTAGTGGAGCAGTGGATGCCATGACATGTCCTCCTTATACCGACCTCAAGATACCAAAATCTAAAAAGAGTACCATCAAGTACAATAGTTTGCTTCACAAGAAGTTACGTAAGTAATTTAACAATTCCAATATTTTAGGATCTTATTTCTGTATAGTAACAAGATATTTACAAAAAATAACTATAAAATGTTACTTCTGTTAACATTCTTTTATTAATATTACAGCAGTACAGTGTGCATAACTACAGCTAAACAGTATTATATAAGTGTTGTGTATGTGGAATATCGATAACTTAATTGTTCAGTAATTTATATCACCTATCTAACTGAGTTTCGATCTGCTGCATCTAGAACTTGTTCACGCACAGTTATAGTATCTATCTAATTCACTCTGTACAAACAATGTTTTCTTTTACAAGTTCTTATAAAACAGCGTTTCTGGAAGTACATTAAATTAGATCTCGAGAAACGAACGGAAATCGATATATACATGTATACTGCTTACGCGTGAATTTTGAACATCACTTTAAATTGACATGTGTTAAACTTGAACAGACGAATGCAATGAAACCTTGGACAAAGACATTCTGCAAATGACCGAAGGCGTCATCACGACCGGGGTACAAGAATTGTCAGCTGTCAATCGACAATTGTTGAGAAGCGAACTGGTTCTACAAGAGGCTGTGTGTCAATTGCGTAACGCGTCTGGCCGGGTAAAGGATGCCTCCAACGCTCTGCACCAACTCATAGACGACGACTTCTTACATTCCATTAAAACTTAATTTCTAGAAATTATTAGTGCGTATTTATACTCTTAAGAGAGATATTACTTGTAGTGATGTAACAGGCATGAGTTTGGTAATAATGCCATCTCGGTAATCGCGCATTAAATGCGGACATTAGAAAATGTATATTCGCTTTACATCTGGGGACATTGTTGAGCATTACTATCGATCTTCCTCTTTTTCGTTTTTCCTAACTGGCAGTACTATTTCGTGTGTACTTTCTAGCGCATTTTAAATTCATTTCGAGAGATGAAGTGTCCATCTCTCTCTCTCTTCCTCTCCTTCTCTTCCTCTCTCTCTCTCTCTCTCTCTCTCTCTCTCTCTCTCTCTCTCTCTCTCTCTCTCTCTCTCTCTCTCTCTCTCTCTCTCTCTCTCTCTCTCTCTCTCTCTCTCTCTCTCTTACTTCAATTCGTTATAAACTAATATTCTAAGATGGATTCACGAAATCGAATGTATATTGCGCCTGATTTAATGATACATCCGATTAATAGCAAACGGCTCAATACTAGTCTCGTTGCGTCGTTTTTTTATTTCCGAGTTACGTGAATTTTTTTTCCAACACGGTGGTGGTATGAGTTTCTAATGTAAATATGTACTATGTAGTTAGTGCACAGAGAGGTGTGTTGTAATTACATTACGATATATATATCAAAGAACGTCACGATATTGAAACAGGGTATTTCTGCGGAGAGTAGACATACACTTCCAATACGGCTCTTTTAAAAAAATGCAACGTATATGTGTGTGTGTGTGTGTATGTGTGTGTATATTACTTGGTTTTGCAACTTTCGAGGATCACATAGATATAAATACGACATTGCTTGTTGCAATCGTAAAGCTGGAGTTATTTAGTACCTAGTTACACATGTGTATGCATAATCTTGTCAGAAATACCTGTCTATTTTCTTTCTTTTCTGCGGGTTTCGTTTTTTATCAAATGCACAACTTTGCTTGGTATCAAAGGGCTGATATCGACTTTTTTTCTTGCTATTACGTCACTAACGTTAGTGTATAATGAGTTGGTGATTTTAATGGGGATGGCTTTTATTTTCCCTATAAATTCAGTCTTAAATATTTCCATCGATCTTCGTTGAACTAAATCTCGGTATGACGTATCTAAGTACAAAAATCTCATAAACAAAACACGTTTCGCTAATACTTGATATGACAATATCGCGACGGAATATTCACTGTGAGACTGCTATTTATGCAGCTTCCTTGTGTATATTCAGACAAGTTAGTAGCTAAATCGCGTATGTATAATCCTGTCGTTACATAGCAAGTTCTTATGTTGTATCAAAGCAATTCCATACGCTCACTAAAAATGTAAAGTATTGCCAAAGCATAGTTGTGCCACAGAATATAGTGTATATAGATTAAAAAAATTCTACAAAAACTTAAAACTATACTACTTCCTCTATGCATATATATATATATAATATGTATAAGACGAAACTATACATTATTACACAGTACCTAAATCTGTCAAGTGTGTAATAAACGCATTATTCACGTTTCATGTCTCTGTACAATGTCTCTGTCACTGCGTTTGTCTTTTACGTTTGTTCTCCGCGCGAGAAAAAATACGGGATCTTCGTCACTGATACGTGTATGTATTGTTGTTAATGTAGCAACTTTCATGCTCGTTTTTTCGGTAGAGAGTTTAACTCTATTATTGTGTAAATTAAGATCAGAGATGGGCTCAATTCCAGAATAGGATCAGAGTTTGATGTAGCTGTCGACCTTTGTAGGATATGCGACGTCGCACTCTATACATGTTAGCCAATGTGAGGGCGCCCACCCCCCACATGGCCTACGCTCGCTCCAACTCACCGCTTGCAAACATCTGAAGAAGAATCATAGATTCTTGCACTTGTCGCCTGTCCACCAGGAATCTGCCAGATGCTTCCTTCAGCTGCTCGAGGAAGAGTCTGTAATACCGCACGAGAATTAATGGTACTGTCTCGTCTCTCATGAAATCATTATTTTAATGCACAATCGCAAGAGACTTACTTGTCAGACACTATATCGGCTAAACTATCCGGATCCATATCGCTGAGCAATTCCAAGTCGTGGGGTCCGAGCAGCGAAATATGCGATGGATCACCATGCAGCGACGACACCAAGGGTTCTATGAGCGTTCGTTGCCGGATCTTATCGGTTCTTGAACTACCCTCTACGTTGTCCACGTCGTCCACGACGATATAACGGGACGCTCTCTTGCTTCCTACAGCGACCCATTTCTGGTCGCCATGCAGCACCATCAAGCTTGTATTTCTTTCCAACGTGGCGAAATACTCCTCATCATCTACCTCTGTCCCTGAAAAACGATATTTATCAAACGATTAGAGGATTTCGTTTTTTCTATTATAAGGAGAACATTGTTACAACATAATATTGTTATATATATAAAAAACATGGTATATGATATACTATTATAATACCATTGGAGCAACTCGATGAAATTTCAAAGGTACATGACAAGCAACTGTCATAACACTTAACTTAATTATGTGCCTGAAATTTAATATTTTAAGCATTTAACTTTAAAATTTTATTAAATATTAAATTATGTTAAATACAAGAATTACATTAGATTAAAAATTAATTAGAAACTGTTAAGTTACGTTGAGCTATAAAAAATTGTATGTTAATTGAAAGAATGTTGAATGTTGACACATCAATATTCAACACGTTAACGTCACTAAAATTGTTACAGTGCATTGACATCGGTCTATTTGCAGAAGAGAGAAAGAGGTCACTTGTTTACCATCCTGCTCGAGCACGATTGTCAGATCCGCGTCCACGGGGAACGCCAGACGACTACGTGCGACATTAGTCAGCTCCTTAAGCGACGAGGCGGTGATGCCCTTCCTCCGCTCCCTGGTGTGGTCAACGATCTTGTAAGGGTTGCCCGTTCCCTGTGCGATTCCCTGCGCGTCTGACATCCTTACGTCGGACGGCGAACTCGAGGAAGATCTCTTGACTTCGTTGATCACTGCTGATCAGCTCGAAGTCCGACTTGGTGCGCCGCGACGCTGCGGAATCGACGCCCAAATGGGTAAGCGCGAAAGATTTAAGTCAGGAAGAATTCACTTTCTTGCAGAGGACTGACTGCTACTAAGGCCTGATTCTCGTTGCACATTAGTTGCCACGGTGCCTTGACGGTGTGTCCGAGGTCTTGAGCGGCCCGCGTCGATGACAGAAGCGAGACGGAACTGGAGGAGTACGCCCTTGCGCGAGGGACGTAACACTTGAACACGATGTGCAAACGCTTTTTTTTCTTTTCTTCTTCGTCGTCGTTCTCCTTATTCGTGAGCAGAATCCCCTCGACAATGCATTAGGAGACGAGGTGCACCGCTGTCCGACACCTTCGGATGAGAAATCGTACCGTTCGAGTGAACGCAAGGTATGAAAAGGGCAGTGCTCAGGATTGCGTCGACGAATCGACCTGGTAAAACTAACGGGGGGAGCAACTCGAGGAGCAGGAGATTCTCGCGAGAACGTGTGCACACGCTCGACAATTCACACGCGCGCAGTAAGAAAAAAAGAGAACGAGAAGAGAAGTCAACGAGAGGCGGTGGCGGCAACGGCGCAAGCGAGAGAGAAAGAGAGAGTGAATGCCTTGAGTGACTGAACTGACCGTGTGTCAACCCAACACTGGGTCAACGGTGCAACTACCCCTTCTATTTATACCCCCTGTAGACTCTCCCGCAGGTATATACACGAGCGAGAGACACCCCGTCGACACACGGCGCACCCCACCCCCACCTATCTACCTAGCCACCTACCAACCCCCGACCCACCGCGCATCCCATAGAGAAATCAATAATCTACCCCCACTTCCTCCGGCCGTGCTCATTTTTTTATCAGCGCCAGACGAGAAATTTACGAAGATACACCTTGGCCACCGCAGATGCGGGGCGGGACAATGCGACCTCCGGATGCACGGACGTGCACAATTGATGAAATGACTCGCGGTACAGACGGATCGATCCGTTTCTCTGAACTTGAGAGGCGCAGTCGAAGATAAAAATGCTACAGCAATGTATATATAATTCAGATACAGAAGGTTCTAGAGATTCTAGGAAGAATTTAGAACAAAAGGTTCTCGAGAATCTCTTGATACGTTCCAGCGCTGTCACAGCGCATTTTAATACAAAGAATTTTATATTCCGTGATTCTGTGCGTTGTCTTTTTGTTTATTGCTTCAACAACGAGTTATTAGGTCGATATAGATATCAACGCAATACTTGCTGAGAAAATGTTGAACATATAAATTTCTCTGTTGCAATATCAAAATGTTGCATAATATATTTATCGTCAATAGTTCCTCGTGTAAAATAGCCAAATTGTTGTTAGTACACCTGACAAATCTTCTAACTTTCTTCCACGGCACTACGACGTATATTTTCATTTGTAATTTAATGAACATGAAATTCACACGTATGAAAAATTTAATACCGTAATATTTATTAAAATTATAGATCTCCCTGTTCGCGAATATTTAAAGTTTACTAGGATCTTTGAACTTAAGAGACAGCACTGTGGTTAAATTTAGACCAATGCGACTAGACACTGTTTAAAGTTAGCTCGGACATATCCCAGTTAGGGCTCCTAGGTGAGCCGCAGAATTCGTACGAATGGAGTTAATCATATTTGTCTAAAATTTCGACAGAATTTGGATCGAGAATGCCGTCAGCATCGAACGGAAATAAACAGCCCGACGATAGTCAGACATGGGAGCTGGCGGAGAGGTGTCTGCTACCCATAGCATTTTCACACGCAGTTGCGGTAATCCTGGCGACTATACTCAACACCTTCGGCATCTCACAAACATCTAGTTTCGTGCTTTTCATACTACTGTTGATCATATCAGTAGGATCCACGCTATTCTATCACAATCTAAAGGTAAGACACTTGTCTATTACCCATGCTCTCCTCTACAAGAATCCGATATGTGCCCACTCTCGAGCAACGGCAGTTTTAGTCACGATTACATGCCGTCACACGGTGACTTACACAGTGAATTACACGCCCCAATTATCTGCTTCGCCGATCTATTTTGCAGTGGATTTCTGCAAAAAATTTAGGCCAACAAAAAAGATTTGTGTTATTCATCTTAACCTTTGGTAAACTAGAATCGCGCTTTTGTAACAAAATTACTCAGTGCTCCCCTCAACCTTTCATATTCCTCATAATGTCAGACACTTGCGAGTATTTGAAGTTTTCAAAGGCCCTTTACAAAGAAGCGGATACGGATTTTTACACCAGGGCGGATCCGAACCTTTGACCTTTTTTACATTATATCGACATAACGCAGCCGTCTCATTGCATGCACCGTACTTCCTGTTTTATATCTTTTAAGTTTTTTTTTTTAAGAAGCTTTAAGACCCTTATCGTTCGATCAATGACGGAATTACCTTCAAAGCATCATAAACCTTCGCCAACGGGCCGTGATTCTTCAAATTATAAGCGTTGGTTCATTAAATGTACGTAACAATCACTCGATGCAACAGGTTACTGCTGCAGGGAAAGCAATACTAATCACAGGTTGCGATTCGCGAGTTGGATATGCTCTGGCTAAACAACTGGACGACTTGGTAATATATGCCTGAAGTATAATTAGTCAACTTGACGATTTCAAGCGAATGTCTACGATTGGTCTTTCTTTCTCTCTCTCTCTCTCTCTCTCCCTCCTTCTCTCCCTTTCAGGGCTTCACTGTGTTCGCTGGATTTAACAATAAAGCGGAGAATGAGGAGATCATGCAGAAATTAAAAGATGACGCTTCGGGCAGGCTGCACGTGCTGCAGTTGGACGTCATCAGCGAACGTGATATACACTCTACCTTTCTCTACGTCAACGAGAACCTGCCCGACGGGGCTCCTGGTATATCTCTTAAAGTCTCTTAAAGTTATCAATCTTTTGCATAACGGATCATTCCATCCATCGACGCGTTATTTCAGGACTATGGGCACTGGTGCATGCTGCTGCTTGGGTGACTCTCGGAGAATGCGAGTGGATTCCCCCATCTGTTCTCAAGCGAAGTATAGATATCAATTTCATCGGTCTGGCACGCTTAACTCAGGTACTTTGAGCATTGCAAATGGCAAGAGTAAGGGGGCTAATGACATAATTTACCATGTTCTCTCTTCTCCTCTTTTTCTGTAAATAGGTATTTCTACCCTTGGTGAGGAGGTCAAAGGGTCGAATCGTTTTGGTCAGTAGCCTTTTGGCGCGGATACCGAGTCCCGTTCGAGGCATCTATTGTGCGCTTAAGGTAAGCTCTCCTTGGTTACAGCGTCATATAGTCGCTTGTCTATTTGTGTAATCATGTAACTGGAAGTATTAATAAAGCTTGAGTAAATCAATAGAGGATTGTATAAATATCTTAGGCTGCTGTGGAAGCCTGGGGTTCATGTTTAAGGCTGGAGATGCGAAGATGGGGTGTGGATGTTGTAATTGTCGAAACTGGAGAATATATATCTGGTAACGCATGGCTGAAAGATAATACAGCATTGCTAGAACAAGCTAGAGATATGTGGACACAATTGGATCCTCAAACTCGCAAAGAATATGGCCAGGAACTGTTTCAATCAGAGATGTTAGCTCTGGAGAAGTACACTCAGGGACCTGAGGCAGATTTAACTGCAGTTACAAGGACTCTCACAGATGCTGTGGTAAAGACTTTCCCAATGCGGCGGTACACGCCTGTATTGCGTAGTGAAAGAATACAAGCAATGTGTAATCATTATTTGCCAAAGCCGATTTATGATATATTATACACAAATTAAATATACATCCTACATACTGACATGTCATCAATGCTCAGAATACAATTAGAGATAATTATATAGATACACTTTTTTGAACAAATAATAGATAATACTGTAAAAAGAGATTTATGTAAAACAAAGAAACAAGTTTTTTAGCAGTTTGTGCAACCACTTGAAACACTGCCTATGTAAAACAACTGCAAAGACACTGTGTCAATTAATAAAGTTACTCTACCAAATTACAGTTTACACTCTTCACAGACATAAGCATAAACTTTAATTATCTGAAACTTTACCAACAAAACAAACTATAAGGCAATTTACTTAGTTTGTATGTTTAAGTGACTTATAATTATTTTCTATTTTATAAATGTGAATATTTTCAACATTCTTAGAACCAATATTTATGTTAGAAATGGTAAGCCGTTAGAAATAGCAGTTAAAGATAGTCGGAATTTATGGTTGTGATTTTGCAATTCTAGTAATAATAGTATTAATAAAGCTTGGCTATGCTTTGAATAGTATTAATAATAGTATAGTATTAATGATGCTTGAATAACCTTTTGATATTTCCAATTTCCTTTAGAAAAATTACATAATAGTAATATATATATATATAATAATAGTAATATATAGTAATAGAAAAATAAATAAATACCATAATCGTACAAGAAATCAGGCAATAACCACTAACAGTATACATTCATTTATGCACTGACATGTCAAACTTAAAATTTTTACAATATACAGTTGAAGCAGCATTAACCAATAGCGCTTAAGATAAGAAACACTGCTCGGCGATTGAATCCTTCCTACCATTGGTTACCAGAGAGGAAGCTGAGAGCGGCCAACACGGCGTTTTCGGCGACACCGATTTTTCGCACTGGGAATGGGCGCTATCTTCATCCATTTTGAGAGGGGAACTACGATGTTACATCCACTTTTAGGTCTCGACGGTAAAACCTGCATCTGGTGGCTGTCCGTGCTACATCCACTTTCAGGCGGTTTATGTCCGTGCTACAACCATAATAGCGTACTTGACAAGCACGGTCTCGCACATTGTTATGCATTTGTAACATGAATTAACATTACCATGCACAAAAAAAATAAGAATTGAGATTGTATATGATTAATATCATGAAGATTATATACGATTTATATCGATATATAAATGTATGATAATAAGATAATATATTGCATGTACCCAAAATTATTTCTCCAAAATATTTCAGCGTTACGTTAGTATTTATTTATACTCCGGCAGGCGTTTTTTAGCGCAATTGTGTCCGTGTGCATGGGTTGCATTGAAAGTGTGCGTGACGTACGTGTGCTTATACGCACTCCCACACGCACACGCGCCCACACACATACACGCACACACACACACACACACACACACACACACACACACACACACACATGCCATACCCAACAGTTAGAATCTCAGGATATATGCTTAAACATTTTCAATTACCGTACGTTTCTATGATATCTCCCCTTCTACTGGGAGTAGAGAGTCGTCATTTACGGCAAAATGTAGGGTTTTGAGAGGACTTTAATTTGGTGCCAGAACCAGGCCTGTATCTCTAACCGTTTAGGAGATATCGAGGGTTAAAGTTTTCCAAGCTTTCTCCTTCGATATCTCCGCTTCTACTGGGAGTAGAGAGTCGTCACTTACGGCAAAATGTAGGGTTTTGAGAGGACTTTAATTTGGTGCCAGAACCAGGCCTGTATCTCTAACCGTTTAGGAGATATCGAAGGTTAAAATTTTCCAAGCTTTCTCCTTTGATATCTCCGCTTCTACTGGGAGTAGAGAGTCGTCACTTACGGCAAAATGTAGGGTTTTGAGAGGACTTTAATTTGGTGCCAGAACCAGGCCTGTATCTCTAACCGTTTAGGAGATATCGAAGGTTAAAGTTTTCCAAGCTTTCTCCGTTGATATCTCCGCTTCTACTGGGAGTAGAGAGTCGTCACTTACGGCAAAATGTAGGGTTTTGAGAGGACTTTAATTTGGTGCCAGAACCAGGCCTGTATCTCTAACCGTTTAGGAGATATCGAAGGTTAAAGTTTTCCAAGCTTTCTCCTTTGATATCTCCGCTTCTACTGGGAGTAGAGAATCGCCACTTACGGCAAAATGTAGGGTTTTGAGAGCACTTTAATTTGGTGCCAGAACCAGGCCTGTATCTCTAACCGTTTAGGAGATATCGAAGGTTAAAGTTTTCCAAGCTTTCTCCTTTGATATCTCCGCTTCTACTGGGAGTAGAGAGTCGCCACTTACGGCAAAATGTAGGGTTTTGAGAGCACTTTAATTTGGTGCCAGAACCAGGCCTGTATCTCTAACCGTTTAGGAGATATCGAAGGTTAAAGTTTTCCAAGCTTTCTCCTTTGATATCTCCGCTTCTACTGGGAGTAGAGAGTCGCCACTTACGGCAAAATGTAGGGTTTTGAGAGCACTTTAATTTGGTGCCAGAACCAGGCCTGTATCTCTAACCGTTTAGGAGATATCGAAGGTTAAATTTTTCCAACTTTTTCCGTTGGTATCTCCGCATCTACTGGGAGTTGAGAGTCTTAATTATTGGTGAAATGTATGGTTTTTAGAGTACTACATTTTGGTGCAAGAAACAGGCCTGTATCTCTAGTCGTTTAGGAGATATCGAAAGTTAGAATTTTCCTACTTTTCCGTTGATATCTCCGCTTCTACTGGGAGTTGACAGTCGTAATTAATGGTGAAATGTAGGTTTTTTAGAGGACTATATTTTAGTGCAAGGAACAGGCCTGTATCTCTAGCCATTTAGGTGATATCGAAGGTTAAAATTTTCCAACTTGTACCTTTGATATCTCCGCTTCTACTGGGAATTGAGAATGGAAGTTTATGGTAAGATTAGGGTTGATATAGGACTACATTGTGGCAAGAGCCCGTTCCTGTATCTTGAACCTTTTAGGAGATATAGTAATTTAAAATGGTTAACTTGTGATGATAATATCTCCGTTTCTACTGTGAATTGAAAATCGAGCTTTATGGTCAAAGTAGGGTTGATATAGAACTATATTGCAAAGGAGCGTTCCTGTATCTTGAGATCTTTAGTAGATATCGAAGGTTAAATATGTTATCGATGAGGTTCGCTTATAACTTCCATTTATCTCAATAGCGCTTCTCGGGAACATTCCGTTCGAAAGGTTATTCCGCGATAAAAAGTTTCTTGCGATCTGAGGCCGCTGTTGTTTAAAGTTAAATTGCAGCAACAGTATTGTTATCGGTCAACCCTGAGACCGGCTGCGAACATCCAATTGTGACGTCTGCCGCGCCTTTGCGATTACCGATAAATTCAGTTTTCTTGATTGCTCGCGCGATTTCAAGTGGCCATAATATATGGCGAGAATACATGGCAATATATGGGAATAATATATGGTAATAATATACGGCAACAATATATGGCAACAATATATGGCAACAATATATGGCAACAATATGTGGCAACAATATATGGCAATAATATAGGACAATAATTCATGGAATATATTTTTCGTTACAAGAGTCTATGCAAATTTGCGGCATGCACAATGTAATATTAAAAGTAATAATAAAGTAATAATAAAAGTTCTTTCTGCGAGCTTTGAGTCAGACACTCACCAATGATGATATTGATGATGTTCTGTTGCATCCAACCAGATCCACCAATGTCCGCCCATGTCCGCTGCCGCTCTCCATGTCGCGCAACATCCATCTTGCAGCTCGTCCCACGGTGATCGCTACACTTTCATCACACTTCCGCGACGCGGTCGATACGCGGTATTAGAACGGCGATATTTACATCAATTAACGAACGTTTTACTCGCCATCGGTGGAAACTTTTTGCGCGCTGCGAAACGGACTATAAACTCGATCGGCGAGGAGTAAGAACCGTGTGAAAATTTATTGACTCGTCCAATTGATTTTTACGGTGCTTTTCGCGATTGTGTCTGAAAAGTCGCGAAAATGTGGGATTATCGATATCTACGAGTGAAATATTCGCGACGCGAATGCACGCGAGGAAAGATTAGACAATCAGAAACCGGTCCCTCTTAGGGAGCGCAAAGAGAGAGGAGCGGCGCAAAGTTTTCACGCATTATAGCTCTGTCACGACGAAGCTTACGTTCGCGAAACTTTGGCGAAATGAGAATTTAAGTTTTCTTTGTTAGCAACGCGAGTAAAAACGCGTATATTGACAACCGCGGTCGCGATTCAAAGGCACGCGAGCGAGGATACCTCAAGCTCGGCGTGCGCTGGCGCAATTTCTACGCGCATTATACGCTACTCGAGACAATAGGGATTGTGATGAATGGACAATATTGCCAAATAATTCTACAGCCTGTTTTGCAAATAAAAGAAAAGTAGCTAACGATATCGGCATTTATTTATGAATATATTTTATACGGACAATTGAATATTGTCAAATAATTAAATCGTTAAGTAATTCTGCGGCCCGCTTGAAAAATAAAAATAAAGCAGCTGATGTCGGTCGTCGCGTTTGTACATATGAATATTCTCTTATTCAGATGACTGAACATCAAAAGAGAATCATTCAGTATTTTAAATCTTGTATGTAATGCAGGCTATCGATCAAGTAATCCCCTGATTGTTTCGAGCAATGTATTTTATTCAACGTCACAAATACACACATGCAAGTATCTATTTACAATTCGCATTGACTCGAACGACATTTTTTAGTCCCACATCCGTCATGCAGAATATTGTTTCTCTTTTCATTTTGACTCACCGAAACGACTTGCAGTCAGAGCCGGCCACGTTCCGCTTCAACTCTGTAACAAAAAATTCACATTTGCTTATCAGATTTGACCAACGAGTGCGGGCGAGTAAAAGAGTAGTTTACCCTCTGCGATCGTAATTCAAGTCGAGGCGGAAATTATATTCCAGCTCTAGATCGCCAAGTCAAACAGAGGACTATAGTAAACTTGTAAACTTACCTTCAAGCCGACTCTGCTTCGCCCGAACCGGATCCTCCGGTGCGGCATCCGCGTCTACCGGATTGCTGTTGCTTTCCGCAACAACTGAAACAGAAAAATAATTTTCCCGGTTGATAACCTGCGGTAGAGAGAGAATATCTTTGATCGGGACCAATCGAAAATACGGATATATTTTGATACGGAATTTTTATCTTTATATTTTTGTTCCAACATTGAAAATTTAAATGGGACTTGAAGCTTTCAAGAGAGCTGATGAGGAACAAGTTACAAAGGCAAAAATCGTAAAGAGTTGAACACAGATGTGTAGGAAACTTGTAAACTTTACCTTCCGGTCGACCCTGCTCTGCCCGAACCGGATCCTCCAGTGCGGCATCCGCGTCCGCCGGACTTGCTTCCCGCAACGTCTGGAACAAAAATTTAGCGTTCTTGGTTGGTAAGCTGCGGTAGAGAAAAAATGGTTGGTCAGGATGAGTGGAGAATATTCGTTACGATTTTTTTTCTTTATTGACATTGAATGTCTAGATAGGAGCTCTTGAAAGAGCTGACGAAAGAAAATGACAATAAGAAGCGGAGACAACAGTTGTGTGCTCTCGAAAATATTCTTTTACGGATGGACATTTAAATTCAGATCCCGTAACAAGAGTAAACAAACTTGAAAGAAGCGCTGACCGAAAACAAAAAAGGTCGCAGTCTAAGAAGCGATATGACGTTGAATATTCTACACAAGACCAATATTGGTCTTGTGTAGAATATTGGTCTAGAATATTGGTCTCTGTCTGGATCAATATCTTTTGTATATAACAACGCAATAAATAGATAAACAGACAGAGATTGACGAGAGTAATTGCAAATTCATAAAGTGATGATTACTAGTCGGATGATGACGGATTGTGAATGCCGAGCGCGAAATTCCGACTTCTTATTCCCGGAAAATTCGTCAAACGTACGCTCTCGTTATCGGAGACCTCCCGCGTAATAAATGATTCCACATACCTGGAAACGTGACGCATCGCTGCCGGCGTTCTGCTTCTCGACTGCTGAAGTCCTCCAGATTTCACTCGCTCACGCTTCTAATGCTCGCGATACTCGCGATTCGACCGTGCAGTTAATGAATGAGATGCCGACGCGATGCCGATTGAGTATCTCGAGGACCGACGAGATATATTTCTTTTAATTACACGAGACGGAAGTGACGAGAGCGTCGCGCACGGCTGCTGCTGATGGAATGAGGTCGAATACATGAGGTGCGCGAGTATTATAATACGAAGGGCAAAAAGTGTCGTCGCTCGCGAGCCGATCAACACAATCGGCGCGATATAAACATTGCGGGCCTCGGCGGCGGTTAAAGCAAGAGAGACTTGCCTTTGAGCGTCTCTTGTTTTCTCGAAGGTTTCGGAACGACGAGGGGAATGCGAGGAGGCCTTTCAACTGTACGCGACATTGATGCACTCTATTTATTGATTACTGAAAATAAAGAAAATTACTCTGTCGAAGCATCGGACATTTGTTAGCTTTATGTTAATTAAAGAGGAATGTATACGATTAGAAAATGTGTTAGCAACTAATTGTACAGAGTGTAAGTTGTTGTGACGCCGTTTTCAGAGAATAATTAAAGGTCATGGTAGCGTTAAAGAATGGAATTTCATTCTATGCGAATTTAGTCGCACTCTTATTAAATATTAGTCCTGTATAAAATGTCGTATTTAAAAGTATTGTTTCGCATTCACGAGATTTTGTCGTGAATTCTGCTCTCAGATTGGATCGCGGGTGAATACTTTTTAATGCGACGGGGAATAGAACGTGAAAATCTTGTATGCCTCTGAATCCGAAAACGATTAGGAGAAGAAGTGAATACTTTTCAATACGAAAGTTCGCATTTAAAAATTATCGATTGCGATTGAATACAAGGCATATTTGAAACGAATTGAATCCTTGTTAATGCGAAGCATTCACTACTGCCATCTCGCATTTAGCGCAGTGAAATTTAATGGGAACTAATACTTTTTATTTTCCCTTTCTTCGGATCAGAAAGTAGAATTCAGACGTATTCAAAATATCAATACTTTTTAATATGTTTCAGTTCGACATTTTATACAGGGAGATTATCCGCTGCGGACAATAACTCTTCTACTTTTCATTTAATATTTAATGATGATAAATAACATTTAATTGCATTCATTTGGCTTTTTTTATTTCGAAAATAAGAAAATATATACCGGGGTGAGTTTTATCCATGACAGCATTAACGTGATTTTCTTTGATGCTTTTTTTAAAAGTTCAAATATTTCGTCGACTCGCAGGATATTTATAATCGGAGTCTTGTCACGTTAATTACGTGAATAACATGTGCTCCTCCGAGCGGATCGAATGCTCACCGACGGCCACTGTCAGTGCCACGAGCGAATGTCCGGAGCGGACGGGATGCTGAATTAAAAAACAAGACGAAGTGAACGGGACGCGGACAACGATACATCATGCGTCTCCATACATGTCAAATTGTTTATTATAGAAGAGACTTTGATACGGCAATATATATTCGAAGATTTAACATTTAATACGTACTTTTATTTTTTCTGCTCCTCCCCCCCTTTCCCCCGCTCTTTTTAGACCACCAGGCATAGTCTGGCATAGAGATGGCAACTGTCATTGCAGCACGGACATAAACCGCCTGAAAGTGGATGCAGCATGGACTTCCACCATATGCAGATTTTACCACCGAGACCTGAAAGTGGATGTATTATCGCAGTTCCCCTCTCAAAATGGATGCAGATGGCGTCCTTTCCCAGTGCGGAAAATCGGTGTCGCAGAAAATGTTGTATTGACCGCTCTCAGGTTAAGCTAAGACTCCATGCATGCGGTGAGCTGCGGCAAATGCTGCGGTGACCAATCAGGAGGGAGGCGCAAGTCCGGTTGCGGCAAGCTCCGGCATGCGTCTGTCTCCTGATTGGTCACCGCAGCTGTTTGTCGGAGCTCACCGCATGCATGGAATCTTAGCTTTACTCTCTGTGGTTACTATCTCCGGCTTTCATATCACTGAACTTGTGCGTTCAGTGATATGAAGTAAATTATCACAAAATTTGTCATTCTTCCGAATCAAAGTGATAAATAATATTAATTTATTACTTAATCTGATTTTCCTATAATCCACATTCGATCCTTGAAGAAAAATGAAAGAAGTAACTTGCAAGGAAGTAAGTAAAGTGTAGCCGAGGCTTTTATATATATATATTATATATATACACATATACATTACTGATATCACATCTTCGTGTTGCATTGCGCACGCGCAGAAAACCAAGCCATTAACTGAGTATGGACGCGAGCCATCATAGTTTCATACTTCTGATACAATTATTCCTGAAATTTGCTGAATGAGTGTGAAGTATGTGTATTTTGTTACAAATTACCGATTTGATAGCGACATTATAGTTACACTTGCAAGTTTCTCACAACTTTGCTCCGACACTACAATCGAAGCCACAGAGGCGTATCGTAATTACAACGAGCGTACATGTATGGCTTCTGACTTTCAAGCAAATTGTGCGATCGCCTGCGTGTAAAATAGAGAACATCTTTGAGAATTGAAGGACAGGACTGCTTTGGGCTTTTTCCAACATCATAATTTGAATTAATTGAGCTGAGAAAAGAATAGCAATAAAGTTAACAAGTGTTTTGTGTCTCAAACCAAGCTAGATGTTCATGAATTAATAAGGAAGACGTGACGCTCATCCAGTGATCTTTCTCTCATAGTAAGTTTCAGCATAGAAATGGTTCTAAATTTCAGTAAATGAGAAGGAATTCCTAGTTTAGATTTAGATAAAATACTATTGTTCATTTTCTAAAAATATTTAAATTAGCCTAGTCAAATATAACGATATAAGAAGTAGGTTATGTTTAAAGTCATATCTCAGTATTAATATTTAATTCTTTTGTATTTTAAGGTTTATAAAAAAATTTACAAAACATTTTAATACAAAATGGCATTACCACCGAATTACAAACAAGTTGCAATAGCTACATCAAATATTGTTGCCTCTAATCGTGAGTACAATGAGTTGTTTAATTTTCTTAATTTAACTTTTATTGTTTAACATCAGAGCTATAATATCTCACTCATTGTATTTTATAGAACGAATGAGAGCATCTGGAGGAAGTACAAGTAGCTCAACAAATAATGTAAGTATATATTGTGATAAAATATATTCATTAAATAATTAGATTTGACATTAGATTTAATTTAAATCCTTTTTTCACATTTTAGAAAGATACACAAAGTCCATTTATCCAAACCCCACATAGCCATCCAGGATTTACACCTCAGAAAGTTGGCAAAAATACTAACGTGTGTATTATATCTTCTGCTCAAAGTTCCATTTGTTGTAATCAATTATAGATTCATTTAACTATAAAAAGACTTGAATATCTGAGTATTTATGTAATTTTTTCAGGCTGATTCTCGTACACCAAAACCACCTAAACCACCAGAGAAACCTCTCATGCCATATATGAGATATAGCAGGAAAGTATGGGATCAGGTAAAGGCACAAAATCCAGAGTTAAAATTATGGGAAATTGGCAAGATTATTGGACAGATGTGGAGGGATTTACCAGAAGAAGATAAGACAGAATTCATTGAAGAGTACGAAGCTGAGAAGGTATACAAAGATACTATTACATCTCTAACACTGTACAATTTAACAATATATTCATGCATGTTGCTTGTGTGATTGTTTAACATAGGTGGAATATGAGAAAAGCTTGAAGACCTATCATAATTCGCCTGCATATCTAGCTTATATTGCAGCTAAGAATCGTGGGAAATCGAGTAAGTGTGACAAGCATAGTTTCAAAGTTTATGGTAAAAAATGTGATGTAAAACTATTTAATAACATCACAATATCTTATATCTAATGCAGTGTTGTGTGTAGCACAACAAAACAACGATGACCGAGAAAGTCACGAACGTTCGTCAGGCAGTAGTAAAAGTCAAGCAGCTCAAGATAGAAGGATCGATATTTTACCAGCGGAAGATGACGATGGTACATCGACGATAATGATTATTCTCAGAGATAATTATCACATGTATATTACCAGTCATATGTTTTATCATATTTTCCGCTTGGTTTCTAGATCAAGATGATGGCTACTCCGTGAAACACGTGGCTTATTCGCGTTATACGAGAAATCATCGTCTCATTAATGAGATTTTCAGCGATACTGTCGTGCCCGATGTTCGTTCGGTTGTTACTACTCAAAGAATGCAAGTTCTTCGCCGTCAAGTACAGTCGTTAACGATGCATCAGGTAATTAATATACTGTCAAACATGTATTTTGTCATTATGTGTCTTAATCAGAGTGTATTTTTCTGTGTTCCAGAAAAAACTTGAGGCTGAGTTGCAACAAATCGAAGAGAAATTTGAAGCAAAGAAACGTAAATTCATAGAAACCAGCGAGATATTTCAGGAAGAATTAAAAAAAGTGAGTGGCAATTCTTTACAAATATTTTTTATACGATCGCATAAGAGTTTTAATAGTGAAGCGATCTTTGATTATAGAAAGTATTTCTTGAATGTGTAATTATTATGCAAGAAGATCCAAGAAGATTTCAAAACAAATATTGTATTAGCACTGTAGAAAACAGTCCTCGTGTCTTTCAGCATTGCAAGCCGGCGGTAGACGAAGAGACTTTCAATAAAATGGTAGAACGACAGTACGAAGCCATCAGACGAGATAGACAGAAAGGATCGGAAGAAAATCGTTCGGACGGGCCGGCATCGAGTGAATCCACTCCGAATTCCACTCCCACTCCGACTCCAGCGTCACTCAACGACGAAGCCCAGCCAGATGTAACAACATATAAGATACACTTAAAATTTCAAAGCATTCATATCACGACAGAATGTCTACATCATTTTTTTCTACAGGTTTCCGATAATGATACAATGGAGAAGAAAACCGTCGGCGGCATCGACAAAGCCAACATCGAGATGAGCAAGAAGATGTCACCGCCATATACCGAAACCAAGACGGAAGTACCGACGGTGCAAGCGAACGTCAGTCAGCCACACGCACCCAATACTGGAATGTACTGCAACGTGGTCAACCCTATTCAACATCCGCATCAGCAACAGACACAGACACCGCAGCACCAACCACCGCAACACCAGCCGCCACAGCATCAACCGCCGCAGCACCAGCCACCGCAACACCAACCACCGCAGCACCAGCCACCCCAGCATCAGCCACCACCTCAGCATCAACCAACAACTCCTCAACAATCCCATCAGCTGCCTCCACCTCAGCAGCAGCATCAAGCACCTCCGCCGCCACCGCCTCAGCAACAGCAACAACAACAACAGCAACAGCAACAACACCAGCCACAACCCACTCAGCAACAGCACCAGCCGCCGCCGCCGCCGCAATCACAGCAGCAACAGCAACAACCGCAGCAGCCAAATCCCGTGCTACCGCCCCAACAGCAGCCGACCACAACAGCTGGAACAGCAGCCGCGGTGGCGGCAGTAGTTGCCAGTGCGAACGCGACCGCAAACTCCACTCCGCCGAACATGCCGCCGGTGTCGGCGCCACCGGCAATACCGATCCAGCACAACCCCCATCAGCAGGGAATGCTGGCGAATCACTCGATGCCGCCGCACCAGACCGCGCAAGGCAGCCAGGGCACACAAGTGATGCCGCCGCAAGGACCGGTGACAAATCCACACACTTCCCAAATGATGCCGCCTAATCAAGGCTACGGCCAGCAATATCAGACCGCGCCCGGTCAACAGCCGCAGAACGTTCCGCTGGCTCCGCGACCGCCGCATCCTTCTTACAGCTATTCCCAGCAACAACCATACCATCAGCCTTACCCGCAATACACTCATCCGTATTACCATCAGCCGTACTCGCAGTATTCGCCTCACCCGATGGGACGTCCTCATGGCCACGGCCCACACAGCCCGCACAGTCCGCACTACCATCCGCAATCGCCGCACACCGCAATCGCCGATAGCGGCAACACTAACACCAACGTCACCGGCTCGAACGCCGTTACTGTGCCCGCAACTGCTCCTGATAACAATAATCCTTCCTCTTACTCATCGTCCGCAGGACACTGCGAAGGCGAACGCTCGGGTCCGTCGGATAACCAGGAAGGCCAGGTGGATGCTAAATCGGGATCCGCTTAAGTACTCTATCTCTTTTCTTTTTATTTTATAAATTATCGTAGAGTTGAAACCTTTGTTGATGTGTCTTTGCGATCTGTATCTGCACTATTTTGTACGTATATTCTTAAGTTACGAACTTAACGCATTCTGTCACTTTATTATGATAAAGATGTAGTGGTAATCGTTAATATTATGGTGACCTGCAACGTCGTCTTATGTATACACGAGGATGTATCGTTCCACGCGATGGCAGCGGCAACACGTGCTGACTCTACTTTGTAGTTGCGAGATAAAGTGTCTGGGAAAACTAGCCGTATGCAATGCGATTTTTTGATTATACCCTTGTGGTGTACAAGATATAATCACTTTTATTTCACAGGTTTCATTTGCCAGAGTCCATCGTTCAAATAGTGACAGTTCTCGATCCCAACTCCTTTGTTCACCTTGATACTGAAAATTATGTAACGACACTGATGAGCAAAACGATGGATAGAATGTCAAGAGAAAAAATCGTTTAGACTTACATGTCTTCCGTCGACAGTGTAGTGACTCCTACAGCTAACGCATGCTGCTTGCCCTCTGCCATAACAGCCTGTATCTTGAGTTAAGAATATATCTTATATTTAATCATGCTAATTGCTGATATATGATATAAAATTTTAATAGCTCTTAGCTAAAATTATATTAGCTAAAATTATATACACATTTTTAGCTAATAAAGTTATTTAAGAAATATCACAATCTGCTTAATTTATATTATGTTTAAAGGATACGACAACAGTTCCCTTGTTCACTGTCATCATCTTTGCACCTTTTGACGTTAAGCCAGGACACATGATATTAGCACCACTAAGAACAAATCTAATGGCACCTTTGTCAACTTGTTGCATTGGTAGAAAAAATGGATCTAAAAATTTGCAATTTATGTACAAAAGTAGTAAGCCACAAGAAGTATCATATTTTTTTCTTCAATCTTGATTTATCAATCAAGATAACTTAATGATTTTGATTTGTTATTTACAAAAAGAATTTACACTTATGTAGTAGTCTCAGTGTAGGCATCCAGGGTCCTTCACGTTGGCGAAAAAATAACAGGTCTCCCGCTGCATTCACTATGATTTCTATATGATCGTGGCTGACACATTGAGGAACAAAAAAATGAGGATTATTGAATTATTGAAAAATCTTGAGCAAAGGATAACTCACCATTTTACAATACGAAAGGAATCTTTCTTTGGTATTATAACATCTATGTAACTATCCAGATGAGGGTACAGTTCCAGGAGTTTTGAGCGAATACCCTTTTGCACAGACGATTTTAATTGCTGAATACCAGAAACACTGTCCTTCTCATCGAATCTGACGGAACGACAAAGTGTGAATTAAGGTGAGAAAAGAAAATACACTTGGACTGTTTGACCACTGTGACATTGAAGTAGAAATTTTTTAATTTGTTTTCAGCATTTATATCGAATGAATATTTTTGCACTCTTGAGAGACGCAAAGAAAGAACTTTTTATCGAAACGCAAGATATTTAAATTGTTCATTTTTCCGTTGATTCAGAGGTTAGAATACCGATATTGAATACCTAATAGAGCACGTACTTTTTAAACATCTTTCTGATTTTCTGTGATATTCCGCCGTTTTGAGCACTTTCGAGCACGTGAACGAAGCATTCAATCAAACGGTCGTCGTTAAACGTCGAAACGTTATTTGGCGTTGAACACGCTTTTCACAATTCCGACTACGCTCCGAGCATTCGTTTAAGGTTAGGATATGTTGTCCAGATGATTTACTTCGCCGCATAAATGTGTGCATGAAGAATCAACCAATCGTATGTCCAAGACGAAAAGTGCTATATCGTTCTTGCAAACGTGTTTCTATTATCCGAAAAGTTAATTTCTTTTTGACAAAAATTAAAAATAGAAATTCGTTATATAAAAAATATTTGGATTATAAGCAATTAAACGGCTTTCTCCTACATATCGATTTTATATATTTAATTTCGTGAGTCCAACATATTGATTTTGTCTTTCCAACTTGAGACTTAATTTCTCTAAATTTCCTTAATTTTTTAAGAAAAGAGTAAAAATATGAGATCGTAGAGTTACACTTCGCTAAGAAATTAATCGATTCGAATTATCAGAGAATATATAGAATATTTTAATATTGTTTTCCAGACAGCACCAGACATCCAATGGATGTACGTTTCACGTCCAATTTATGTCCGTATGTCCGATTTACGTCCGTGGACATAAATTGGACGTAACAAGGATGTCCTTATTGGACATCGGACCTGTAGGACGTCCGATGTACGTCCATCGGACATCCTATGAACATCTTTTATAAAAAATGGACATATAACGGACGTCCAATGGACATCCGTGTGCTGTCTGGGTTATTAAAATCTTATATTTTGTATGCTTTGAGTATGCAATCATTTCACTGGCAGACATGTAAATGAAATTTCAATTAAAAGCTGAAAAAGGTCCAGAGGGACCAATACAAGATTGAACGGTTTGAACTTCTTCAGAGGCAATTAATCTTAACGTATGTAATCTTATCCTCTTCAAGATCAATTTATTGTTTAAGAAATATAAAATAACGTGAATTTGTATAAATCAATCTTTCGAGGAAAACAAACGGTCGCGAAACAAACGTGATGCCATAAAGCGCGCGCGCACGCGGTTATATATTACAAACACTATTTAAATTTATATCCTCTAGGAGGATAAAATCTCGCGCACGAGGTGGTCTCTAGTTGAGAATAATCTAGCAAGATATCAGAACTTTCAGCGCGAGAGTATAAACGATCTTTCAATGAAACTGGAAAAGATACTTACTTACTACGATAGATTATACATTTCTATCTGTCACGATTCCATCACGATCGTGCAAATAGTTACGTACTACTTTGTTGGGGTCTCTCTCTATTTCGCGATCTTTCAGCAGTATCAATTAAAGTATTTGAGTCAATGCATAAGGTATACCGATCCTACATGTATGTGTAATGTTATCCCAGGCAAGACAGAAAATCACAATGACGTCACATTGACAGAAAAATGTGGAAAGTTGCTTCTCGATCATCACTCGATCACCTTCTTGTCACTTCGACCTCACCGTATGACTTTCCGTTTTCTGCCTAGGATTATTTATAACAAACAGGATATGCAACCTCTTGTATAATGTTCCTCTGTATTTCACAAGTACCTCAAACACCGACTGATCATCGCGTTCTCTTACAGGCGATCTATAATGTACAGCGAGCACAGTCTCGTGCTTATTGCTAAAAACTGGACGACAAGGCATACGCGTTGTAATTTTATTTAAACAATCCATGTCCGATCAACGTAATAATATACGTTTTTCGTTACATTGCAGTCTTCCGAATGCGCGCGCTCCGGTGATAGTCTCTGTCGATTCGACGTATCGTTCTGCAAAACTTATATTGCGAAGATATTCTGCGAAGGGCGACGGTGACGGCGATGACGACGTTGATGGGAAAGCAAAGATTGTCGGTCAGCAAAGTATTATACGCTAGAGATGTTCATCATCCTCTTATCAGGGCATCTTCATCTTCACACATAAACGAGCAGAGCAATAAAGATCCTCGGTAAATTTGCCAACCCGTACAATCGGTGTATACTAAATTAAGACTTCGAGATTTATTCTCGAGTCTCTAACACTATTCGAATATCGATTATTCAAATAAACGTGACGCTTTAAATTCAGTTTTTTTTGCAACTACGGATTTTCCAAGATGTCTGAACAGTCGAGACGTCCAATTCGGATGTGAATCTAAAGCGCATGGTGTGCGGATAAAGCGTGAAAAGGAAAAGGTAATAAGCAGTAAAATTCGAGCAAGAAAGAAGTTGATCGATCGCATTCGAAAATAATTTAACAGTAAATTTTACAGCAAATCAATATTCGACAGTAATTTAAAATAACTTAGGCTAATCCGATCGGAGAATTCGGTTTCAGTTCCAGTTCGCGTCTGGACCCGAAAACTTGGATCACCCTGATGATCCGGATAATGCGTTTTTAAGTTTCCGGACAGGAACCGATTTCGGATAACCGGATAATCTGCAGATGTCCGAATGCTTGGGAGCCTCAGCACTAATTATCGTACTCATGGCAGATAATGTAACAGACAAAGCCAGCGGATCGAGTAGTTCACGGCGGCATACGCAGCGTCCAGTTACGCAGACATCCAGTTACCCACCCTAGCTTCGGATATCCACGCCGGAAATGAAACCGATAAAGCCGACACACAGGCGACAATGCTGTGGCGTCGTTGTCCGATGATCATTGCCTGTGAGATTTAGCACCTAAAAGATCGACAATAATAGGAACAGAAAACAGGACTTTACGTCACATGAGATTTATTTCTTCACCATTGAGATTTTAAAAATTACTCCCCTCTCGGATTATATAAGCCCCCCTCCCCCCGGGTTAAATTTCTTTTATATTCTATCTATACGCGTCCGCATTCTCCTCGAAGCGGATACTTCCGGTGGCCGAGCTCGGGAAACCGAATCGCGAAAGCTCGGTGAAAGCCCGAGATCAGACTACAGTCTTTCTTTTCTTTTCTTCTCTTTGACACATAAAATATCGAGCCTCCTAAAAAATACCAAGCGATGGCAGGAATAGTCATCAACAGGACGACGTCCTTAATTAGTGAACTGTTCGGAGGACGAGGTGACGACGAGGGAAAGAAACGAAAGATACTCTCTCGTCGACCTAGGGCAATATTTGCGGTCGTTATTTTACAAAAGTGCATCACAGTGGATTCGCTCGCGTGCGGTTCAGCGACGCGCACGGGACCCGACGATGTCGGCATTCGCAGTCGGGTGTCAGTCTGCCGACTTGTAATGTAGCCGCGTGCGTTGTTCCGCGAATTAATTAGCCCGAAAGGTAGACACAGCAACGTGTGTGCGCGTGTCTGCGTGTGAATGTAAATGTAAGCGTGTGCAAATGTCGCTCGTTGCTCTAGGTCGCCTCTAGAAGAGTCTGATCTGGAACGCAGGTTGGTGCGCACACGAACCACCGTTTGTACATCATAGAAAAATTCCCCGAGGTCACGGAACAGAAAGGAAAAGATGAGTGCGAAATTAATGGATCAATCGAATAGAAGAATGTGTCGTTGTTAACTCTAATATAAGCAACAAAGCTCTCCGAAACAACAATTTGTTAATACGCGTATAAACAAAGGTGTATTTTAATATACAATCGAGATATTTATATGTATATATATATATATATATATATATACATATATATGTATATATAGAATATATATATATACACACACACACACATATATATATATATATAGAGAGAGAGAGAGAGAGGGAGAGAGAGAGAGAAAGAGAGAGAGAGAGAGAGAGAGAGACATAGGAGCGAAAGAGGGTTTCGTAAACTCTGAAAACAATCTAAAAACGACATCGCAACGCTGGGAAAGAAACAACACGTCCAATCTCATTCATCCTAAATATACAAATGTCACGTCCGCGAGAGCGCGCTCCCCTCTTACAATAAATTAATTTTGTCATTGCGACTCAAACGGACAATCAATGATATCACGATACCTAGGCTTGCTTGTTGCTGCTGCTGCTGCTGTTGCTACATTCTCGCTTACGCTAGGTGTTTAAAAGAATTAGTATTCGACTCTGTCTTCATCTTCTCGTTCCTTTTTTTTCTCTCTTTCCTTTCATCTCTTTTTTTTTGTTCATTTTCTCTCCGTCTCTTTCTTCTAAAGGTATCCCACATCAAGTAATGCAGGGACCAGCGTAGTACTTCCTAACAGAGTTGCAGGGTTACATGTGCTGCCATTGAGTCGGCACCATGCTGCTCGAGGACTCGATGGCCCTCGCTATGGACTCGTGCAGTTCGTGACTTAGCCAGATATAGTTGAGCCGCCGATACTTCTCGTGGCAGAGGTGCAGCGGGTTGCCGCGCCGCAGACCCTGATCTGTTTCCCCGTACTCGTCGAGGTACGGCGGGCACATGTGAGTGCCGCGAGTTGGGCTGCGCAGGAACAGGACATCGCACTCGCGCACCCGCAGGAACATACCGACCCCGGTGCCGCATTTGCTCGTGTGGTATGTGCAGGCTCCCACCGACATCTTGTTGATCTCGGTCTGACAGCAATAGCTCTGCGAGCACAGCATCTCGCCGCACACGAGGCACAGAGTGGGATTGCGTGAGTCCTCTTGGTCGCTGTTCGGGCAGGTGAAGGTGGATATCGAGTTGATAAGATCGCTGTAGTCTTCCGGCAGGTCGATCAGCTTGTTCACCCTCAGCGGGTCCTTGACGATCGGTACCTTCTTCACACCCAACAGATGCTGCCAGACGGTAGGGTGGTTCTTCCACACGTGCGTCAACTTGAGCACCACGTTCAAGTTGGAGTTGATCAAGGCGCGGCAAGTGGCTGGTAGACCTAGGTATATACAAATGTTCTCATATGTGTCGCCGTGTGTTTGCGTCAAGGCTGCCGGAGCCGGCACGTCCGTCACGTAGTGAAAGTAGAGAGCGCAGCATCGCAGGAACGGCCGGCAAGCGGCCTCCACACGTCGCCACAACTCATTCGCGACGTTCGGACTGCTAATTTGCGTGCCGAGTATCTGTACCAGCGCGAGGTCCGACTCTGCGGTCTCGCCTGCGGCCTCTTCCGTCTCACGGCTGTCTACATCCATGCTGCTTTCGAGCGAGCCCAGGTCGATGGTGAGGAGGATCTTGATGATGTGACAAATGAACACGAGCCGGAGCGCATGCGATTCGAAGACACCGCCGGTGATAATGGGCGGCGACACCTCGTCCTTCGTGTGGAAGAGACACGGCAGCAGATTGATCAACGGCACCAACACACCGAACGGGTCCCAATCGAAGATGCAGGGCTCTTGGTGCGAGTTCTCCAACAGTATCGTCAGCAACGTCATCGCCTGGTTCATCAGCATCTCCCGATCCGCCCAGAGGTGCGAGTGATTCGCAAATGACGCACCTAATAGGGCCGACATCCTCGCGAGGTTCTGCAAACTGTCCCGCTGTCGGGACGACAAAGCGCCCAGCAGTGGCTTCTCCATATCGCGCAGCAAGAACTCGATCGCATGGATCGTGTAGGCCGTAGACTTCCATGCCCACAACGGCACCCGGTGATCATCGTCGATCGGGCCGAAACCCTTCAGGTACGTCGTCTGTGTAAATAACGCGGCGAAGACATGTATCATACCCTCCATGTTGTCCGCGAGATGCGGTCCGGATTGCGAATAGACAGACTCCAAGGCGCCCACGACCGCGTCGTCCAGCTCTCGTCGTAGCACAGGCATGGGCGGCACGATTGTCGTGTCTTCTAGCATCTCCTCATCCTCCACTTCCATGCTCTTCTTGCCATACTTGCGAGTCGGCTTGCACTCGAGTGTAAGCCACATTGCTTCCAGCCACTTCTCGAAACTGATGTCCGGCTGCTTCTCAAGAGTAGGCTGCAGCATCCCCAAGGGCGGCACCAGCAATAGAACAGTATTGCTGAGGCATTCGCACAGTGGACAGAGGTACTCGTGATTCTCGGCGTCGAAGCTCGCTGGCTGTCGCATACGATATGGTCGACGATTTTCCTTGGCGAGCACATTGTCGAAATAATCCTGCCAACAGCGGCCATGCATCACATGGCCGCAGGTACTCGTATATGGGGAGGAACCGAGCTTCGCCGACAGGTACAAGGGATTGGCTTCGTCGTTATCGGGCCTGCGCTGACACAACACGGTGGATTGTTGCACGAAGGTAGCCAACACCATAGCCGGGCCAGCCGCGGTCACGGTCTGGTCCTCTTGGCACAGGATACAAGTATAAGTCATCTGCTCGCACATCCTGCTGGTTTGGCCGATGCCCACAGCGACCGGCGCTTCCTGCGAAGATTCGGTCAGGTCCATGACGGAGCCGCGCTCGTCGCTCTTGTTGACGTCCAGGCCCGCCTCCTCGAACAACGTGGCATTCTTCTTCATGAAGTGCTTCTGCATAGCGGCCATCTGCGCCATGACCTTGGCGCGTTTTTGCGCCGCCATCTTCGTGCGCCATTCCTTGTCCATCTTGTTGGTCTCACCCGTGTCGGCGGACTGCTCGACCTGCAAGGGAGTCGGCGTGACATCCATAGCGACGTAGCTAGCGACCTCACGGTACTTTGCCAGGATCCACGTCAATAGGTCCTTGTGCGCCTCGATACGCGGACTGTTTGATAGATCCTCCAGTAGCTTGTAAATGTTCCACTTGGCTGCTCTCTCGGGGAACACGAGGAACGGGTAGTGGCCAGACTCCTGCTCCTGCAACGCATAACCGATGAGATGCAATATCTTGTGTACCTGCGGCTCAGAGAAGCTCCGGGCGATAAAGTTCTGCGCTCGTTCCAACACGGTCTGCATGATGTGCAGCATCACGTCGCACTGCAGCAAGTTCGCCACCAGACTGAACGTCTCCGTCAGCCTGGGCAGTTTCGGCGGCGGGCAGCACTCCAACTCGCCCAGGGCCTTCCTGCGTTTTCGCTGGGCCTCTTCGGATATGCTCAGCTCTTCCTTCGTGTAGTGGTAGAAGAACACGTTGTACTCTGAGTAGAGGTGCGGCTTCAGCTCGTAGACTCCTTTTCCTGCAGACATCTGCGGCGGCTTCTTGAAGTCCGCGACCTCGCATATCACTGTCTCCATATCTGGCTCTAAGTGCTGTGAGTCGTCCACCAGCTGCTTGATGAGTTCCGAATGTGGCTGCGGTTTTATACATAGCTGTTGTATGATCTCCTTCTTGAAACGATCGTCCGCGCTGATCTGGCCGACCCCAGGTACGTATCTCTCGCCTATGATCGTGATGAGCAAACCGAGAAACTCCTCCACCAAGTTGATCGTCTGCCTCATGCTGTCCTCCTCCGGATTCTTCAGGGCGTTCACCTCGAAGTCTGGGTGTGCCCAGTTGAGCAAGTTGAACTTATTCAGAATGTGAATAAGGAACTCGTTGCTTTCTATCAAGGACGCGCCGACTTGCAGCAGAATAATGTCGCGATCCAGCATCTCGTGGCGACACTTGACACTGTGGTAGAAATACAGCTGATTGAGCACGGAATAGCCGTTTCGACGCCACATGCCAGAGTAGACCTGCGATATCATGACTTGCGCCGTCAGCACCGGCTCGATGATTTGCTCCGGCGTCGGTTTCGTCTGATTGATAAACTCCGACGACTGGAAATGCAGATTGTATTTCTCCAGATGTAAGAACAGGCCGGCCAAGAATCGCGAGAGCGGCAGGTGGATGGAAACCGGTTGGGACGACACGTCGTACTGCAGGCACGTCGCGCTATGGTCCGCCAATTCTCGCACTTGACTCGGCGCCGGCTCATTGCCCAATTGCTCGTACAGCTTCCTCAGCACCATTATGAACGACTTGATCAGCACGACCTTGTCTGATCCGCACCACTCTAGTGCCATGGTGATAACCGGCGATAATTTGAAGTGCAAGGTGATTGCGGATTCCCACTCGGGCTCATATTCCATGTGCTGACCGACCTGCCTCAGCACAGCGTCCATACACTGCATGCTGCAGAAGAGTGTCAACAATAACGAGACTCCTTGCAAGTAACCTCGCCTAAGCTCGTCGGTCCATTCGTCTGGCTTCGCACTCAGCAAGTAGCGTAGGTCGTAAAATATGTAGAGCGCTCTCTTGAACGAAGTGTTCGGCGTGTTCCTCTCGAATTCCAATTTGCCGGCGGCGTTACACCGCCGGGCGCTCTCAGAGATGAGCGTGTTTAGCAGGATGAACAGTACGTCATGGTGAGCAATGAGATGGTGGGCTAAAGTTGGCACTGTGAACAGCTGCACGGAGAGCGAAACGATGGAGAAGGAGTGATCGTGATCGTCTCGTATGAAGTCCTTCATTACGTCACCGTAGTTGTAAGTAAACACCACGGCGAGCGCTTTCTTACTCTCGTACTCCATGAGCATTCCGGTGATGAACAAGCGATGCCACGCTGTCCTGGCAGACTTCCACAGTTGCGAGTCCCTTGTGAGAATGCCTTTGACGATCGAGATGTCGGGCAGCTTGGTGTTCAAAGCGATGTTGCTGAACAGCACGCGAAAGCCTTCGCATTGGCTGATGAACTGTTGCAGCCAATTGAGCAGTTTCATGGCAAATGTCTGATGGGCGACTACATGGGTGTGCAAGACGAGCACCTTGAGCGGTCGATTGTTGTGCCTCGAGGTAAACCTCTCGATGTCGGTTCTCAGCTCGTTGCATTGCCGGAAGCCCGAGCATCTCACCACGGCTCGGCCCTCTCTGTCCACGTTGTTCACATACTCCACCGCGTCGCGTTGCAAGCACTTTAGGATGCGCGTGAGGGTATTGATCACGTGGTCGAAGGTGTGAGTCTCGTCGTTAAAAAGTACAGTACAGTAACTGTCAAAAGAGTCCATTTTCTCCGCGGCCAGGTTGAAACACATTGGATCCTTGACGCACACAGATTCACACAGATTCGCGGGCAGCGCCGACGTGTGCTTGAGGGTCAAGAGTTCGTAACAATATTCCAGTATGGCCTCGAACACCATCACCGCCCGCTCGGCGATGTCGCCGGGCAGCTTGTTGCCGCGCGACTCCTTCGACTGGGTACCAACCATGTGTATCTCACAGAATGGGTCTCTCTTCCAGGCTTCCGTGTCGCCGCAATCGCAGCAACCGCCGCCACCGGACGTGCCCATTTTATACTTGTGATCCCGGTGAGCGGACTGCTGGAAACAACCCACGCATAAAACACATGTCGAGTCCACACCACATTCCCGGCAGCTGTACGTCGGCTCGCCCATCTTGAATACACGGCCGCACATAGACGGTGGATTGTCCATCTTGGTGAGTTCCTTCACGACAACTTGTGGATTGCCATTGCAGATGAACTCCTCCAGAGGACTGAACAATATCTTCTGCGCCTTGTTCTCGTCGATGGACCACGCCAGACAGTTGCCATTGCGTTCTGGGCTATATATCTTTGGCACCCATACTCGCCAAAATTCTCTGAAGTTCAAGCTCGTCAATATACCCTTGTTCATCTTCTCCATCCATATATCTACGCACGATACACTTGTATCGGGGAATATAGGTAAGTCTTCGGCTGCCACCTGAGGCAGCAGCCGATTTTCTACATTCTCGTTGCTCATGTTGTTTAAACTGTCCAAACAATGTATACTGAAACCACAGGTGTAAGTAAGAAAATATGGCAGAGAACAAGGAGAAAAAAGGTTTGCTTTCTATCGATGAACTAGTGTATATCTTCAGATAGACATACATTTGAGGCTGGAGAAAAAGGAAAAGAAAAAGATTAAAAGATAATACAGTCAATTCAGCAATAGAAAACAAACTTAAAAAAAAGGAGGAACATGAGAATACTAACCAATGGAATACACGCAACCAAAATGACTGAAGATATAATGCACTATTGGCAGACAAATGCGCATTTTAGTAATTTTAGTCTTCTTATGTAGCTGACTCATCCAACATTTTACCAGAAAATACCACTAAGATCTCTCATAAGTCTTCTTACGAAGCTGTGCAATCTCTTGTAATGTCACAAAATCCTTATTACACATGTAATATCTTCATTTTTGGCGGCTGACAATCTGAAAATAGCGATTCACTATCGTCAGTTGATGCTTCAAGGCAGTTTCAAACGAAGTACGCGCACTTTCCAATCCCGTCGCGCAGATATTCGCTCGGACTCGACCGGAGAACCGACGTCTCGACGCGTAAATGTACACCCAAATATGAGCACATACGAGAAACGCATATGTCTACCACTTAAAGCAAGGAGCGCAATGACAACAAGCATTGCGACGATCGCGCAGCACACATTACTCCCGAATTGTATCTTCTAGCGTATCCATCTCTCCGTCTGCGCGTTTATATACACGTACGGGCATCATATATGTCGCGAATTAGTCAACGCGGTGGACTTCATATAACAACATGAGCGAGCGTGACTTTTCGGCGCAGCGGGACTATTTTTAACTTCGTTCCCGAGGACGATACTCACTGTTGTGGCGAACGGGTCAAGGTTAATAAAAGGCGCCGCGGATGTTCTCTTTGTCTCCCATGCAGAATCCCGCGATCTGCGCGTCTATGCAGGAGATTCGAGTCGCGCCCAGCACGTTTCGTCCCGTGTCCAGCTCGTGACGCGCCGACGTGCGCGCCTACGATGTGCCGCTCAACGCACCTACGTCGATCGCGGGCACGCGAACGTTGACATTTTGCGGTGAAATGACAAGTAATATTCCTCTCGCACAGCTGCTCCAACGATGCACAAAATGGCTTGTGTGAACTCGGCGGCGAGCCGGGAGTACGCACTTAGCAGAGCGCACCGGGTGTAATCAAATTCGCACAGCGCCATCTATCGATCCTCTTCCTTGTGAATTTGAAGACTGAAATGTGGAAAGATAGATTCTCTTTTTTCCTCTTGTAACGCGCGATCGGCTGGCTCAAGAGTCCGTTCTGTGATTTTAACGAAGCGCGATTGCACGCTTCGTGCGATCATCGGATCGCAATTTGCGTTTTTGAGATGACCACGACGCCGGAAGTATAGAGAAATTGTTCACAGCAGGTTCGTTGTAAATCGCAACTGAATTCCGAATCTCGTTCGCCACTATCCGGTTCTCAACGTTCGTGGCCGTACTTACCGCACGCTTCCCAACTGTTTCTCACCGTCGCTGTCCGACACTGTTGTGTAGAATCGTAATATCGAAATTCCTAATATGGCCAGCGAGAAAAAATCGACGAAAGCTTCGTCGAAAGATGCGAAATCTAACGAACAAATATTGTCGGAGTTTCAAACGCTCCGAAATGAACAGAGGATGATGGCGAACAAACTGTCCGAAATGGAAATGGAATTGAACGAGCACAAGTATGAATTGACTAACCTATATGTTTGCTATTTTTTATTTGAATAATCCAGTCATCGTAAACACAAAAGAGATCTCTCGTCAACGTGAAATTTGACAAATTACACGAATAATATTTCGTTATTATTCGTGTGATCCAATCGACCTTTACGATAACCCATAGTAACCTCATAATTTTTTGTCAATGTAGCCCATTGATGATAAGGAAAACTTGTAGCATAATTTAATTGATATAATTCGTATTTCAGAATTGTTATCGACACGCTAAAGAATGTAGATCCCAAGAAGAAATGTTACAGAATGATTGGTGGAGTTCTGTGTGAACGTATAGTAGAAGATGTAATGCCTGCTCTGGTGATAAATAAGGAACAGGTATGTTGCATTATTGCTATTGTTAATATTACTTAATTTCCTTATTTAAATAACGTATCTCTGGTGTATACATGACAATGTCAAAATGTATGTTTTCAGTTGATGAAAGTGATAGACACACTGAATGACCAATTAACAAAGAAAGGAATTGAAATTAATGAATACAAAGAAAAGCACAACATCAGAATCAGAGGGCAAGATGATATGCAGCGGCAAGAAGAGGACAGCAACAAGGAGGCCAAGAGAAACGCGATTGTTGTGAATCCAATTGAAGTTTAAGTGTAATAAATATTTACTCTTTTTTTTGGTATTATAAATTAAGGCATTTATGTGCTACAAGGCCGATAATTTATCTATTGAGTTATACTTTAAATTGTCCTCTGAATTTATTTATTATATTATTTTTATGCATAGACCTTGAGGTAAATTTACAAAGTTAGATATCTATCTTATAATTGTATTTACTGAAAAAAATAATCCATAATTCTGTGGAAACAAAGATATATATTAGGAGCGCAAAAAAGTTCTGAGCCTTTTTTTGCAAAATTCAAAATTTATTTAAAAACAAACAAAACTATATCAATCAACGAAATATTCCCCGTTTGCATCGATGACCTTTTGCCATCTTTCGGGCAGCTTGCGAATTCCCTGATGGTAGAAGCTCACCGGCTTCGAGGCGATAAAGTCATCAATGCATTTTCGTATCTCTTCAAGTGTCACAAAATGTGTATCAGTCAAGAAATGCTGCAGAGACTGGAATAGGTAGTAATCGGAAGGCGCCATGTCTGGGCTATACGCCGCGTGCGGGAGAAGTTCCCAGCCTAACGCAAAGATATGGTCCTGAGTCACTTTCGGAACATGTGGTCGGGCATTGTCATGAAGCAGTATCACTTTACGACGTCCTTTGCCAGTAAATGGCCTCTTTTCTTCAAGCGCATCGCTCAAATTGCTCAATTGTTGCTGATAGCGATCTGCCGTTACTGTTTCACCCGGCTGTAACAACTCGTAATACAATACACCTTTCCAATCCCACCATATGCAAAGCAAAACCTTCTTGGCGTGGATATTGGTCTTTGGCGTCGATGCCGAAGATTGACCAGAGTCAACCCATGAATTTTTACGCTTCGGATTATCATAAAGTATCCACTTTTCATCACCTGTAATGATTTGGTGCAGAAAATCCTTTTTCCGGAACCTTGAAAGCAAAGTGAGTGCCGTGTCACGCCGTCGATTTTTGTTGTCTTCGGACAGTGCATGCGGAACCCATCTGCCTTCTTTTTGAACTTTTCCCATTGCATGTAAACGTGTGGAAATGGCTTGTCGCGTAACGCCAAGTTGCTCTGCAAGCTTCTCTTCAGTTTGTGCAGAGTTTATATCCAACAATGCTTGCAGTTCGTCCGTTTCAATCTTTTGAGGGCGTCCAGCACGCGGTTCATCTTCAAGACTGAAATCTCCTTGGCGAAATTTTTGATACCACCTTTTACACGTAGCATAACTTACAGCGTTCTCTCCATATGCAACACAGATCATTTCAGTGGCTTCAGCAGCATTTTTCTTCAGATGAAACGCGAAGTGGATGGAAAATCGAATATGCTCTTTTGTTATTGCCATCATGAACACTGCTGATTTTAAGGTTATGTGCATCAAACGCCAAATCGCACGATGTTTTGAAAGACCAAGGGTGCGTTCGGGAAGCACGCTATTCGCACAATAAGTATCTAAGACCGTTCGAGGAGACGCTTTGTGGCGCTATAAAATTGATAATGACATCACTCTCAAAGCAGCGTGACGTCATTATTCGCGCAATTTTTCGCTATCATTTTCGAGGTAGGGCAGCAAATGTTATTAGCGCTAATTAGCGCTTATTCTCTCCTCGAACGTTCGATTGTGCTTTAAAGTGTTAGTCTATGATCTGTTCTTCTTAACTGCTGTTCTTTCAACCAATTACAACAGTGCAACCAGAAAGAACAAACCAATTGTGTCAAAAGTCAAATAAAGACAATTTATTAAACTGTGAGAAACTGTATTCACAATGGCTCAATCACTTAGTCAAATATCTGAAAATGTCGAAATTCATCTTTTAGATGAAAACGACGTGACATACACAATAAAAGTATCGCCAAATGATGCAGCGCGTGCAGAAAATGGTAATTATGATGACAGAGGTTATATAAGTATTCTATATGCTAATAATTATCCAAGTATAGAAGATAGATCAGTTGATATAATGGAAATTAATAAATTAGATTATAATAAAAGAATGTGATTGATTTATGTCTCCTTTAATATATAGATATTATTCGTTATTCTTTTAGATACGATATTTGCTACTTATCTTCTAAAAAGAGCAAAATCACAAGATTCAGATTTTGATGCAGCAAGTCTTTCAATGGAGTCTTCCAATTCTGAGGATAATAATGAATCAATGTTTAAATGGTCTCATGCGGCAATTCTATTGCTGGTAGAAAAGTATCGGCTACAAGAAAATAACATTGTATCGGGTAAAATGTCCCAGAAAAAAGTATGGAATAATATTGCATCAGCATTATCTGTTAAAGGCTATAATGTCACTGGACCTGAATATCTTTCAAAATTTCACGGAATGAAACGAACTTATAAATCTATAAAAGATCACAATAGCAAATCAGGGAATAATCTTAGAACATGGCCTTATATGGAAGTCATGGAATCTTTGCTTAGTGAACGACCTTTTATGTCGCCTCCAGCAATAGCCTCTTCAAGCAGTATGTGTTCTAATTCCAGATCTAATAGAGAATCTAACTTATCAAATGCAAATATATGTAACAATGCAAACTCAAATAATAAAAATTTAGCTATTCAAATTCTCGGAAGCGCAAGGCACAAGAAAGTACATCAAACATTGCTGAATCAATTTTACGAAGTCAGAAATTGGCTGAGAACAACAGTGATCAGAGGCACAAAGAAAACATGGACTTTAAAAAGCAAATGCTAGAATTCATGGGTAAAATTTTAGACAAATTATAAATGTTTTTATTTTAATTTACATGCAACAAAGATAAAACGAAGCTGTAGTACAAATTATAAGATTGTTTCCTTTGTTTTTGATAAAACATGTAGCATTTATTTTCTTGTTTACTTTTTAGTACAATTAATATTTTATTTAGTTTTGTAAAATATAGTATAGTAGCTGGTACATCTATTATACTGCGTTCTGTCTTCCTTAATATTTTAAACATATTCTTAAAATTTGCTTTATTTTTTAATATTAATAATTAATATTAAGTTTATACACATAAGTATTCACTAATGTCTTCCCATTGTATTTGAATTAGGTTAGGTTAGGTTAGGTTTTAGTATGGTTAGGTTAGGTTAGTTTAGGTTAGGTTAGGTTAGGTTAGGTTACCCCCAATAATTTGAATTATTTTGACGATTTTCAACTTTATGCCTATACATACATATTTTTATAATATAGTTAATTAGTTAGATAAAGTTGTTGCGTAAACATGGTCATAGACGCAACGCATAAAGTTGTGAAAATCGTACAAATAACAGTTATAATAGCAAGAGATTAATAACTTCTTGTGTATATCTGTGATAAATTGAATAATGGTTATATGCATAAGTGATACTTAATGTTAAGAACACTGATATATAAAATAATATTTTTCTTTCTATGTTGGAACAATTAAAATGTTTGGTAAATATTTCTGATGAAAGTTATGTGGAACAGAATTACTACATTCAGTTAACTTAATTAGTCTATTATAACAAAATTAATCAATCATATTGATCAGAAAAATAAATTGGTTCATTAATTTTGCTGCTTGGTCGATCGAAAAAGTTAACCAGAGTTAGTGATATTAGTTTTTATGTATAACTAAGTATTACATTATACTTAGTATTACTTATACAGTGTTACATATATGTAACTTGTTTTTATTTTTATTGTACCTCAAGACAATACAAAGTATTTCATTTTTATTTTGTCGAAGGGAATGATTAATTAATATTAATGCTTGGTCGACCGATTAAGTTAAGCAGAGTTGGTGATATTAGTTCTTTATGTATAACCAACAATATTACATATATATAACTTGCTTTTATTTTTATTGTACCTCAAGACAATACAAAGTATTTTATGTTTATTCTGTCGAGGGGAGTAATTGTATGTGTTAAAAATTAATTATAAACTATTATAAAATTAATATCAATAACAAAATGTATCTTTCATTTTATTCTTTTATTCTTTTACTTTTTCTTTTCTTTTACTTTTACTTTATTCTTTTACTTTTTGTCCTAAATAAATTAATAACGAAGAGGATGTACTTATTATTTTAGAAGTAACACGGAAATGGCAATTTTTAAATATAATACTATTATAAAAATAAATAAAGAATTCTTTTATATGTTATACTATTTTTATTTTATTAAACATGTACATATTAGTTTATATCTATGTTACAAAAGTATAAAAGATAATAACTTGTAAACTTCTTTAAAATAAAAAATATATTGCATTCCTAGCAAAATTAGAACTGTTTTAAGATTTATATGAGTCTTATTGGAAGTCTTTGGCTAATTAAGTCTCTTCAGAACACCTGTTGTATCATCTGCAGCAACTTGACGAGGAATATCATTATCTACTTCATTATTTAATAAAACAATGTCAAAATCATCATTTCTTAGTATACAAATATTATGCATGACACAACAAGCAAGTATATAATGAGCAATTAAGTCAGTCCGATTCATGGATAGGTTGTGTAATATACTTCTAAATCGACCTTTCAAGGTACCAAATGCTCTTTCAATGGCGATTCGTGCTGAAGAATGGCAGAAATTATAATTTTTTTGTCGTTCAGTCAAATGACCATTATCACAATATGGAACCATTCAATTATCATGAATTTTATATGCAGCATCACCAAGTAAATGGGAATCATCAGAAAATTTTTCTGGGTTACCCAATGCATCTTGAATTTCTGACTGACGAAAAACGCGTTGATCATGCACAGAACCTGCATGTCCAATATAGCAGTGCGTGAAACGAGCTTTGTGATCACAGATCCCCTGGAAGAATATTAAGTACGATATATTCAATATATACAATATAGTGAGAAGGATAAATTCTTCCACCTAATATACTAAGTACATATTACAAACTTGTACATATTACAAACTTAGCTGAATGGAACGGTGACCTTTCCGATTAACATAGGCTTCTGGATGTATATGTGAAGATGGGATATTGATGTGAGTACCATCGATAGCTCCTATGACTTTAGGGAAGGAACTAATTACTTCAAATCCTGTCCAAACTTCTTGGATAGCATTGCCTGTTGGCCATTTAATTAATACTGGTGCTAAATCTGCAAGTATCTTGGTAACTCGACGTGTTAATAAGGCTGTTGATCGACTCACATCAAACTTTTCACATATTGATCTAGGATTAAAAAAATTATGAATGAAAAATGCGACATTACCTTGAGTAGGTCTTATTATTAGATATAATGTACTAACCTATAAGAATCTGGTGTAGCCATTCGCCAAATAGCAATAAAAAACTGTTTCTCTGGGGAGATCATTCCTAACCCTGGATACTTTCTCTTAAGTTTTGGGGCAATTATCAAGAGTACAAACTCAAAAGTGTCTCTGGATATTCTAGATAAGAAGTGTGTAGAACTAAAATTAGTACAGACATACAGCGTATTCGACTGGACCTGGGTTAATCCATGCTGGGTTACATAAACTCAACTTAGGCCCAGTTCCACAACTTGCTTTAAGCGGAGTTTAAAGCTAAACCGATGGTTAAAAGCAGTTTTAACCATAAAGTATATGCGTATATACTATTGCTTTTAACCATCGGTTTAGCTTTAAACTCCATTTAAAGCAAGTTGTGGAACTGGGCCTTATTAGTCGAACGTATACTATACTATACTATATAGTACATGTTCGACCAATAAGCTGGGTTTATTTAACCCAGCATGGGTTAACCCAAGTGAACCCAAGTCCAGTCGAATATGCTAATAGAAAAATTTAGCTAATTTCTTTCCAATAAATACCGAATATCACTATACTAAATACTTTTTGTTGAAATTTCAAATGACATTATTGAAAAATTACATTACATTACATTGTCACTGCTTTAAAACCGCAAGAGGGCGGGAAAATTAATGCAATTTAAATTGTGGTTTCAGTAGTATGAAATCTAGGGCTCAGAACTTTTTTGCGCTCCTAATATGTTCATTACTATTTTTTATTTCTAATATACATTGAAAGTAAAATGAGGATCTTTGTATGTATTTTCTGTGAAACAAAATTTATATATTCAATTATCTACAATCATAAAGTTACATATTTATATTTTAAATAAGTGAACATATATACATAATTCACATAGAAATAACTTTATGTTCTTTACATAGAATTTTCGACTGAACGAATTTTAATCGATTCGAAAGTTCTAATTTGAGTTTGAAAGAATAGAAAAACGATTTTCTTTTTTAATTATGTAACATATATAGCAATTTTGAATATCATGACATTAAATATTCGTTTTGGTGCAAAGGACCAAACGCGATCGATAATCGAGCTCTCATCGTTATATTTTGAGCGGAACTTCTTAAACAAGCAAACGTTCTTACTCATTTATCTTGTCCTAAGATGCTATGAAACCAATAAAAGATCTCTCTAGCATCTGAAGATTGGTTTCGGTTCACAATAGGTATGTTAACAGTTGTTTCACAACAAAAAAGTCTAGTTAAAATTCTCTAAATCTCTAAATTTTTAAATTTCTTTTAAAAAAACGTTCCGATGTCTGTCTAATGGAATGACTCTGTCTTTTGCTGGAAAGCAACCGAAATATTGACTTCTCCAATTTGTAAAATCGAACGTAGCTATTGGATATTCTTTCGTTATCGCTCTCTATATCAGACACACGATTGGTTAACTTATCTTGCATTCGTGCTACACGAGTTGCTGGATTGGCCTTTATAACTGGCGAATACGTAACTTTACATGCCCATTGGCGTAATGCTCGTAGATCCGTGTGAATTTCGCTGAACGAGGATGTCAAAAATTTGTGATGGCGGCGGCGATGCTGAAGGTTAGTCGACATTAAATAAACAAATTACCGCTGAAAACTATGATAAACTCCGTCGACCCGGCCGAAATAGAAGCTCTATTAAGATCTTTCTACAGTTTAATCGCGGATTGAAAGAAAATGAGCGATTACTCGGTGAAACGTGTCAGCGATATTTAAACTTATCTGCCATCGAACTCGAAAGATAGATCTCGCTTTTGTTTATCGTCTAATAATCATATTAACGATACGATAATTAGGCGATTAATCAAATGGTATAACGTTCCTCGATCTGTTTGTATTTTGGGTTTTTGTTTGTTCCAAGATATCGCTTTGGTAACTTTCCAGCGAAAACGTCGGCAGTTTATATACTCTCCGCTTACTATTTCTTTTTTTTTATATTCATACATTTAATGAAGCGTGATGTGTTGATATTCAGGATAAACCACAATTTGTATTCGAGGATAAGTGGCCATGTATGCGACCGATCATATTGAAACTACTTAAGCAAGAGCCAGTGACACAAACTGAATGGCAAGATTTATTTTACTCAGTCCAAGTATGCCTTTGGGACGACAAAGGGCCTCCCAAATTACGGGATGCCCTGAGAGAAGATATAATGGATTTTATAAGACAAGCTCAACAGGTGGGAAATATTGTTTTATACTGAGATGGAAATTATGCTTGTGGCATATCTGCTTCATTTGTCTTGTTAGAATAGCGACTTTTTACGAATCACAGTTTTGTGCAGAGAGTTTTAGCGCACCAAGAAGACCAAGCATTGTTGAAAGCATACATAGCAGAATGGAGAAAATTTTTTACACAATGTAACTATTTACCAACGCCATTTAGGCAATTAGAAACATCTCTTGTGGGAAAGACTTGCTCGAGTATACAAAAGAGAAATCAGCCAGATGACATTGTTAGGAAGGTAAGCAACAATCTGTTTATGCATATGCAATAATTAATTATTTTTACATATTGCATCTATGCTTTGCAGTTGATGTTGGATAGTTGGAACCAAAGCATATTCAATGAAATAAAACAAAGACTTCAGGATTCTGCCATGAAATTGGTACATGCTGAAAGAAACGGTGAAGCATTTGATTCACAACTTGTTATTGGCGTTAGGGAATCTTATGGTAATGAATAAAGTATACCATATGCTTATTTCAATTTATGTCAAAGTAACTTTCCCTCTTGTTATTATTTATATGTATGTAATTATATGTATGTAATTATTTTAGTAAACTTGTGTTCAAATACAAACGACAAGCTTCAGATATACAGGGAAAATTTTGAGGCAGCATATATAGAGGCTAGCGAGACGTTTTATTGGGTGAAAGCACCGGAATACTTGTCTGCACATGGTGTGGAAAACTATATGCGTTACGCTGATTCCAAGTTGAGGGAGGAAGAGCTACGTGCTCAAAAATACTTGGAACCAAATAGCGCGAGTATACAACGACTGACTGACTGTTGCGTGAGAGTATTAGTCGATACCTTTATATCAGCCATACTTGCGGAGTGTCCACGGATGATTCAACATCATCAAACAGATAGTGAGTAACGCTCGTTCTTGTATTGCATCGTTAATTTGCGTTGACGTTAATTTTTGTGACAAGATGTGTGACCGTTTGTCGTGAAGTTATTAGATATAAATTAAATGGTTGCAGAGCTCCGACTTATGCTAAAATTAATGGACAGAGTGTCCGATGGTGTCGGTCCTATGTTGAAAAATTTGGAGGACCACATCGCAAGCGCGGGTTTAGCAGACATGATGGCAGCTGTAGATATTATTACCCAAGACTCAGAGAAATATGTGGAAAGACTGTTAGATCTCTTCCGTAAATTTTCCACGCTCGTTAAAGAGGCGTTCGATGATGACCCACGATTTCTTACAGCACGAGATAAAGCTTATAAGCTCGTTGTTAATGACGCGACGGTATTTAAATTAGAATTGCCTTGTCGACAGAGTTCTGGACTCAGTGGTTCAACAGTTTTAAATAGTAAACCTCCCGTTAACAATACCGGACAGCCAGAGTCGAAGTGTCCGGAACTCCTCGCCAATTACTGTGATATGCTCCTTAGGAAAACACCCCTCAGTAAGAAACTGACTTCCGACGAGATCGAGAGTAGATTAAAGGACGTGGTCGGTATCTTAAAATTTATGTTCTCTCTTTTTCTGTACGGAGTCTGATATTAATTTTGTCACATTTCGTTGCAGCTACTGGTGTTGAAGTACGTTCAAAACAAGGACGTGTTCATGCGTTATCACAAGGCGCATTTGACCAGACGGTTGATATTGGACACGTCCTCGGATTCGGAGAAAGAAGAGAATATGGTCGAGTGGCTTCGGGAAGTCGGTATGCCCGCAGATTACGTAAACAAGTTAGCCCGTATGTTCCAAGATATTAAGGTATCTCAAGATCTGAACCAGCAATTCAAAGAGCAATGCCGTGCGGCTCTTGCTGATAGCATAAATATCAAGGTAAGTCGTTTTGTCGCACAATTTCACTTGAAATTGAAAATTTTTCCTGACAATAATACACTCATTTTATGTGCCTGAGTAACACCGTGCGTCTCTATTGGATGTATATTGTCAAAAAATTTATTTGAAATCTATTAAGGCCCGGTTTCACAACTTACTGTAAACGAAGTTTACCTCGTTAACCTTAGTTTAGACGAAAAATTGCGTTCCACAACTGCCTTAAACCATGGTTAACGTTGATTTCTCACAGTTAAAGTTAAACCCAAAACTTTGGGCGTTTAATGAATTTAAACGAAGTTTAACACTGCAGCACCATCAATTTGAGAAACAAATTTATGACTATCCCGGTTTTGGAGTTCAGTTGACAAATATTTTGAACGTCAAAAAGATATGGCTTTAGAATACATATTATCTTCATCTAAAGATGAAGATTTTGAAAACTTAATTTATCGGCGGACAAGAAATATAAGAATAAGACGACCATCATATTTGGAAGAATTTGATAATATCGATTTTCATGCACGATTTAGATTATCAAAAGAATCTATTATTGCAGTTCTAACAGAAATCGAGCATGAAATTTTTTATAAAACAGAACAGTAAGTATATAAATATAATTTAAAATATTGAGTTTTTTGCTTCAACAGATTATATTCTAAAACAGAGTAGCAACTATATATAAAAGTCAATTATTATATGATAAATTCAATCAAATCAATAATATAAACTAATTGATTATTATTAACACTGGACTTCCACCTTTTAATAAGTTGATACTTATATACAAACACAGCAAATGTTAATGTTGGTTAGTGTTTATTTGATACGAAACAGATATATTATTCTTTACTAGATGTCATAGTATCCAGCTTATTTTAATTTTCTCACTTTTCACTTTTAGCAACAACCAATCATACTCTACATTTGAAAAGAAAGAGAAGTCTTTGACAGTTTCTTCATACAGACTATAGGTTTAAATAAATTACTGGTAAAAACACGATGTGGAACGCGATATAAGTTTAACCATGCCGTTAAATGTAACGTCAGTTCAGATAATCACGGTTTAAATTTGATTTTGCGGAACTGGGCCTAAATCGTTAGATGTAATCCTTGGTTTCTTTTTTGTTTTACTTTTAACGTGATTCTCGTGCGTGATTTTGCATGGAGAAAACTGCACTGGGAGGTGCTCAGAATCAGAGTTAAAATAAAAGGGAGGAATATCCGATGCTGCACAGAGACGTTTCTTCCGAATACTTAACATTCAAATGCGCAACACATCGTGATGTAATCCTTACAGATACTCAACGCAGGTGCATGGGCTCGGGGTAGCGAGCGCGTTACCGTGAGTTTACCGCTTCAACTAGAAGATTATATCCCAGAAGTGGAAGAATTCTATAAAAAGAAACATAGTGGACGGAAGTTGCTGTGGTATCATCACATGTCTAACGGCACGGTACGGCATATATTAACGAGACACTGTCAGACATTTCAAATTTTAGGCTTGTATCATAATCGAGAATATAATTCTAACTTTATAATTTTATTCAGTCTGTATTAAGCGCGCGCGATGTTTCTTCAGATTACATTTTCCAATCAAGTGGGACGTTTCGACGTGGACGTAACGACCTTCCAAATGGCGGTACTGTTCGCCTGGAACCAACGACCTCTTGAGAAGATTTCGTACGAAAATCTCCGACTGGCCACCGAGCTTCCGGATCCTGAACTGAGACGGACTCTGTGGTCCCTGTGTGCCTTCCCGAAGTTAAAGAGACAACTTCTCTTGGTGGAACCGCATGCCCATACCCCGAAAGATTTCGGGAACGACACGAGATTTTGGGTTAATCAGGAATTCGCTATTGTGTTCGTGTCAAATTGTACTTTGTTAAGAGACATCACGCGATATATCCGATTTAAATTTAAAATCAAAGTCCCTCTTATAATCAAGTCCCTCTTCTTTAATATGGGGATATTTTGATATTAGGAAAAATGGCAAGTTACAAAAGCGAGGGAAGATCAATTTGATAGGACGCCTCCAGTTGTCGACGGAGCGTAGCAAGGAAGAGGACAACCAATCTATCGTGCAGCTCAGAATACTACGAGTACAGGTACGTCGCACAAGTCTCAACAATAAAGCAGCGCGACGTAGAAAAATATCAATGAACATTTATCTTTTTTTTTATCTTTTGATCTTGAGTCGTAAACACTACAATAAGACAATAATTTTGCGTGTGTCACCGCAGGAGGCTATCATCAAGATTTTAAAGATGCGCAAGACGATCAGCAATGCTCAGCTACAAACCGAACTAGTGGATATACTGAAAAACATGTTTCTACCGAGTAAGAAGATGATAAAGGAACAGATCGAGTGGCTCATTGAACACAAGTATATTAGCAGGCACGACGATGACATTAATACATTTGTGTATGTAGCGTAACACGGAATTATGGCATATACACATAGGGGGGTTCAAACTATGTGGCTCATATTATATTTTTCTATAAAGAAACAAGGATTTAATTTTTTCTCATGTGCGAGGATATAATACGTTCAAGTCCGCCGTATGCCACTAAGTTCTCTGCTTGTTTTAAAGATCATAATATTCTGATGAGACAAGAAGAGAGAGAACAATATTCTCGGTTAGACTTCTCGAGATAAGAAACGTGAAAGTTAAATAGGGTCAAGCGTCATATCGCACCTATTCAACGATCGACGATATATTATATCATGTATGAATATAAAGTATGATTCTATACGGACAACGTTCAACTGGAGAAAGTATCGCAATAATGAGAAACCGTATACAGCTTGCGGGTATATTGTACTACGAAAGATGAAACTTGCATTCGTCATTTGTCTCGACGATTTATACTGATCTAATGGAAAGATTATTGATCAGAAATGGATCGAATTGAGAGAGCAGACAAATTTTGGGTGACACTAACGCCGTTTCAATTGTCTATATTTCACTAAAAATATTCCTGTAAGATGTGCATGTGTGCATACACATACACACATATATATCCTTGAGTTCATACCGTGGTAAATTTCCTAGAAAAAAAAGTAAAAAAAGAAGAAAAAAGATATTATTTATATTTTACAGCGTAATTGACAAGAAATTTGGCACTAAGAACGTCGATAGATCCTTGCACAAATCTGAACGACAGATTTGCACTTGTATATGTACATTGACTTAAATTCAATCATAAATAATAAAAATTCGCATATACTTGAATAAATATATACATACTGTAATGTTTTTGCATACGAACTTACTCGTCGCTAATAGATGTCAACTACCGCGGAAAACCTCAATCGCGGATTACCCGCGTCTTCGAGTCGTGTAACACATTCTTGATTTAGTCCTAGAGTTTATAATGGTTTATAATCGAATTGCGGACGGCGTTCGCGCGAAGACGTTCGTAATTGATTTTCAAAGTATACATTAAAAGCCCGACGAATATATAATATCGTACGATGGCCTACAATATCTTAATATATAAGCATGTACCTCGCAACATCAAACTCTTGATTTTCGAGCGGTGATAAAGAGATATCGTATATTTGTATGATTTCTACATCTGAATTAGTCACACTTGGATGGTTCGAGTCGTCGGATTAAGTCGGAAAGTAGTAACTTAAGCAAAACAATGAGACGCGTGACGCGCGGTTATATGTATAAAGCTTTTATATCACTTGACACACAAGTGACACAGACGAGTGTAATAATGGTATATAAAATTTCAATGAATTAAACGACAGAATATTTCATAACTGTGTACAATATGTCATTATCGAGTCGACGATCTCTCGACTTTTTACCTGCTGTAATCATAGCATATCTCTCACGTGGCAACACGAGTAACATTTACATCAGATTATGCATAGAACTTTTAACGTAAAATAATTTATATTTATATTTTCTTCATCGATACAAATCATTTGTACATCGCTTCCGTCGGTGTAATGTAATTACGTACGTATTCTTTGCTTGGGTTTTCGGTAAAGAAGAATCGAAACTGAAAGACGGAATCGGCTTTTACACGCCGTCCTCCCGCCCAGACGGGAGAATGTAAACGGTATCGCGCTATATAAAGCAAGGGTGGTTACTATATATATTATATATATATATATATATATAAAGTATTTATAAATATTCAACAATTACTTTTAGGTCACAGATCTTGCATTAACAAGAATTATACGTTTTCACGAGAATATTATATACATATACACAATCACCACTGCCGCTGTGTGTAATCGGTAACGCTGATATGACACCACATACGTACCACGATCTTCTATTCCTATCTTCACTAACTCAATTCTCAAAGAGAGTAGAGCGAATAACAATAGGTGTTTTCGTAACTTCATTAACAAGAGACCATTTATAGGATAGCGTGTAATGTTCAAGCTAATGTGAACTAGCTTCCTACCGAAAACACAGAACGAAGAGAACGATAGAGTTTTTAGAACAGTACATTCGTATACACACACATATCACATACATATTAATGTCATATATCTCCCTAGATTTATCTTTGTTTTTTTTCTCGCATGCACGCAAAACTCAACTCAACATTCGATTGACGTAGTCTCCGAAGCATTTCTAAGAGAGAGAGAGAGAGAGAGAGAGAGAGAGAGAGAGAGAGAGAGAGAGAGAGAGAGAGAGAGAGAGAGAGAGAGAACAATCCAAAAATAAATATGGAGGAGGAAGCCGTTGAACTCCGACCTTTTTTTTCTTTTTTGATTCTGTCGATTAATTATCCTCTAAAACGTTAGTTAGTCATCTCTGTGGATTTACAACAATACTGTTAAACATTACGTGCCGTTTAAGAGTACAAATAACACACCAATAATGAGAGGTAGAACTGCAAAATCCTTCAGTATATCGCCCAACAATAAATTCTCGTTTCTGACAACATTGACTGTAAATTTCAATCGTCAGCTCTCGGCTATGATCTTTCGCCATATAAAATCGTTAACGCCATTATTGTTAACGAAACAACAATGGAAACAACGTAGGCCAAAAACTATGCAAATCTGTCGAGTCAACTGTCACCGTGAGAAATAAAGAGTATACAAGGATACTTTAGGGATTCTCAACGGACGAACGCAACCGAGAGACTCTATATCTTCATCGATACATAGCAACAAGTGTGATATTTATAGATCGCTGCTACCCCCGCGGCTGGCTTTGTAAATACTTACTGCTGGACCGCGTCGTTGTCTGCGAGCTGTAATCTTTTCTTTTTACGACGCATCGCTTTCTGCTTTCGCTCAGATACCACAGCCACAAGCAATTGGTTGTAAATTGTTTCATCTTTTTATAATATAGCAATCTAATTTGAAGTTGCTTATTACTGGATGGCCTTTAGAACGGCGTAAGAACTGAGACGCGAGCGAGTGGAGTAAAATTAATGTTCGGGACAACGCGTGTGCTGAATGCGAGGCGCGTTTTTCGCCGGATTCGCGGTCTCGCAAACGTGCACCACTATGCCTGGCTGTCCCGACCCTGCTGGATGTAATTCGTGACTTCCGCCTGCAATATTGAAACATCACTTGTGCATATGTAGCTTGAGATACAATTAAATGATTCTTACTTCTGCCGTTGCGTCTCCTACGTACGTAAAATCCGTATGAAGGAATGAAATATAACAAGAGATAATAGTAACCTGCGGATAAATTGGCTATAGCAGCTAATAGATCGTGATTGACGAGCGGCTCTCCTTCCTCGCGTGGCTCCCAACCAATTGGTGGAGAAGCTGGAGGAGATATAAGGAACTGTTTGGTGAGTGCAGGAGGTTGGAGATGCTGATCTTCCATATCTAGACAAATTAATTGATGCACTATTAAGACTAATTATTCCTTTTGTCTCTTTAAATTATATTCTGTATTCTACATATATATATACACACGAGTATGTGCTATGTAATTTATGGTAAGTAAGTTAATTACAAACCTATGGGTGTCACAGGTTGTGCAAAATAACAATTAATATCAGTTTCCCCAAAATGTGTCTGATGCAGCTGTAATCTTGCATTTGCCGCAGCACTGGGAGAATTGTAGTTTACTCTCATTCTTCTGAAGGATCTGAAGTACTGAAAGGTAGCATCTTCCCCAAATTGCTTGAAAAGATTCTCTATGGCTGGCTATAAGAACACAATATTAATAATTTAACTAAATCTTTTCATTGTTCATTATTCTTTTACATTATTTATGTTACCTTTAGTTCATCACCCTTGAAAACACGGGGATCCACATTAGTAACAATTACAGAAGTTGGTAGGTCTTCATCGTGAACCAATTCATCAATTGATCTGATACTCGTATCACCAATATGTCTTTCTCTATCAAATTCAAGCTCCAGTTGTGCAAAATTTGGATGTAAATTTGGCAGACCATCCACTTCATTGATTATTATATTTTCAGAATCTTCTGATTCTTCCTCCTCCACTAGCCCAGTGCCATGTTTTTCCTCCATTTTCTTTCCTACTATGTTTAAACTGATATTAAAATAAAACTTAGTACAAGCTAAAATTGTAAAAGCATTAATTTAAAAAATTTTTTAAATACTGTATAAAGTAATCATTTAACATAAAAATTAATTTAAATAAAAAAATACTAAAATAACTTCAATGTGATAAACACAATTACTATAAGTATAATTATGTATAAGATAAGGAAAAGAACATTATAGAAAATCTATATATATTCACAGATTTGCAGATTACAAAACCAAACTGTTTATGTGTACTAGCATCACGCAACTAAACTTCACAAGCGTACAAAATTATTTTTACCAAAAATGAATAAATTGGCGAAACAACCATTCAGCACATCGGCATTTACTTTGCAAAACACGCTTTGACATTTAAATACTAACAATCGGCGGAGACGAAGCGCGCGAGTATGGATTCCTCTTATTGACTATACAAGTGTCATCGTGTCAAGTTCATTGCTATCAATGCAAGGCGAATCAATGCGTATATACGATCTCGTCGCAGCATTCCATCGTAGCATTCATTAAAAGGTACGATAGACATCGATAATAAGAGACATTTCTCTCACCTGACACGATCTCTCTAGCGGGAAAGAGACCAAACACCGATGGATGTTTATAAAACGCTGGCTAACGCGTTTAGTCACAGACACTTCGTTACGTGCGTAACATCTATTCCATCATAACAAATTTAATCGTCTCGTCGCTCCGATATTAGCATCCTCGAGAGATTCACTTCCACCACGTCGATACGTGTTCGCTATTTCATCACTGTTATTATAAGGTAGCCACGCATCGTCGTTGACTTTATGTCTTATAACAACAGGCACAGCAGACACGTTCGGTTCGCGCGTCGTATCCGTATCCCAGTCCGATCGAATGCCATGGCCGTGAAACGGGTAAGGTTACGTTAGGTGAACTGGCAGGATTGCAAACTGTGAAGGATTAATTGAACGACATCGCGCGCCTTGTATCAAAACTTTCATCCTAAGCCCTAATTGGCTATTAAATGGGAAATTTCTAGGATCTTGAACGATTCTCGCGCAGCAATTTTGTCAATTATTTATCAATTAAAAGTCAATTAAAAGACACGATAAATTCTCGACACCGACGAGATACTATAAAGACTGTTGGTCTTACGGAATTTAGCGTACCAGAGAAATCTCGCTGTGCATTAACGCCCTTTTAGGAATACCGTGGCCGGAATATGAAACATAGCTCGAAATAAGCATGGATGATAACAGCAGAGAGAAGAAGGAGAGGTCATGGGTCGCTTTTATGGGCCTTCTACAATAAGCTATTAGTCATAAGTTGTAACTAAATTGACCAACTACAGTCGATTGTTTTTGAAATAATTAATTGTGATTGATCAATTTGCTTATAGCTTATGACTAGGGCCCAGTTCCACAACTTCCTTTAAAGGCTCGTCTACATTAGCTGTAAGAGTAAGGCTGTAAGGTTGCAAGACACGAAATGAAATATTTTCATTCGCTGACAGCTTACGTTACAGCCTTACAGCCTTACTCTTACAGCTATTGTAGACGAGCCTTTACTGTTCACGCTTTCTTACTGCTTACGGCCATTGTAGACCACGCTTAAAGGCCCATCTACAATGGCTGCAAGAATAAGGTTGTAAGCGTAAGCAGTAAGAAATGGACCAACCATAATCGATTATTCTTATAATAATCGATTGTGGTTGGTCTATTTCTTCCTGCTTACGCTTAGAACCTTATTCTTGCAGCCATTGTAGATGGGCCTTAAACGTAGTCAATGAGCTTTTACATTTAATTGATAAATTCCGTTAAATTTAAAAGTATATACCAATCAGATGCAAAAGCTCACTTAGCGCTCAATGAACGATTGTAGTACTGATTGCGTTCAAAAAACAAAGCGCTCACTGAGCGCTTAGTAACTATTGGTCTTTACTGTTAGATCCTTAAGGTCATTCTACAATACGTGTCGTAAGTTGTAAGCCGTAAGAATTGGCGAATCACAGTCGATTATTACAAAAATAATCGGCTATAATTGGTCAGTTCTTACGGCTTACGACACGTATTGTAAAATGACCTTTACATTCAGACCAATAACGTTGACGATTATTCCGTTGTGTAACCGTTGTTTTCTGAACGCAACCACTGAATGCACCCAAAGACTGGGGGAATGAATTTTCATTCCTAGATTTCGCTCTTTATACTATGGTGGTATACTATGGTGGGAATTTCCATTCGAAAGGTGCGTACGCTTGCTCAGATTCAAAATATAAGCATCAGTAACTGACACGTATGGCTGAAAGATGTTGTATCACCTCTGATACTTGTGCAGAATTTGTGATATATTTTTAAAAACTTGTGACCATGTTTTCTCACGCATGCTGAATATTTTGACAAAGTACCTCGGTTGGTTTGCCAGTGCTTTCCGAAGGAGAACGACTCGTAAAAATGTGTCATGATGTGACAGCATTTAAATTTGGCTCTTCCGGGTAGTGGTCTCCGTACTAACCAAGTTTCGGACGCCCTTTTCTGAATGTTAAGGTTATGCCATACATGTAAATAATAATTCATTTATAAACGTTTTATATTTATAATATATGTATGATGGAGTTCGACCAGTTGGAGCAATGTGTTAAAAGTCTAAACAAGGTAGTGAACGAGTTTCCGATTGGTGCAATTTCACTGAACGATTACATACCTATTGAGAAGAAGATCCAGATAAGCAGAGAATCACTGATGCGTCTGAATGCCAGGTTATTAATACTTAAAGCAAGATATAAACGTATGTGATTGATTTTAGACAGTATGTTGGGGTTCAAGAGTTGATCTAAAATCTCTCTTATCATTGCAGAATACACAGATCATGAAAAGTCAAGGGGGATTGAGGAAGAACTTGAAGATGAACTTTCAAGGGTTGTAAGTGACACACTTATAAACACCAAAGCTATTAAGTTATGTCTTCATAGCACAACTATTATTTCTATTCTCAATAATAAGGAAGGCACTGCGGAGGAACAAGAGTGAGAAAAATATACATCTTTAGTTGTTAGCTGAAATTAGATATTGTAAATAAATGTGTTGAGAAATAGAATGAAACTTTAATATTTTACTTGCTTCAGGAAACTCGGCACTTATGTGAGTAAGTTATTTACTTTGAATGACAATATTATATCTGTCCAACAGTCTATTGAGAAAGCTTCTCAAACACAATTAAATCTAAAATTGGAGTGTCAAAAGGCTCTGAACGATTATAAGAATTTCCTCAAGGAACAGGAGGAAATACGAAACAAAAAATTGCAAGAAACCTCTCCTGATATTGTAAAGTAAGTAAACTTGCTGATGAAATGGTTTACTTTGTGCCATATACCCTTGTAATGTTTAAAATTTCTCTTTCAGAAACAAATCTCGAATGGAAAATACTTTAAGAAAGATAAATGTAATGAAGAAACTTATTAGAAATTTCATAGCAGCATCCTGTTTTATGTTAATGAAAAAGCCATTATTATTGGAAATGTTGGAAAATCACAGAGAATTATTTAATGTGGAAACAATATTAAAAATGGCCCAAAATGAGGAAGATATTGAATCTGTATGAGAGGAAGAGAGAGAGAGAGAGAGAGAAAGAAAGAAAGAGATAAAAGAATATTTAAAAAACCGGAAATTCCGAAGAGAAAATACGCAGGAATTCATTAAGAATTTTTTTCTCTTTTCTTACTTGCTAAGCGCAATAGACACAACACATATTTACAAGAATAAGCTTCCACGCAAATTTCAATGTCTTTTTCTTATTTTTTTCTTTTTTTCCTTTAAGTTCCTCTATTCAACCGCCTTGTCAGACAGTTTTTTTTGTATGAGTTAATCTTTAAATAAAGCATAATCGATATTGTATATAAGTTAAAAATTAGGATATATATATATATATAGTAATCACAGCTTACGTATATATAGTAAAGTTTCACTATAGGGGAGAGAGATGTACACATTCATGTTTTAAAATCAGTGTATCGAGAGACTTTCTCGCTCTACTTTCTTCGCACGATTAACTCGTGTATTATATGTATAATGTAACCACCGCGTGCGGTAAAATGCAAATTGTAAGACAATCGGGTTTTTTTTTCATGGTCCGGTGTGTATGTATGTCGTTCAGTCTCATTATACATTACGTTCGCTTTTTTTTTTTTTCTTTTACTATGTAAACCACTCTCCTCTTCCACAATCATCCATATATATATATATATATATATATATATATATATATATATATGTATATATATATATATAGTAAACACATAATTCACAGTAGTGGTACTAAAACAATTTAATATACTATTTACACAAGTTTGTCGGTTTCGGATAGATCAGTTCAAGACGAGTGGAAAGAAAACGAATCCGTTTGAGTGCCACAAGAGGAGCCGCAGCGGAACTGCGTTTCGCATCATGCCCACCGGAGACAGTGTATCTATGCACGGATCTTTCCTCGGGATACGGATCGACTTTTACGTTCTCCAATGAAATACGAGGCGGGAGATACGATCTCGTATGGAACGCGTATGTATTATTATCTCTAGAGAAATCCGCATCTATACACAAATCATATAATCTCATTCCTCTCTGTTCCGTCAGCTTCTTCGCAAAGAACACATTCGTTTCTCTCAATATGTAAATGTGTATATATGTGTGTATGTGTGTGTGTGTGTGTGTGTGTGTGTGTGTGTGTGTGTGTGTGTGTGTGTGTGTGTGTGTGTGTGTCTGTGTGTGTATGTACATCAGAATAGCAGTCTCTCATTCTGACAATAATAAAAGTCGTAATAAAAGTTGCGTTTGTTTTGAGAGATGTCGATTAACCGTACACGTGTATGCGCACGAAAATGAATCAAGCGTACACGTCTGTTGATTCACCTCCCCAGTGAGTCTATTCTGTAACTCTCAATGACAGTGTTGGTTATTGTCAGATTGTCGTTGCGCATCTTTTCCATTATTATATATAATACTTACGCAACGACAATGCGACAATAACGATACTGTTGCGGAAAGTTACAGAATAGACCTACAGTGAACACCAACTGAGAGTCGCGTCATATTTCTTACTCTAACTATAATATAACATGCGTTGTACACAAACAGTTACATTGTTGAGTGAGAAATTGTAACGTTATGTAAAGTTACAATCAGCTGATATTTACTGAGTATTCTTTGCTTCGGATCCCTCACACGCGCGTGTATGTATGTGCGTGTTTTACGGTTACAAAAATGTCAACTCGCAACGCGGCTCTACGCGCCGATCGCTTTGTACTTCTATCTATATTATTATCCGGTTTCGTGTGTCCCCCCCCCCCTCGTAATCGTTTCATAAATAATTTCCATGTCTCTCCAAATGTTAAAACACACGCCTGCATACACAGCCACGCGCGCGCAGCATCAGTTCTCGCTTGAGCATTTCCAATTTCATGAAAAGACACGCGATTCATCGTCATCGTGGGAATCGGCAATTTTATTCTTCAACAATAAATCACCCACTAAAACAATACGAACGTATAATAAGTCGTGAATGTAAATACTCTACAATGTAAGCCTCACTATGCGACGCAATTCGTCTCCTCAAACGAATGAGACGTCGCTTCGTAGCGTTCATTGATTACAATTTAATCTCAAGAGTTCTCCGGCTGTTGGTCGATCGCTGATCGAAATCTTCCAACGATACGGACGAGGGAAAACGCAGACATCGTGTTGCTCAATTTCTCCCGAGAATTGGATCACGGGTGTAACAGGGATAATGATTACGCAGCCTCGTTTTTCCACAGATGCACGCGCGACTATTGTGTGTGTATATATATGTGTGTACGTGTGTTGTGTGTCGATAAATTATTTATTATCATTCTCGTTGCCGCGGATGTTGAATGAAATCGGATCGGGGAATGAAAGACACGGGAATACACCAATCCTGGTTCGATCTATTTTTGTCGCACCAATTTACAAACACGTAAAAAAGAAAAGAAAAGGGAAAAGAAACATCATTCCCGAGCGAAGAAGACGGTCGTTTAGATTACAATAAGCTTTAATTCCGTCCTAGGTGCGTACGCAACAATCGCTTCTCTCTTTGTGCAAAGTATGTGTATGTCTCTCTCTACTTAGGGAGGAATGAAAAGGAAGGTATATATGTTTGCTATGTGTATGTGTGTTGTGTGTATCGCGTATGTATACTGCCTACAATATCCGAGGAGAGACGAGGTTTTACTCACAACCATACTTAACCAGCAGTCAGTCGTGTTATATTAAAAATCGTGTGACTTCGCGCTTGAAAAATCGGCTAAAAAACTACGGGCTAAACTTTGCAACATGGTTGCAGCAGAATATTTATTATATTACGCCAACACGACTCGGTGGCAGGACAGTGATATAAATACGGAGACTCCTCGCGGTTCCCTGTGGACTTTTCACGCATGCACGCATGCACGCACGTCTTCTTTTTCTCTGCACGATCGGGGGAAGGGGGATTACAATAATGTGCCGGCGTTTTGGCCGTGCATCGCTGGATCGCGCTGGAACGAATCCTATCACTCTCGCGCGCGCGCGATGAACAGTCGCGCGGTTTAACATTTTCTTCTTTCCTCCCTTTTCGTCTCTTATGTACAATGGGATACGCGGTATTACAACTTACGCGCGAAAACTACGAATCAGCTCGTTAAAAGCGCCCCGGAGTTAGTTAACATTTTTGCTCGATTCGTTCTCTTTCCACACACGCAAGCGTCATGTACACGCGGATATCGCATATCGTCAGCAGACATTCGTCATTAGCATCCGCGCTGGCCACTCACTCTCTTTCTTTCTTTCTTCGCCGTTCACATATAAACGTAGGATGTGTGTACAAGTAGGATGATGACGTCTCGATTGTTTCGACGATCGGCTTGTCGCGGCACAAGCTTTACAAAAAGGAACGATATTCTCTCGGTGTGTCCAGTGGGAAGATACAGATAATGAGAGGGAGGAGAGGGAGGAGAGGGAGAGAGAGAGAGAGAGAAAGAAAATGACAATGACAATGAAAGAGAGAGGGGGGAGGGGGAAAAGAGAGAGAGGGAAAAGGGAGGAATTCACAGAATATGATCTCTAGATTTTCTAGATTCTGATCTCTATTTTAAGCGTATCACTTTTCGAGACGTCCGACGGCGGATATGCTCTCCCTCTCTTCCGTTCGTTTGATCGATCGTTCGTTCATTCGTTCTTATCGTGCGAGTCGCACACGCACGACGCCGAGTATACAGTAGCTTTTCGACGTGCAACAGCTTCGTAAGTACATGGGTTTCTCTCTCTCTCTCTCTCTCTCTCTCTCTCTCTCTCTCTCTCTCTCTCTCTCTCTCTCTCTCTCTCTCTCTCTCTCTCTCTCTCACTCTGTCGTCGGGCGCGCTTATTCGACGGGTGATCGACGTGCACAGGGGTGTTTTAAGTTTCTTTTTTCTTTTCTTTGCTCTTGACACGTTCGACACGGTACGGTTTACGTTTGCGCACACATCTCTCGGGAGTACGATGTACGGTACGAGGTTCGTCGGCCGGACTAGCACAAATGTGTGGACACCTTCGGACACAACATGTACGGGTCTCACGCTCGTCGCCTCTGCGAGCGAGTCCTTGTCGTTCGATCCGCAGCTATTCGTCGCGTTCCTGCAAGAAGAAACGATCAGGTCTGAGAGGTGATCCTCGACTCCGGCGGTTTTTGCGAAAAAATCCAGGAAAAAGTCGAGACGTTCGATTTTATCTCCGGCTTGACAATTATGTTTTTTTTTAATCTTCATTTCTCTCTCTACGTTCATATCTTATTTTCAAATTTCGTACATCTTAATCTTCTTCGTTTCTCCCGATCTCTCAGATTCCTATTAATTTTTTTCATATGTAACTCGCGTTCCAAAAGTAAATGTTAAAATCTAAGATCTTTTATCCGGGTCTAAAAATTCTGGAATCTTAATGCAAAAAAGATTCATCAAACTCGATTTCAAAGGGTTAGCAATTTTTACGAATGAAACGAACATCGACTCGGTACTTTTCTGGACTCTCTATTTTTCTAGAAGGATGACACCGTCACCCCAAGCTAAGGTCTGTCTCCACGTAACATCGAAGCTCGCGGATTTTCCTTGGAACTTACTTGATCGCTCGCACGTATTTTCGTCTCGAGTGTCTCTCCATCTTTCGCCCGACTGCGTCGCGACGCTCCCATAGGAATTCGCAGGCGTCACTCTCTCCCTCTCTCCGTGTAACGTTCTCCTCTCCTCACGATACCATGGGGAATAACGATTGAGTAAGTTCGCAGCAAAGATCGCGTTATTATCTGGGTGGATCTTTTACGTTATTGCATCATTATTACAACACCGTGCTCGAATTTCTCTTGCTCTTCGCGCGCGTTTGCACTTCTCTCTTTCGTCCTCCAGACCAATTTCGTTGCTTCCTTCTCTCCTTGTCTTCCAGTTTCTCTTTTGTTTCCGCACGCGGCAGGTCCTCGTCGCTTCGTCGAGGAACATCGTCGAAAGACAGATCCAGCCGCGGATCGGCAACGGATTCCTCTTTCTTCCATCTCTCGTCCATCGAGAATTATCGCGACATAAACACATTGTGTGGACCGAGAAGCAAGAATCATCCTCGAAGAAGCGCACACTCTCTCTCTTCAGCGGAGGGGAATTCATATCGAAAGAAATGTGTTTCCTTTTTGCTCCTTTTTTCCGCGTTCTTACTTTATCTCTCTCTCTCTCTCTCTCTCTCTCTCTCTCTCTCGTCTTTTCCTCCTTTTTTCTTTTTTTTGGTTCTTTTTCTTTTTGTTTTTACATAATATAACCGATATACACACTGGCGGAGCACGAATCGACTGCGGTATCACGTAATTTCAACTTGTTCGCATTTTTATATGCTACTAAACTTTCATTATATACGCTAGAGTCTACAAGACAGAAAAACCTTACTTCATCGATATGTTATGTAAAATGTAATTGTTTTCAATCGTTCTCACGATACGATCACTCTCACATGATAATTTCTCATCTCGGAAGGCATGAAACCGAAACTGATATTGCTTTGGAAAGTGCCGCGCGTTTGCGCGCGGACTTCTGTGGCGCGACTAGCGTCGGGATTATCACGAAGGATTGCGGAGAAGGGCGGAGAGCGAGAGCGACGGATGAGATTCGCTGAGAAAGTAGAAATTATCTTACGTCCACGACACGTCCGCGTGTATATGGACAAACGACGGGCAGTGTAAGAAACTTCGCGAAAGAAACCGTTGGACAATCAATTCGGATACTCTCCGGACTATAATGACACACGCGACACGATTCTCCACAGTAATCGTCTCGACGACGTTCATGGTGATAACGCTGGTAACCGCTACCCTCTTTCCTTTCCCCTTCCCTCCTACCTCTCGCTGCGATCAGCAACCCGGAATTAACGTCACGAAATCGTTCGCTCGCTACACAAAATGCTCGGACACGCTGGAAACGTTCTAATAATATAATATTCGAATCTCTCGCGCGTCTTCTCTGGATGGAGAAAAGAAACGAGAGGGAGAAATTCGAAGTAAAAGGGAAAAAGGAAAATGCACGCTGACGAAAGCGAGAGGTCTTCGTTTTATACACAGTTGTGCATTCCTACATACACCTTCGGTATTCGCAACATGATTTTACTCGCGAACACGACGAGAGGGAAACGAGGAACGGACTGGGGGAGGACATGAGAATACCTGTGTCGTATGTACAAATCCCGTAGCCTCCCTTTCTCTTTCTCGATCCCATCCCGGGGTGCCGGCGACGGAGAGCGCGATCGTCGTTTCGGTTTCATGCCTTTCAGAGATTTTCAGCATGCTAATCGGGACTTCGCGGCAATCGAAATCTCTCGGTTACAAATTCGGGGTGAGGCTCTGGGAGAGGGAAGGGGCGGGAATTATACACTACGCTCGATTATCGTCCTGCGGGGGGAGGGAGGGCGTGTGTGAGTACAATGAGATCTGTGTAGCTTCGATTCGTTTACAATTCAAGTATACGATAACGCGCGGTGCGTTCGCCGTCGCGACGAGCCCCGCGCGCGCGGGAAGTCGCACGCGACGTGTATAAACAATATCGTCGCGATACACGCGGCGTATTAGTTAAAAAGCGTCCCCGTGGTTACAAGGAGAGAGTCGTAGGCACAAACAAGTTCTCTCAACATCGGTACGTCAATTCCTTACTCCTACTGTGTAATGCGGATGATGATGATTATGATGGTGATGATGATTATGATGATGGTGGTGATGGCTACCGGTACCGAACCGTCGTCACGGCTGCCGCCGTCAACGGCCGATGACCGTTCTCAGTCAAACGGCGACATGTCAGTATTTGCGATGACATCGATATCGATAACGATGCAATTAATGAGGACAATAATGATGAGATATTAATGATAAATGAAGGTCGGAACAGACCGATTTTGTATATTAATCGTGATCACGATAATGACTGCGAAGGATCAATGCAATAATAATAATAATAATAATAATAATAATAGCATAATATAATAATGATGGAAAATAAAATAAAATAATAATAATGAAATATATATTGTAATAATAGTAATATCGTAGCACTAGTAAAGTAGTAGTAGTAGTAGTAGTAATAGTAATAGTAATAGTAATAGCAGTAGCAGTAGTAGTAGCAATCCGTAGGGATAGTGGTAGCAACAAGATGAGATGTAATCATGACGATAATAGCAATTATAGTAGCACGAGGTCAGCCTTTTTCGGCTAAACGAGAGGGATGATTCGGTAAGTGGTGGATTCGTCAAACGCGTCGACTCTTATCGGTGGCTCGAAGCCACACGAGATATTCGTCGACTTGTCCGACGATGACAGGCAGGACAGCTGGAAGGAAGTGTAATGCTGGGTCAGATTACAGGAGACGATATCTGAAGAGATGGCCGTCGATGGCAGAGGATGCATTTGCCGAATTCATCATTGATTTCATCGTGGCGGAAATTTCAACAGGAATCTCATTACCGTAAAATTTCCTCGATCGAACTTATCACTTCGACGGAATATAAAAAAAAAAAAAGCGCGGAATCGAAAGAGAGATCGCATCGCAATAAAAGAACGCGCCGAGACACGCGCGCGATCACACTAGGACGCGAGAAGAGAGCCACGCTACGTCCAATTTGAGCCGATAAAATTGCAAGAAGCGCCGTCGAGTTCATCAGCACTCGAGGCCAGTGATCAAATTTCCTCCATGAAGAAAGCCAACTCCGCATCCGTCGCAAAGTACATCGCTACCGCGATCGTATCTCTCATCCGTTCAAAATGATGCTCCTCCTCCGTATGTACAACATGTGGCCGGCGATGTAGACGTAAAGAAACAAGTTAAGAGAAACGAAGGAAAGGGTCCGGCAGCTCTCTCGTGAATCTGAACGAAGTTTCGGTATTCAAGCGATATTCGAGCAGCGAGTCTAGAGTCTTAAGTAAACGCCGATGAACTCGAGCCGATCAGTCGCGCGCGAGACGCTTTTCGTTATACACAGAAACAGTACCTAGAACGATTCTATAACCGCAGTGATAAACAAAGTACCACGGAACTCCGACACTACACCGAGGAGTCGACATCGGCCGCGACGACCATATGAGCGGCCAGTGGAGGAAGGCGAATGATCCTCGTCGTCGTCGTCGTCGAGTCCGCTCGTTTCTACCGACAGAGCCGGCGCCACGACCGGCCGGAGGGGAAGGCGGCTTCACTCTCGATCCTCGACACTGGAGTTTGGAGCGCGACGACCGTCCACCGGATCATAAGTGATTAACAGCAACGACAGAGACGGATAGGATGTTTCCGACGGTAGTGACGGTGGGTGCTGGTGCTGGTGCGCTGGTACTGGGGCTCAATGCGACAGCGGCGGCGGCGTCGGCGTCGGCGTCATCGTGACGGTGGTGTGCAGCACCGAGTCCCGGGACGCCGATCGGCTACCGACGCGCAACAAGGTGACGGCTTCCCTCTCGGGATCGGCGCTGCTGGAGTCCCTGTTGCCGCCACGCTCGCCGATTCGTCCTGCCGTTCCTGCTCCGCCAGCGGCGCGTCTACCGCCTCCCATCCTCGACGACGACGTCGCCGCGGTGAGCCCGGCCGCCGCCCCGGACTCTTCGGCACTATTAACCGCGCACTGCACCGCCCCCCCGAGACCAACGATAACGGACAGTCATTTCTGCCTTCCACTTTTCTTCTTCTTGCGCTTGAAGAAGCAACAGCATCTGGAAATGAAGCAAACACTAATAGGACTTAGAGTCGTCTCCTTTGCAGCGTCTCTCGTTGGTCGACACCGACATGCAGCGGATGCAGAAAGTGCGAGGCATTCAGAGCACGAGCGCGGCGTGCGAGAGCAATTCGTGCTTGCCGGCCGCGGTGGAGGGGAACGTGTCCCAGGTGCGTGGGTGGTTATCGCCGATCGCGAGTGCGAGAGAATGCGTTCGTTAGCGGCTCAATTCGACGTGCGAATTCTACCGCGTGATTAGCATGCTGCCGTTACGCGCTTTCGAGGTCTTCGCGTAGAAGGATGCGTGGAAATCACACGTGAAAGCTCGACTCTGGTTACTCATGTGTGAGGATGTGAGAGAAAGGGCTGGAGAGCACGGAGACATGTAACAACTGCAAAAACAGAGACAAAAACAATGCCTACTCGACGCTCATCATCTCGAGGCTAAATTGCTGTCGAGTGCGCAGAGGAAAATATTCTGTTGCGGAGAAACGTCATTGCCTAGTCTAGTCTTTTTTTTCCTCCAGTGTAATGAATATTGTATTTTATTTTAAGTAATGAATATTTTCAAAAAAATAATATTTTCTTGATAACGGTGTCAGATTATACTCGTCACTGAAGCGAAGAGAATTTATTCTCCTTTCGAAAAAATATCATGAAATTTATATCTCATGTACAGAAAGGAAGCTAAATTTGTACTTTAATTTCATATTTTGGCTTATTACTAAATTTTAAATATTCAATTTTTCCTCAGATCTAGAATGTACTTAGAATAAAGTTGCTCATGACCAATTTATGAGATACTTGAGTTAAGCAACATTTTTTTTTTTTTTTATTTAAATGCGGTACGTGTGTGCTTTTCTATGTGTACTGTGCATTCATGAATTCTTTGATCCTTCTTTACAAACCGCTCTTGCACTTGAGGCGGAACAATGAGGATCAGGGAGCAAGAACAACAAAAATAACAAAAGAAACAGACTTTGTATGATGGGAAAAAGATACATTTGTATACATTTGGTCAGACAGTATCATCGTGTACGGCGCGCGCAGGCCGTTGTACAAAAGACTAATGACTATAAAATGTTTACAAGTAATAACAATAAATCTAACAATACCGATTAACGAATGTTATATTTCCTCCTTATATTACGCAACAAAAAATCTTGTATCGGCCATTTGTGTCGGTGCAACGAAGCTAGTACGGAAATGAGGGTGGGATTGTTGCGGGAAACATATGCTTGTAAGGATCGTAACAACAACTTCCCACATCGAGGACAGTGTTCGCGTTTCAATGGAGTTAGTCTTCTGAAAACAACAGCACGAGCGCAGATCTTAGATCGGGGGGAGCAGGATCGCGACGATCATTCAATTTGCCCGCACGCGTCTCTATCGTTTCCCTTCGAGCGTTCAGATTCTTCGGTCGCGTCCGCATATGCTGTTAGATCACTCGTACGCCAATCTAATTAAGCTTTCCTTCTCGACGATCATCTACTGTTCGCAAAGTTAACAGCGTACCGCGTGTAGAAACGTTGCAAGCGATGCATGCATACGGTGAAGCTCGAAGGTTCACCGCGTTTAGAGCAATGCAGACAAAGGGAGGAATCGTGATAAAACAAACTGCTACTAACTTGGTTTCGTCGATCATGTCCACTTCCTGAGGCGCCGTGATCGGTGTGTTGGAGTGCCCGGCGGTCGGGTCGTCGTTAGCCAGCTCCCCGTTTGTGGACGACACCACCTGTGTAGATCACACGACATTATTGCGAATCAATCTGCGAACGACGATACAGAAGGGGTTCACACTTAAGGACTCTCAAAGGGTTTTTACATTTCCATATAGACGACTTTACTTCTCGGCGCTATCGGATACAAGAGTACGAAGAGAATCGTTACTACTCGTACTCGACAAGAGGGGCAGCTACGAGAAGTGATACATATCATAAGTCAATTTGTTCAGAGAGAGGTCTACTTGCAAGTTGTACAGAGAAAACTAGATAAGAGTGTCTTATACGTGACAAAGGGACGTGAGAAGGTGACGTTGAGAAAAGAGAGAGAGAGAGAGAGAGAGAGAGAGAGAGAGAGAGAGAGAGAGAGGGGGGGGGAAGAGAGAGACTATTGCGAGTAGGGTCGATAAAGCAATATTTTCTAAAGACTAAAGAAAAGAAGCGTAAAAGTAACAGTAGTCTGATCTTTCTTCGAGAGTTACACGGTTTGTTGCACGTGTGACGAGACGACACTCTTGTTACTGTAAAGTGCAGGGTGTGGGCAAACGGCCGTAGTAATACCGGATTAGTATTTCACGTCCAATCAAATAAATAAAAGGTAGTCGAACAATCGACACAAAGACAACATGCCGCAACAAGTCAAATTGCACAGACTTCTAACTGACCATAATCCAGTGGTGCTTCGTCTAGAAATAGAGCGAATAGTTTACTCCTGGTATAGACTGAGACATCTTTTATATGCGAGTCGAAACGTGTTGTGACAATGAGAGACAAGGAAGGAGGCAAGAGTCACAAGGAGAAACCAATGAACGATTCGCTATTAATCAATGAGTGATCGATGACGCACATGATCTCACGCACATGTACGCGACGATGCAGTATCAAATGTCCCTCGAAATCTCTACGATTCCCGCAGAAAGTGAATTTAGACCTTTCGGAGACGGAGAAACTGCGAAAACTTCAACATGGCGCGTTTCTCCCGCGATTGACAGAGTGTGAGTGAGTGAGAGAAAGAGAGAGATGGTGAGTGTTGACTGAAACAAAAGATGAAAAAAGACGCAAAGTAAGAGTCGAAAAAGGAGAGAGCCGCTTTGGAAAATTAAGAGACGGAATGACGACGAGAACGAGAGAAGGACATGAGAAAGAGAGAGAGAGAGAGAGTGAGAGAAAAAGAGAGAAAGGAAGATGCGCAGGTAAACTCACCTGTACAGAGCCGTGCCTGTCAGCAGGTGTCAATGTACCACCGGCTCCTGACTGCTTCACAGTATCTGGCCACGTGGCTCCCACCCCCTTACCGCCCCCACCTCCCACCCCTCCACCTGCCACGTCCTGAAGGAACAAGCATGACAAATATCGCAGTTGCTTTGCGTTATGCAATTCCGCGGGATTTCGGAGGACAGTGTTAGTGAAGAAATGTGTATCGGAAACGTTTCAGAGAGAGACAGAGACATAGAGAGAGAGAGAGAGAGAGAGAGAGAGAGAGAGAGAGAGAGAGAGAGAGAGAGAGAGAGAGAGAGAGAGAGAGAGAGAGAGAGAGAGAGAGAGAGAAGGGAGGAAGGAGAGGGAACCATCTCTCGTGGACGATGACCACCGTGACGATCCGTGATGACGAATTCGCGTGTGCGCGTCGAAATGATCCACGAGACAATTCCTAATCCGATATTAATATCTACACTGTGGGAATGAGAGACAGAGAGAGAGAGAGAGAGAGAGGGGGGGGGGAGGGAGGGAGGGAGGGAGGGAGGGAGGGAGGGAGGGGGGGGAGGGAGAGAGAGAGAGAGAGAGGGAGAGGGAGAGGGAGAGAGAGAGAGAGAGAGAGAGAGAGAGAGAGAGAGAGAGAGAGAGAGGGAGGGAGGGAGAGAATGAAAAGAAGAGACAATACGTGTGTAGTTCGCTGCTCGACGACAAAAGTGAAATACAAACGACTACCTGTGCGCGCGATCTCACTGCTTGAGAATATTTAATGTGTTTTACGCATGTCGTACGGGCGAATTACTACGAGGAGACGGCGAGATCTTCTGGCTCTAGCTCGTTACAAGCAAGGGCTTCGGCAAGGGCTAAGTAATCGTGTCAAAGCGACTTCCTCGTGCATGAATTCACCGCCGTCGCGGGCCAGAAGAGGTGGTTACAACAGAGTTGATCGTGTCCGATATCCGATATTATTCCGGTCGAGATCGTTATTGCCCGGCGGGATTTCAGTCGTTCTCGTTCACCGTCGCGATCGCTTGCTCGCCGAGCGATCGCATATTTCGTACATTGACCACGTGACAAACGCACACGTGAGCGCTCTTTATGGCTCGTCGTGTACGAGAGCCCCTCGCGTCGTCGAAAATACGCGGCAGTTTGCGCGTCCCGCGCTCGTTAAATCTCGCTTTATGAGCTCGTGGAGAAAACTCATTAATAACGCTTATTATACAACGAGCGACGAGCGGGTGTATCTCCTGCGAGTGCAGTATCGTCGTCTCGCCGATAAGATAAAGCATGCACGAAGAAGCCGATTCATCGAGGCGCAAACCTAGAATGATGTCTTACATATTGGCCTTGCAATTCGAAGCGAACCTCATCCATCATAAGGACTACGTCCTCCTCAAAATCATCGTACTCCTACAAATTGACGTCGTGATTCGTACTGGTTTCGTGCAGAGTGACAATTCGCCGCGAGTGTGTGTGTGTGTGTGTGTGTATATGTAGCCGTTTGTTTTACTCTTTCGTTTTTCCGTCCTCTCGATATATTGCTAAACCCGGTCTAACCAACCTCCCCCGCGAGAAAACGCGATTGACAGCTTCCTTCAGAGAAAAGAGAGATCTCGCTCGTCCCGTGATCTTTCTCTTCTCCTCTCTGACTTTTATAAACGGTCTGAATCAAGGTCGTTGTTAAAATTCTGTCTTTTGTCTTTCGCTAATGAGGCGTGTATCCATGCGGTTAACTTGAGTAACAAATATAGATAAACTGCACACGTTCATGCTCGGGTGGAAACAGTGGTAACGTAGGTATACCTTGTAAGCAGCTGGATGCCGGTCACGATTGGGCGACACGACGATTTCCTGGCCGGTTTGGAGGGACCCGACGGGCGTGGACTGAAATGAAACAGAAAAAATTTCGCTTTAGATAGCTATCAGTTGAGATGGCAACGAGAACGTCGCTATTCTACTACGCTCCTATGTACTTTACGTAAGGTACGAGGTGTAGGGGTAACGTACTTGAAGCTGGAAAGCGGGCACAGACTTATCGATGGACTGTGCACTTTAATTTACTCTTAACCGAAGACCTGTGACATCACAATGCGTTAGATTCCTACGTAGATAAGGTCAATCGGGCGGCAATTACGCGACTACAGCGCACACAAAAAAATACATACTGCGTTCGAGTAAACGTTACTTGTTTCAAGTATTTCATGAGTTTGCGCATTTGTAAATCTAACTATTGCAAGTTCATCGTAAACAACAAGTTTACTCAAGATACATTCTGAATTCTTCAACCGAGTTTGATACTCTTCAATCGAGGATATTAAATTAAAGACGGAATTCGGTTTGCTTCCTACATAAAATGTAAGTTTTACCAAATACTCTCTTGAGAAGAAAACAAATGCTTCTCTTTTGAGTGATAATGGTTTTTCCTGCGATAACAGGCGTTTTGATTTGGACATGATAATGAATTCTTCCAAGATTTGTAACGAGCACATTTTAAGAGACTAATCAATATTCTTTGTTGAAGATAACCATTATACATACATATATACATACATACATATATATATATATATATATATATATATATATATATATATATATACTTGAAAGAAGGAAAGTAAACTTCGCTTTTCTCAGCAGTATAAAATATTTTTCTCTGTGTATACGACCGTTAATCGCGTTGCGTTGCGTTGTAAGAACAATCACGCTTGAAGAGAAAAAAAGGAGTATATTCCCCGAATTTCGAGGTCGAATCGGCAACATTACTAATGACGAGTGGCGATACAGGTGTGATCAGGCGTGGGAAATGATGTCGCAATGTGATTGCACCGCAGAAAGATGTCAAAGATCAGTTACTCGGTAGCGAGATATCTGCCGGCGGAGATTATCCGAGCCGTGAACCAACCTTATCGGATTTGGTTTTGCCGATGTGCGAGGGGGCCTCCATCCGCAACGCTCTCAGTTGCTCGAAGTTTTGCGGCTAGAGATAGTGCATTGTAGAGGGGAGGGGCAGCATGCAAACGTTAAAAATCAGATGTGAGAGCGTTCGCCGATACCGCGTCGCGAGTCTGTTGGGACATTGGCGGACGACTTACTTACCCAATGCGAATTTATCGAGCGCTCTTTCGCGGACGAACGATAATCGAAGAGTCGAGACAGAGAGAGAGAGAGAGAGAGAGAGAGAGAGAGAGAGAGAGAGAGAGAGAGAGAGAGAGAGAGAGAGAGACGGGACCTCGGGGTATAATCGTAACGGTCGCGTCGTGTCGCGTCGCGTCGAGAGAACCGTTTCTTTTATATACCGTGTGCGTATCGCACGAGCGTGCGTGTGTGTACGTCGCTATCATCGCGGAATGTGAGAATAATTCACGACGACGTTCGCTTCGGGAAGAGGGGCATTGAGTAACAATTTAGTAACCGATACCAGCCGGATTATCCAATTACATTATCGTAGCCGCGCGCACAAGCAGGCAGTATGTACAACAAGCGCGAAACCACCGATATATTCTTACATCGTGGAAAGAAAATTATACGCGTGACGTCAGCGCGAGGCCACATTTATCGACTTGTATTTTTTTCTCTCTTTCTTCTTGCGACAGCACGATGACCGTTATCAGCGCGCGCGGTTCTCTGACGCAACGCGAGCGCGATGTCACACCGTGAACGGACATCGTCGGTTTCATCGAGTGCGCGGCATCAAAGCAACATGCAGAGGTGACATCCGCCCGAGAGAGCTTCTCTTTTCACGGCTGTTTGCTTGAAACGCGAGTGGGAAGACGCGAGGCGCTCGATACGCACCATTGGCTTGCCGGTCCAATCGAACTCGCCGTCGTTGACGAAACCGCGTCTCTCGTACAGGTCGTGGAAGAGCTTCCTCAGGTATTCGTAGTCCGGCGTCTCGAAGAAGTCCAGTCTGCGGACGTAGCGAAGGTACGTGGCCATCTCTTCGGGATGGCCGTCGCAGAGCACCTCGATCGGCGTCGCCCGCTTCGTGTCGCCGATCTTCTGGTAGCGCTCCTTCAACGTGTCGGCCTTGAGCCCTTGCCACGGCAAGCTGCCACGCAGGAAATACATGAACATGTGCCCGAGCGCTTCCAGGTCGTCCCTTCTGCTTTGCTCTGTTTGTCGGGAGAACAATGACGTTGATTTAATGTTCCACTCTTCGTGCGTAATATTCCGTGTTGTAAAATAAATTAGCGGAATAGATACGAATGCGTCTGAAGTTGCGGAATTTTTTTTGCTGACGTCAGGAGCGAGGAAATTTCAAATTCTTGCAAAATGCATTGGAATAAAAGGACACTCGAAAATCGACGCATGTCCGAGCGCTCTTTCCCTTCGCTCCGACAAACCAAAATGAATAACCGTGAAGTCGCGAAAGTAAGTAAAGAGGAGAGGAAGGAAGCCTTAATAATAATATTAGATCATCGTTATTAAACCTGTACACGTGATAAATGAGAATATTCGTTCAACGGTAAATGTTCGGACGCTCGTTCCGCACACAGAGGACGAGGTGTAATCGAGAGAGATGCGCGATAAAGAAATACGCTAATAAATATTTCGCGTACGCGTACGCGCCGAGAGGATTAAACGATTCTCCAGCGTTTCCGACACTTTCTCGCGCCGTTACCGCGCCGTAGCGCGCGATTTACCATGCAGCGCACACAGAACGAAAGAAAAGTAAACGGCCGTTACCTTTGCCAAGATGCGTGTTGATGCTCATGTAACGCGCCGTGCCGGTGAGACTCTTGTGTTCCCGGTAGGGAATATGTTTGTTCGTCTCCAAGTCTATGTATTCTTTGGCTAGTCCAAAATCGATTATGTGAATGATCTTCTCCCGCTTGGTGGTAGATCGTCCTATCAGAAAATTTTCCGGCTTGATGTCGCGGTATATCAAATGCCGACTATGAACGTATTCTATCCTATGGAGCTGTGGGAGAGAGAAAAGTGTATATTAACACTCGTGCGGCGGCTTTCTTCGGTGCCCGGAAGAAAAAAATATATATATAAATTATCGCTCCGCTTCTTCCGACGTAATCGAATTACGTCGCTACGTTCGCGAGCGATTCTTTTCCGCGTGAGGCAATCGATGACGGGAACTTTCTGGCACGTTCTGGCGCGTGTAAATTTAATTCATCCCTCGTTGTATCGATGCAGCAGCAGCAAGAAAGATTCGCTAAAAGATTTTCGTACTCAAACATTACAGGCCGGAATATTTTCAATAAATCTCTGTGTTTCCTTCCGTGTTTCTGCCCGGTCATTCAATCCGATAAATATGAATGCCGCGCGCGATGCCAGTCATGAGGGAAACAACCTTTACATGCGGACAAATAATAATAATAAAACCGCTGCCAAATTTACGTACATCCGTCTATTTGGGCGCGCTAATGCCCCCGAGAGACGTGGTCTCTCAAATAGATCGCAAATGAAAGTAAAAGATTCGCGGAGGAGCGACGGGCGATCGAAGCCGCGGCGGAGTTCGTTGGACTCCCGCGGGGTCTTCTGTTCATCCGAGCGACTCCTCGGAGGAGCGCGCGATGTTCGATAATTAATCCCGCGCGGCGGCGCGCGCGCGCGATCGTTGCCAGACGTGGCCGTCTCGTTAATTCGACTTACGAGCTGTGTGGCAATGTTGAGAACGGTCTTGAGGGTGAACCTCCTGCCGCAGATGTCGAAGAGATCTTCGAGACTCGGCCCGAGGAGTTCCATCACCAGGGCGTTATACTTCCCGCACGGGCCGAAGTAGTACACCTCCGGTATACCCTCTATATGTGTGTTATAAACTATAGCAAGATCGACAAAAAGTAGATCACACCCCCAGAAATCATCCCCACAAAAAGAACGTACGCACGCGTCGCAAGATCGTTCGTTCGAGTTTTGCGTACGTGCGGCGGTATGTAGGTCTCTGGCAGTTAATAACTCCGCGATGACGACGACGACGACGCCGCCGACAACACAATCGAGAATACACGTGCACGGGAGAACTCGAAGTTTCCGATTAACTCCCCGTGGAGCGACGTCCATGCGAATACGTATTATTCCGCCGCGTCGGAAACGCGCTCCCGGGATCAGCGGCGCTTCCTCCCGCGAATTCTTCGCCGGTGACTTTGTTGCGCGGTGTGCGTTTGAAAAACGACTTTGCCGAAGAGTAACTCTTGCATCGTGTAATCCGGCCTGATTTCCCACCGTTTGGGAAATTTAGTGTTACTCTAATAGAATCGAGAATATATAACAAAAGTAATAATTGATCTGACAAATATATCAGAAATAAGATAAGCGGTGTTTTCCGGTACCACCGATGGAATGAATGTTTAATTGTTCTCTCTTCAAGAGACGAGTAAATAACAATTAACAAGTGGATAATAATTAACAAGCTCCGAAAGCGCTCTGTTGAACGACGTAGACGAGAGAGATTAATTGGATGTTTATTTTTAAGATACATGTCGCAGCCTTAAGGTTACGCTGAGATTCGACAGAAAGAGGTTCATATACCTTAATACGATATCGGGCGACGGATTGTAAATGTATATAAAATTTCTCAGATAGATAATTGGAGAAAGGAGAGAATGAGAAATATATTTTTTTCCGACGACACAGTTAAGGACTGGAAATACAAGCTGCCGTGTTATTTATCGATCTACATCTACATGAGAACACTGTAACGTTATAAAGCCACGAATGACGACCTCGACATTTTCGCCAAGAAAAGGCTAAATTGACCGGGGAATAATGCGCGGTGGATGTGGAGCAGCCTCTGTTACATGAAAACGCGATACGTTCGTTTCGCTCTCTCGATAAAATCTCGACTCGTGACGCTAATCGCGCCGGGCTTTGTTCAAGAATGCAGAAATTACACGCGCGACCGTTTCGCTATTTCGTGCAATTTGGCTAATTCGAATCGCATGAAAATTACACATTTCGCGCGGTGTCGCGCGTATGCGAAGCGTGCGCGCATGACTGTGAAACTATTTCGCACGACGTGTCATCGACGGAGGGTTAATGGCATCGGGGTATCGAGAACAGTTCGGTTGTAGTTATCGATTTATCCCAAGTGCCGCGGAGTTATTAATCTACGACCGTCACTTCTCTATGAACGTCTCTATTAAGTTGCGCGAATCGATCCTTCGACTCGACTAAATTATGCTCAACGGCGCAATATAATCGCGTGGATTTCGTTTCAACGCGTGTCTCTACGTTCCATCTTGTTTTCTCTTGTCTAAGATATTTATACATAAATAACGTAACACTCACCATGTGAACCTAATAATTTGTAAAACCTATACTCTAAATGTAGCTGTGGTGCCTTTGACTTCATTGGTTCCTGCAACCGTGTAAAAAACCAAAAGTCGTTAGAGAGAGAGAGAGAGAGAGAGAATCGAAATCTCTCCTTATCTCATAATTACGCAAATTACAAACGAAGGAAGAAACAAAAAATTAAATAAAAATTAAACGCCAAAATAAAAATAACGCCATTCTATCGCTTTTCGTATCGATGATAAACAACAATTTTGTTGTGAAGGTGCAGACTGCATTGTACTCACCATTTTAATTGCTACGTGCTCGTTATTATACAGGTTCTTCCCTGCAAAGAGAAGGAAAGAAATCGATAAGTATATGAATAGAATATTGGCGGAGGAGATATATAGCGAGGGATATAAATCGCCGTGGAAATTTTGGTAAATAAGATATATATATATATATATATCGGGGGATATCGTATAATAAATATACATTTTCGTCGCGGAACACACGGCACATTTCGATGAAAATGTTTCTTCCCCGAGGCACATCGCAAAACGACGAGTAGAGAAAAACGTCATCGCGCTACATATCAAATCACGATTCTCGACGATAGTATAATCGCGTGATAATTAAACGGCTCGCATGATTGCGACGTGAGAAAATTAGATCGTCGAGTAATCAGCGGTCACCGTACAATCACGGCATTTGTCGATAATTAACGCTCGCGTTCTCCGGTATGTTCTATTCCAATATAATCGCGTATTAAGCAATCGACGCGATAATTTGCGCTATTATCCGCAACGTAATACGTCAGAGTCGCTACCGAAGATGCCGATGTGTGTTTGTGAAATCATCATACCTGTAATTTAATTCGATGTCAATTAAGCGGACACAAGTTGCGAGAGATGACGTTAAATATTAACAACTAGCTCGGTAATGTATTAATGAAACGTGTACACGGCGATACGACACGCAACGGCTAAAACAATCGGTATCGTTTTGGGAGGGACGAGCTCGGCCAAGCGAAACTGTGTATTCAGGTGTTTAATCGCTATGCATTAATTCTGGCCGCAATTGGAGCCGCGTAAGGATGTTGGTAGCGAATAAGAATTTCTTGCGGGAAGATAATAACGTCGACAATGTGCATCGCATACGTCGAGACATTTTTTCGAAATTCGGAAACTGGGACAATTTTCCGGAAAATCGTAATGCCGAAATTCGAATACTCGTGTATTAATATCTATTTATTTGAGTATACACTCCTGTACTCGAATGAGCAGACATTGATGCTTCCGATTGTACAACAAGACAATTTCAGTATTTTGGTAAAGTTATATTTCAAGAAATTTTCTTCGAATTTCGGTACCATGATTTTTCGGGAATTGTCCTTCACGAAGAGAAGAAAAATTAGTTGAGTGTGAATGAACGAACCAAATGAAAAGCTGAAAAAAATAGAATCTCTAGTTCTTACTAAGGACCAGGAATAACATTTTCTTCGAGCGTTTGGCTCAGTCATTCCGTCATGTTAATTTAACGAATCTTTCTCCTCCGTGCATCATTCAAATGCAAATTTCATTTCTTTTCGGTCTGGAAAGGTCAGGTGAAGCGTTAGCGATCTTCTATCGCCGAGCTGGCCTCGCTAACATTAAATTCTCACACAAATAATATTATTATCCTTTCGCAAGAAACTATTATTCGCTACCGACATCTTCCCGCGGCTCGTGTCGGCCAAAACCAATTTATGGTGCTATGAGTAATATCATATTTTCCGAATTGACTGCGGCATCCGCTTGCGATTAAAACGCGAATGAGTCCGCAAGTATTCCGGGCGTATTTCTCGGTGTATTCGCCGCAAAGTTTACGGTCGGCCGAAAGTGCCCGTCGAAATCGAGGTCGATCATTTGATGCTAATCTAATGCCGTTATAAATATGCATGAGGACATGAGTCTCATAATCTGCCGTTCCACACGTGACTTATGGAGAAATGAGAGAGACGGCGGCTAGTCCGGCCGGGCGTTAACAGAAGCCGACTAAGACGCAAAATTCAATTTTGTCGGGGTTCAATTTTGTTCGCAGAGGCTTCAAGCCGCGAATCTAATAAATGAAACGCGCGTGCACCAAGTAGCGCGTTTTTCCTCCTCTTGGTGTCTCCTCTTCGCTTCGCGAGTAATCCGCAGGAGGCATGAACGGAGCGAGTGGTAGAGCCCTCTGGAGTGTACAATACGCCGTTCGAGTGATGCAAGCGAAATTGGATGACACAGAGAGAAGTAAAGACGCCGAGAAAATGATGGTAATGAGGAAGCGAAAGAGGATCTCGGGCGAAGACGCCCGCGAGGACGAACAATCGCAGCGATGATTTCGCCCATCGACTTAGTATATCAGGATAGGGAAGTACAGTTAATTCAGACAAGGGTAGTACACCGCTAATTTAGGATGAGGTTGCGGACGGTATTTCGAGTCATTCAGCTCGGTTCATCACCGTTCGGCTCACATGTACTTTGCTCGTGTGCATCTCAAGACACATCACGACGAATCACGATCAATTGACGTGACGAATCTTCCCAAAGATGCCGCCAAAGATCTTCGCGGTGGGAAAATCCGAGACACCGTGACCGCCCATTGCTACTAATCGTCTTCTCTCCGTCTTATTTCTAGGTATTTCTATAATTTCGCTGATAATTTCGCCTGACTTTATTCGCGCCTATACACAAGGTGTATGTAGGACACAAGTCGGAGGCGCGCCGGTGAAGAATGGAATCGGCGAGAATACAAGCGATCGGTTCTTCCCCGCTGAAACAGATTGCGCTTTTCGCCTTTTTGGGCGTGAAGCAAGTGTTTAATCCATCGTCGAAGGGAGGGGAAGGCGAAAAAACGGAGGGACGACGAAAGGCGAAAGGACATCGAAGAAGCTGCCACGTCGCGCGAAAGCGCAAGGCGCGCATTCCTGCGGCCGCTTGCGCACCTACGGAGACATAAAGGATGCGGGCCGGAACGCACACGAAACTCCTCGCGGCGGCCAGGAGGGTCAATGACTCGCGCGCTCGCGCAATTAGCGGGTTCGATACTTTCGCGGTAATTAGCGCGACGCGCTTCTCCTTGGCGTTTTGCCGCTCGCTCGCTCGCACGCGTTGCGCGCGCGCGCGCGATTATTTCAGATAAAGGTAGCCACGCCCTTGTGCGTAAGGACCAGCTGTTGCACCGCCGCCACGTACGACCCTGCGTCAACCGCGACCGTGGCTTCCTCGACAGGAAGCGCCGATGACTCGGCCGAATGCCGATATCGCGAGGATGTCAATATTGCTTAGCCGCCAGATAGCTCGCGCGGTATCTTTCTTGAATCGCTCCTTGAGAGAGTTCTCGCTCTTAAATACAACAGTACGTCCCACTGCTCGCTCCGAGAGGAAATGTCGGCGGCATCACCGAAGGCAACTCCGATGAGCGCGTGTGTGTGTATGTGTGTGTGTGCACGCTGCTCCTACGTGCAAAATACGACCGCCTTTAGCGCCGAAGTTAACGTCTGTCACGCTTTGCAAACATCTTTCGTTAATGACCTCTTAATAAACAATAAGGGACGTGTAAAACCTTTGGAATATTACTCAGAGACAAGAGCCTAATGATATATGTCAAGTTGCCAAGGTCAAGCTTGCCGGAGGTGGCTTCGGCAGTGCGAACAATTACTGAGTGAAAGAGGAAGAACACGGGAGGGAGAGAAGGAGAGGGAGAGAAAAAAGAAAACACGCAAAAGACGCGCGATTAATCTCGCGCAAAATAAGATGGCACACAAGACACGCTTCGCGTGTCCGAGCGACACGTTTCCAAGCGTGTGTGTGCTGGATGCGCGCGCGCGCGCGCTAAAAGGGAACGATCGATTGAACTTGCCTGCGCAAAGAGCTACCGCGAGAGGATTCTTTTATCGAGCGGCACTCTCCGCGGATATAACCAGTCTTACCGGTGCGAACGGCTGCCACGCCGGTGACGGGCAAAAATCATCACGACAGAGAGCGTGGAAAACTATCGACCTGACACACCGCGCGCGAATCCGTACGAAGGTGCGGAGCGACGCGAAGACCCGGCGAAACGAAAAGCGACGCGATACACGGACTCCGTGCCGTGTCGCACGTCCTGCGCTCTGCTCGTATTTTACCAGGGTTTCTAATATTCTAATGAGCTTATTTCGGCCATAGACAGGCGGAAACGGCGTGCGCGGATCCGGGGAAGAAAGGATGAACAGGCGACGAATGGCCGGAACGGCTCTCGCTTTACGATCGATAAAGAATAACGGAACGTCAGCGAGTTCGTCATCGAACTAAATTGGAAGCAACTTTGGCTTTAGCTCTTTGCTAGCCTACGCGTATCCTCAAAGATATATACACGGCGTGTACCTCTAAATATAAATATTCTGATTGATTTTTTGCGCTCACGTAAACAACTATGTAGTTTTGCAAATGTCCAGTGACGGCGTAATTATCTTGAAAACATTTTTCACCAATTTTCTCATTTTCTCATTTTCCGCGATAAAATCATCAATTTTCCCCCGCTGTAATCACTTTTCGAATCGAATTTTTCAGCCACTGTTTACATTTATCTGCGTGATATTTCTCTGTTGAAATAACACGACATTTCCAAAGTAAAAAATCGAGGATCGAAGAACTCAAAGGCTTAAAGAATGACACGTGTATGGAAACATATTCAATATTCAATACCCAATACGTGATTCCCGATATATAACTCGATATTTTATTTATCTCTCTAGATATACGACTCTCTCTCCCTCACTCCTTCCCTCCCTCTCTCTCTCTCTCTCTCTCTCTCTCTCTCTCTCTCTCTCTGTCGCTCGTACGCTTTAATATGGAGGCTGAGGCGATAACTGCTACAATATCACCACCTCGCACAGCTTCGAAAAAAAAAAGACGAAAGTAAGAGAAACATTTATCTAATGGAAATTACATGACACACAAACAGTCGCTTTGTGACGACATTAGTTCAGCTTCTAGGTTCTCTCAAGGTCACCCGTGTGTTTTTCAATTCAGATGCGCAAAGTGGCAAATATTTATTACTTCACCCTGTATAGCCGTATTTTTCGTTCGTCCCCTCCGCGTCGTAAAAATAAAAACACTTTACGCCACCACCGTCATCATCGTCGTCGTCGTCGTCGTCGTCGCCGTCGCCGCCGCCGCCACCGCCGTCGCGGCGGGATCTAATGGGAAACCAACCCTGATCTCACCCTTTCCCGTCCCGCCGCCTCTAGCCCGTCGCTGTCCCTCTCCCTCTGTTTCGCTCAGCCTGTGATTAACGCACGAGCACACAGAGACAATGGGAAAGACAAAGAGGAGACTGAGA